GGCGAAAACAGTAACTAAATTAGTCGTAAAGTGGCATAATCACCCGACGACGACGCGGTTTGGAGAATATGACCAATGAAAGACACCTATTTAGGAGCTAGTACCTTTCCAAACGTACGAAGTACAAAATGAAACATCAATATGTTGTCACGTCCAGTAGCTGACTCCGCCCACATCTTTCTAGGGGAATTACATCACTCTTGCTTCCAACCAATCAGACGTAAGACGTCACTTCCGTGTACTTTTAAAAGGAACATGTACAATGTTGAACCTAGCTATCTCTCTCGGAACTGTACATGCACAGAATAAGGGGGGGGGGGGGGACTGTTAGGAAAAGCGCACATATGATGCATGCACGTAACATTGGCCGCACCTCTCAGATTGCATGGGCAACTGCTGTAGACGTTTCGCACCGAGCCCGACACCACGAGCTACGAGGAAGATGAAAGCCGTGAGAGAACGGCGAGGCTTAGCTCCACCGGCGATACCGCCGGTAGAGTGTACTAGAAGGTAAGAGTGGGACGAGCTATAGGCTCTGCTCATGCTTTCAGTTGGACCTCAAAATCTGGAAAGCGATCAGGTGGAACCAGGCCACTTTGATCGCAGCGCCACCTTCGCTCCGATCAAGCAACGACAAAGGTCAAAGTCATATGGGCAATATAGCCCCCTGGGGGCTATATTGAAATTTTTAGGATTTTGACGCCAGAGGTGACGTCAAAGCACCACGACACGACGACGCCATCGTCGACGACGTTACGTGGCGCCAAGATGCTGTCGTAAGGCCATCGTGACGTCACGTCAAGGACGACGCCGTTTGGGGACATCAAGTCGCCGTTTTAACGCAGTCGTGACGTTGCCTTGAGGACGATGCTGTTACACGACATCGTCGCCGTTGTGACGCGATCGTGACATCGCGCCGCGTTGAGGACGACGCCGTTACGTGACATCAAGTCGCCGTTTTAACGCGGTCATGACGTTGCGTGTTACATCGAGGACGACGTGGACGTGGCCGTCAATGCCGACGTTGACGTCGACGCCCCACACAACGCCAAACATCGCTATGACGTCACGTTAACGTCGTCCTGGCGTCATCGTGAACGTCAACGTCACAACGAAGCCTTGACGCCGTGTAACGTCAACGATGACGTCGTGAATCTGTCGGGACATCTTCATGCGTCATGTCGACAATGACGTCAACGAACCGACACCAAGTGTCCTTATGACATTGCATTGACAAAGATGCCATCATCTGGACGTCCCGTGACGTTGTCGTCGTCATCAACGTCAACGATGACATCGTCGTCGTTGTCAACGCAATATGACGTCAGAACGCAGTCTTGATGTCGTGTAACGCATGTTGTCAACGTCAACGACGATATTGACATCAAGGCGTCCTGATGTCGCATGGCGTTGCGACGTCGCAGTGACTTTATGTATGTGACGCCCGACGTCTAGGTTTTATAAAAAAGATAGTCCGGCGTTTTATCGTTTCTATGACCATGACCAGTGTGCTGGTCGAGCTTGGCGTTCGAATGAAACGCATTTTTCATAAAAAGCGGTTATTCCGAACCACTTCGCTTGTAGCGCCCGCGGGGGCGCTACGAGCAAAGTGGCTTGGATTAGCCGTCTTTTCCACATGCGCAGGTACCAAAATAGCACTCCGGTGATCGCACTCCGTCTTTCTAGTACACTCTATTGCCGATACCGCAGCGCGAGTACGTGAGAGATATAAAGTGTTTAAGCGAGATTGCTTGCGTGCGAGTCGTGACCAAGACAACCAGCGAAGAGGTGCCTCGCAGTTTACTCCACTACGAGAACTAGCTTGCCAGTTCAGCCATAGGTGCTTCTGTACGTTTGGTTGTTTTAATCTACCGATTCAATCTCCGAACACACGACTTAAGGATTGCGGCACACCATAAAATTCCCGCCTCCGAGCACAGCCTACATGCTTCAATATTCTTACTTTTGTGCATTTCTCCCATAGACTTGAGTGTATTGCCTGGTGTCAAGCAATGGCCGCCGGTGGCGACACCAACGGGCTCTTGATCCGTGAACCAGCCTAGTACAAGAGAGATTAGTGGGCCAGACCCGGACGAGACTTCCCTCCTTTCGCCATGTTACGCTGCGCAAGCATGTGGTCACGTGGTTGCGAGCGGGTGAGTTCTCACTGCTCGCTCTGGAGAGAGAGCTTCACCGGAACCCCGCTCATCCCCCATTTACGTCGCGGTGCAGGTGATATGGAAGATGGTGAAGGAGTTGAGAGGTGCCAAAAACCTCAATCTTTGTCAATTTTTAAAATAAAAACTAGGACATGCAGTTAAAAGCGTTTTTTTGTTTACTTCAGAAACGTCGAGACACAAACTCCCAAATTATTTAAGCAAAGCACTGAAACCGTTGCACAGCTCCTTTAATAAAATCAAAAAACCCCCGACGTTTCGGGGCCAACTCGGCCCCTTGATTACGGGCAACTGTTTCTGTCCCGCGGAACAGCCTGCCCACGAACCCCAACAACCTCTTGCGCTCTCTGGATTATCCCTCTTAACCCTGAAACATAGCTGTTGGGAAGGGTCCCTGTTTACCGGTTCACGTTGCCATGTGTGACTGGAATATGCCACGACTCTAACAGAAGGCGTTTCCGTCAGCTTCTTTCCATTCTGAGGATGGCGCAGTTCTCGAGGAGGGAGGCACGCTGGCTGAACACGTTGAGAGTACAAACCACTCTATCGACCTTGAAGAATGAACGCTTGAAGGCAATAAGCCTTGCCCTATTTTCCTTAACCCTGGAGAAAAGTCCAGTCATGCTTTAAAGGGGCACTGACACCCCAAAGGTCGTATTTATTTTTATTGTCTAAAACGATGCAAGTTGCAGTCATAGACACGCAAAAAAAAACCGCATCGCGAAAAAAAATTTTCCCGCGCGCGCGCGCGCCTTTTTATTTTTGGCGTTTGATTTTCCCGCCTCTCGCGTCCTCGCTTCTTTTGATCGGTGACGTCAAAAATCATTAAATTTAGAAGCTCTGTAGGCGACATCTCTATAACATTTAATTACGGCAATCCTAAAACATGTTTTTTAACGCAATTGCGAACGCACTACGGCCCTTCTTTTTGAAATACCAAAAATCGGGAGTTCGTTGTGGTGCCGTCTCCTGGATTTGTATCCTCCAACGGAAAACAGGCGACACCGCTCAAAACCGGTCTGCCGCAACGCCGCCGCTCACTCCTTTCCTCCTCGCTTTGGGTCGCCATGGCAACAGCAGGGAGTGGTGAAAGAAAGTCGACTCTCAGGTCTCCGCAATTTTTGACGTCAAGGCACCGGCGCCGATCGCGCGGGAACTTCGAATTCGGCATTTGGAAATTGTTTTTTTACTTCACAAATACTCAATTCCCAAATTTCAAATTTTGAGGGTAATGTCCCGGCATCGTTTTCAATCGTTTCGGATAATGAAAAAAAAAATGATTTTGATGCGTCAGTGCCCCTTTAAGTAAGAGCCAGCTAACATTGTTCTGGAGTCAGCGTTTCAAACAAAGGACTCGGGCAGCTAGTTTATAGAAGCATTAGTTAAAAAATAAAAGATGTTTACAACTCCCGGTAACGCCGAATTAGAGCTCATCTCTTGAGGAGGAAGAGGGGAGGGTACTGAGGGAGGGTATGCCCCTCCTTCTCCCCCTCCCCTCTTCCCTTCTCCTCTTCCCCGTGCGTTACATCATGGGACGTTTCTCGTAATGCAACGTGCAAGACCCTTGTTACGTCACGTGTAACATCACGAGTCCCGCGCGTTGCATTATGGGACATTTTCCATAATGCACTGCATGGTTACGCCGACGCCGCTGAAGCCGGAAACGGGCACCTGAAGCCCGAACCACATAAGGCGTATTTGCGACGTATTTGCGGGCGTAATTCCGACGTACAGCGGGCGTCGGGACGAGCGCTTCAGAGGTCGGCGTAAATACGCACGTATTCGGCAATCCGACCGAGACAGATCTCGGCGCATCGGCGTATTTCGGCGTAGCGTATCCGGAAGCATACGGTGCGGTACCGGCCAATCAGCGCCCGAGTAGAGAGCCGGAAGTTGCTCGGGAATCAGCTTGCTTAGCTATGCGGCCAGCTGACTGCCTTGACTCAGCCACCGAAATGGGAGTTTGCTTGCCGCATTCGCTGGTTTATTGGCGAAATGTACAAAATTGCTATATCTCTTTGAAACGAGCGATGAACGACTGAGACAGAAGAAAATACCACCTATGTTGCGGGCGATGTGAAAAAAAATTACAAAAAGAATTGTTTTGAGCAGAGATCACGGCCGTCCTCCTGCCGGGACTTGTTTGCAACTTTCCGATTGCAAGGCACATTTATAAAACAGGCGTTAGCAAATTAGGCTTTCGTGGTTGATTAAGATTTAGTTTTTTATGTCCCCTTGCAGAACGCAATAATATAGCAGCCGATCAAAATTTTGATTCCTTTCATGAAAGGCGTGAGTAGGGCTACAGTGTACCAAATGCCGAGGAGACGTCGACGAAAAGCGTCGTGTGTGGTTTGGCGACCTTCCCCTCTTCAATTCTGTGAAAAACGCGCCCGCCAAATCCCGCGATTACACCCGCTGAAACGCGCGTAAATTTGTTGAAAATACGCCCTCTGTGGGTCGGCCTTTAGAAACTAGTTTCCCCAGGATCGTGTCCGCCGGATTAGAAATGATGCCACCGAACTCTGAACAGCTACCGCCATCTATAAGCAACGGCGGCAAGACAACTGGTTCAACGGCATTGAGCGCTTCAGATTCCCTTGCGAAAGAAGAGCAGATAGCTCGCCTGGAAAGCCACCGCCGAGAACAGAAGTTACAGCTCCGCTGCTTTTCCTTCTTCACCAAAGTGGAAAGGCTGAAAGTTTTTTTTGTTGTTCCAGGGCTTAGCTCGATCCTGTAGGGCACACCAAGCAGAGCCACCCTTCCGCCACCGGGAAGACTGTGGCACACCGGGATTAAAGGTAAGAAAATGTGCATCGACTGTTAGGTTCTTTTTTTTTATTCATCTATAAAAAAATAAACGAGGGCCATTAGCCCATTTTCTTGGTCCCATTCTTCTAAGTAGTCTGTCAAGATGCAAGAAAGCAGCTCGACGAGCCATGTTCTCTAGACACAAAGTTGTTCCTCGATGAGCACACACACATGTCCCGTATTTGAGAAGTGTGAAACACTTGGATGCCTTTGGTCCCTCAGTTACCTGTTATTTTTGGGCCGCCTACACTAGCACTTGCAGAATAGAAGCTTTCCTTTGCTTCTGCATTATCCTACACCTCTCGAACGTAAGTACAACTATACACTCTACAAGGTAACATGCTTCAAGAGAAACCCCCCAGGCTCAAAGCACTCGTGAGAAAGAGGTAACATTTGCATCAATTAAGCCCCATATATCGCAGCACCGACACAAAAGATTTTGATTTGGGAAACACTTGAAACACTCGTGAAAATTTGACGTCCTAGAAGTAGGCTATCGCTAGAGCCCGGACACCCACAGCGCTCTTGCCATGCTCTCAAATGCTTTTGTACTTCGTCCGATACACTTCATAGTTTTTGCGAGGGGAAGCACTCTTTTATATAACACAACCATTCTCGAGACCACGGTAACATTTGTAAACAAGGCACGCACACAGCTGCTGCTTATGAGTATAATTTTTGTATAATATTTATAGGTATTTATATATATATATATATATATGTATATATATATAAAAACTATGTATATATGTCTTTGTGTACATAACATTTTCCAAACTATGGACTTTGCATTCATATCGTGTCCTAAAGCTGCCGGGTTCACCGTGCGGCCTTGGCTGACGCTCTGACGGAATCCAAATCAAGGTTTTCAGAAGTAACAATGCGTTCGCTGCCCGAAGCACGTGCCATGAGCAGAGCCAGACAGAAAAGTAGCTCCCCAAGTGCACTCTGCTCAAATCAACAAATGACGCTTGCCCTCTTTCAGGCATGCCACTCCTTGCACCATCTATACATTTAGACGCTGGCAAAACAGAGAAGCTACACAAACTGAACACACTTTCGTAAGAAACTAGAACTAAAAAATGACAAGCACTCTAACAAGCCATGGCGTAAGTCACTCGAAGCTGCACTTGTTTGAGGCAAACTTGCATCGCGAGGGGGCTACGTACACCTAAAATAAAAATATGACAAAGAGGACGGAACACGAGGTGTTAGTTGCATCGCATCTTCTCCGTCCTGTTCGTCTTTTTGGTGCACATAGCCCCGGCGACGAACCAACCGGCCCAACTACTTCGCTGGGTCACAACCCGACACAAATGTCTTTTCCTGGACCTCCGGGACATTCCTTCACACAATGGAGGTTACTGCCACACTAAACTTAATCTTCGCTTCCACCCAAACAAAAAAATGAAAGGACACTGGTTTGGCTCGACGCACCTTTCGTTACACTCGACCGACGACAGACGCTCAATGAAATGTGCAGACAAATGTAAAACCCTCGTCTCTTAACCTTCCGAGTGCCGTAAAGCGCCTAGCCTCTGTCATGCTCGGTAAGTAGCCCAAAACTAGGAAGATTTCGTAGACTGCCGATCGTAATGCGGCAAACGTTCACTATTGCACACTCGTCTGACGGTAGAACGCCAAAAAGATACGAGCTCGCATTCGCAGTTTTCGGCTGGCGAACCGGTTAAACTACGGCACCGACGAGGGTTACTAAATGGCTATGCACACAACCCGTTTGACACAAGCTCAACCGTCGAACGCGTGGCCCTCGCGTGGGCGTGTTAGCGCGACTCTGCAGAAGCTCTCCAAGGGCAGGCAAGAAGGGCGCGCGAGACTGGGGCTCTCATCGTTTTCGGAAGAGAGAGAGCACCCCCTTCTTTTTGTCCCGCGACTTCTTGTCGACGGTGTCTCCCTCCGACGAGCCTTCGGAAGAGGGCGCCCTCTGGTGGCGGTCGAGGGTGGCCGAGTACTGGTGCTGGGCCGCCAGTCCGGGGGGAGGGGCGCCGCTGCCTGGCAGGGAAGCGTGCCTCGCAACCGTGGCCCCCGACGGAGTGTTCCCTTGCGGGTGGTACGACGACTGCCAACACGGAAGGACGCCTTTCTTAGTCTCTTTTCAGCTGACAGTCTTAATGAGTGTTTCCTACTGTCCTTCTTTAGACTTGGCAAGTAGTCCACACTGCACTACGGAGGCTAATTTAGGCAAAAAGTTCCCCCTTTCTTCGCCTCACTTCTTCGGCAAATAGAATGAAACAAAATGTCTCAAAGAAAGAAAGCTATAGCAATGTTTCACTAGGTTCTTAAAGAACTTAAGCTTTAAATCTCCCCACGGGTGAAATTGTAATTTTTTACCGTTAAAACTCTCGAACTTGAATGATACAGTCGACTCGATAATTCAAAGCTCACAGGGACAACAAAACGCTTCAAAATAAGCATACTTCGAATTTAAAAAAAAAAAAAATTTCAATTGTTTGTTTTTTATTCCGCCTCACCGCGATAAAATTGTTTTGCTTCCCTTCTCCTAACAGAGATGTGCAGCATTCCACTAACGAAGATGCTCCGCATCTTCTTTGCTCTGCAAATTGCAAACCTTAGGGTGTCTTCAGCAGTTTCTTGGCGAAAGAAAACTCAAAACTATACTCCATGGTGCTACAAGCAATTTTTTCGGCACTCAGCCACTCGCCATGGAAAAACACATATTCGTTCCTAGGCCTATTCGACTGCACAATGTCACTGTCCGAAAGCAAACTGGACCACGGCACGTTTGTTGACATCAATATATGCTATAAATAAGACATCTTGTATGGCTGGGTAATTCCTCAAACCAAGCTTTGTTGGACTTGCGCACCGCACGACCGCGCTCGCTTCCCTAACTTCAATGGGAATACCACCGCAATCCGAACGCTGGCAGCCATGCTGGCTTGACTTGGCTTGGTGTGGCCGGGCTTGGCCACTTACCGTAAAATACCGGGCAAGCAACCACTCAAAATTTGGAGATAATTGCGAAACAATGGGGGAAGGGCGCTTGTCCAACCATCAATTTTACATATAAATGTACTGTGCGTATTTTCTCAGATTTTACAAATTTCGGAATGGGTGGTTAGTGTGAAATGGGCGGATGTGCAGTATTCTATGGTAATTAACTTTGCCGCTTGGCACCTTCACCTGCCACGCTTGTTTTTTCTCTTTTTCCCGACTGCGCATACGCTAGATATATATAGAGATAAAGCATGCAAGGGTGTAATTTAAGCTTGCTCAGCATAATCGCGAGGCTTTTTCATGCTCCCAGAGTTGCCGGAGTTCTCAAGCACCCAAAATAAATCATCCAAATTAACCAGCCCAGAGGTTAAATTTAGAATTTTCACATACTTTTTTCTCATAGATTTGTATGTATTGAAAATTCGAATAAAGCGACTTTGAATTACCGAGAGTTGGCTGTAGTAGCTGAATATTAATGCCTGAAGCTTTATTAAATTCAGTCAAGCACACTAAGTGTGTAATTGTTATTTTTACACGCTCGAACATCAGTTTAAAAAGAGAAACTTTCTTGCCATTGTGATGTCATGAAACACCACTAGAAGCACTAAGCTTTCTTGGCCTTCAAAGACTATTCGTATGCATTGTGCCCGTATCCTACTAGAGCGACATACAGATACAAACGACAGCGACAAGCCTCAAACCACAGTCTGTCGCGATTTGGGAGGCTTTGCAGAATAAAGGAGGCTACGCTCAAACACGAGCATCACGCACGCGAGAGTATCTTTGGCAGGCTTGCAATCGCCCGTGCTTACCTCACGAGCACCCAACGCCTGCCAAAAGTACCATCGCGAGCATGCTGCATGGGTTTGAGGCTTGTCGCTGTCTTTTCTTTCTGTCTGTCGCTCTAGTGGGACACAGGCATTAGAGACCCTGTAACTGTCCCATTAAAAGTCTGAAAGAACTCTGCATAAGTGAATAACAACACCACACGACCCAGGACCGCTATTTGCATAATTTATCACACTGAAGCCTCGTCATGAGGACGACAGTAAAGCAGTTGCGTGCATTGTCAATGTGCCTCGATAATCGTGCATCGTCAACGTGAAAGCCGATTTCACCCCCACATTGTCAAAGGTAAGTAAAAGGATGCTGCAATTTTACAGTTCAAAGGGCCAGCAACTACAATTTGCTACAATCACCGAATCACAGCCAACCATTGATTCTGACAAATGTACTGACCTCTCTGTACTGCACCTTTTCGTCTGCACGACCTTTCCCGTAACCTGAAAGAGCAAAAAAGGAACATTTGCGAGGGTCAAGAGCCGAGGACATGGATCCCTCATCAAAGCAGCTAGCACACTGTTTCTTTATGGATGCAGAGGTTCCCTCACGGTCCAGAGGACCTTGATGCAATATACGGGTAGAAATTAATGAAGAGGAGACCGCGTGGGGACTTTAGAACACCGAGCTCTGGTTGGAACAACCTTAGAACACACCAATGTGAAAATCAGTCATTATTAATCAACTTTATGGTGTTTAGTTGACTTCTTTTCTTGCCATCTAATGCTGTAATGCAAAACATCTTTTTTTAATGTGTTTAGATGGGAGATTTATAAATAGTCTGAGGCAGACTTTCCGCTGTAAAACGAGTTGGAAAAATTGCCGTCTGCACATAAGAGGCTCAAACTTTCACACCGAATGTGCAATTTACTACAGAGGTGCAAGCAGGTGGGAGAAGTTTACATTGAAAAAAATCAAGAAATAAATTTAGCTTGTTCAAAAGTAAAAAAAAAAAAAGAAGAAAATTAACACCCGTTCTGGGCAATATATGCCAAAATAGCTATGTGGCCACTTCGCAGACGATAAACGCATAGAAAGAAGTGCTGCCGACAGACGCCGTACGTTGCATCGAGGGAGCGCTGGCCGATTCAGGTTCTTTTGCAAGATCGTTCCCTATCCATCCAAATCGGCCAGTGCTCCCTCGACGTGGCATACACCACCCGTCGGCAGAATTTCTCTATACGCGTGTAACGTCTGCGAAGTGGCCGCATAAAAAGCCCAAAACAGATGTTCCTTCTTTTTTTTTTTTTGAACGAGGCATTTCTTGATTTTTCATTGTGAAATTTCACCACCTACTTGCACCTCTGTAGTAAGCTGCAGCATCTGCAGCGTGATAAGCTGAGAAACCGATTTTAGCAGGCCGTCTCAAGTGCCCTAAAAGCGTTAATTTACAAGCTGCAGAGTTAACAAATACGAATACTTGAAAAGATATAAAACATCGAGGACGGGGACGGAAACAGGAATTCTTTACGTCCCCGTCCTCTATGTTTTATCCTTTCAAGTATTCATATCTATTCACCAACACGCTCGTTTTTAATTATTGTAGAGTGAAACGTGTCTTTTGCTCGTTATGTGCATGCAATTTTCCACGTTTGTACTCGTGTACCTTCCTGCACGATGCCTAACAGCGCAGCGAGTATAGGTGTAAAGAACTAAATATATGAGGAACAAAGGGAAAGAAGGGCAGTCACCTCTCCTCCACTCCTGGTCTCCGTCAGACAAGGTGCCTGCCACGTCGGAATCCGAGTCCTCGGCGCGTCGTGCCTTGGGCGGTGGCTGGTCCGGCAGTGGTGGAAGCACAAACGACGGCGGAGAATCTGTGCCACAAAGTCGGGTCAACCAAGGGACACAAAGAAAAGTTTCCAAACCACTTGAAATGAAACAATCTCTAGCCTCTGTCGACGAAAACTGTTAAATATGTAGCATATTAACTTGGGGCTTTGGAACACAGGGTATCCCCAGAGTATTCCCAAGGGTTCCCCTAAGCAAAGGGCGTTCTCAGTTTAGCAGATCTCGGACTTTTATTACGGTGAAATTAATCTTTCTCAGTCAGGTTGCCCAAACAAAACACTTCTACATACTTAACAAGTGCAAGATATTTACATATTTATGCATAAGCCGGTCCCGTTCAATATTGGTCCCTGCGCTCTTATATCTCAATTGATCTTCTTAATCCTTTACTCAACGTCCCTTGAAATCTACTTTGTTCTGCAACACCCTTTGATGCATAAGCGGGATTGGTGGCAAAGTGGTCTAGCGCACACCAGCTCTGAGCATCTGGAGCGAAAGCTTGCACTGCAGAACCCAGGGATCCTGGGTTCGGTCCCACCCCTGCCTGTCTCAATGTGAATGACTCTCCAACAAGAGTGCACTCGTATATCACAACTGCGTGATGCACATTAAAGACCCCAGGCTAGCAGTTGTACTGCACAGGCTAAATTTCTCGTCTACAGTGGGTAACAATGTTGCCATGCTCAGGCAGACTAACCTCCCTCCGTATAAACAACTATTTACTTTTTGGTGCACAACTATGAGCCAAACGCTTCCTAGTATGCACATTAAGGCTCATTCACACGGTTGCATTGACCGACTCACACTCCGGACATCGGAGCGCGAGTCAAAGAACACACAGCAACGTGCCCGAAGTGGACGAGTGCCGGCAACGCACCTTCCAGCCCGCTCGAGCTGTAGCTATCCACCGACCGGTAGGCGCTGTTGCTGGTCGGTGTCCCCAGCATCGACTCGGGCCGACTCCCGTAGCCGTTCTGGGCACTCTTGGGGGAGTGGGTGCTGCCAGACGACCTCTGAACTGCGTCCTCAGCTATTGCGCTGGCTGCACCCCACAGCGGGTTTGCAACGGAGGAAACAATGACAACTTTTTAGCTCCCACTTTTCAACCGGCAACTTAGCTGAAGCCAATCGAAGTCTACCGACCGTGAATTAGGATGGCGATGTGGGGTACTTGGTTCATACTGGCAAAAGGACAAACAGCGCGCAAAAAACGGGGACAAAGTAGGAGAAGTGCACACAGGACAAGCGCTGACTCTCAACTAAACTTGAATAAAAAACAAAATCAGCAACACCAAACACATCACGGGGCAGTCAATCAACGCGTGCCTAAAAATGTAATCTCATTGGTGCCCGGCTGATGCATTTAATACCTTGTTTTTAATTGCATAGGCTTCTAAAGTTTCCCTAGTCATTCGGTCACTGTCCTTGCCCTTTAGGAGATGGGTCGACACCCACAGCTAGTAAAGGGGTAAGTGCCCCTTTATCCAGATTCTCAGACGAACGGAGGACGTGAAAACTGACCTTGTAACCTTTCTCAACACTTTTGGTACGGCCCCAGTCGCAGCGTTTTGACGAGAAGGCAGGTTTTTGTCTGGTTCCTTTCAAAAGAACGCAGGAATACACGTCTGGCATGGGGACTTCTGCCCACAGCCCTAGACCGGAAGTGCGACCGACGCGCCACCACCGCGCCGTGACGTCACAGAGTTGAGTTTGTGTATATAATATAAAGGCTTAAACTTATATTCGAGTAAATACGGTATCTTTCTTTTCACTCATTTGGAGTGCGACAAATTAAATGGGAGAAGACCCTTCTTCAAATGTGGGCGATAAAACCAGCGGACGTGTCTAACCGTGAATTCCAATCCCAAATCCAAAAATTGTAAAAAATCCCCATCCTGAAGTTTATTAGTGAACATGAGCCACTCTTACTTTTTTGTGAAAACTTATTAAACAATAATAAGTCTGAGAATACGTCAGAGGCAAGAGTCGTCAAGTCTGTTTTAGAAGTTTTCAGAAATAAGTCGGTACTGCTTGTGTTATCAGAAAGATAACACAAGCAGTAACACATTCAGGGATCGCGAGGTCAGCGAACGCCTCATACCCTGGAGTATAACCGCAAAGTGTAAGGTCAAAATCCATCTGCACCGAAATCATGTCGTCGCGAACCCGCTCCTTCTCCAGGTATGTTGCCAACACGGTTAGTAAGGTTGTGCGATGTTTCAGACAAAGCCAGTGTGAAATAAAAATTTGATGGAATGCCACACGCAGACTTTTGTAAAGTGTCCCATTTCGAGCTCCGTGTTCGTGGTGCCGTCCATGGATGCACGCATGTATGCACCAAACAAGAAAGTTGCACAACAGCTTGCGAATGACAAAGAGCCCGACTTGACCCGACGCCAAAGTATTTGCCAACGTGATCGCCGGCTTTCCCGCTCCCCTAGCATCGCTCTTCGTCGCTTCTTTCGCCCGAGCACTCGCTCATTGTGCCAGGTTGGTTTTTCTATTTTCTTGTCTACTGATTTTCTTTGCTTCTTTTATTTTGTAATCTACAAATAAACAAAGGGTAGCGAGCTTAGTGAAGGAAATATAGCGGTTTTAGAAATATGCTTTCACAAAACAAGCGTTTGCGCTGCATGCCGATCGGTGGTGTTCATCGCGCGTATGCAAGCAATGGACTTCGCGATAGTAAAACATCCCTTTATGAGCATTTCTTCTAAAAAAACAATGAAACTAATTTGAGTTTTGAGTTTATTGTATATTTTCTATGTAGCCGCGCTACATACACACTAAAATTGGTGCTAATTTTTTAGTTTTTTCTACACTTTTTGAGCTTACCCACTGAGACATCGGCCACCCCACTTTTTTATGAATTTCAGGTGGCAGGAGGGGTGGGCGATGACTTGGGATGTTACGGTATAGCTTCTTCTTGCCTACAGGTTGCCCTCAAGAAGTCATTTCACCATGCGGTTAACAAACGTTTTGACCGGTAGGTAGAACGGCTGACAGCGGTGGGTTTCCCAACATCGGTATTACTGAACGTTGCAGGGGCCTTGTTAAGGACACTAAAGGGAGCACCTCGCCCCCAGAGGGGAAAGGCCGAGCAAAAGATTGCTTGTCATTCAGTACATACACAAGATTTCGCACAACTTGAAAAAAGCTGCGCTGCGGTACGATGTGCCCTTGGTGCTTTCTGCTCCCTGCAAGTTGGCGCAACTTTGCCTCAGAGTTGCGAATAGGAAAGGTAATGGTCCCACTTGCTTGGTAAGGCACGAAAATCAGTATGTTGACTGTAACGTGGGAGTTGTTTATAAAATTCCGCTTACACGTAAAAAAGCCTATAGTATTGGTCAGACGGGCAGATGCGCTAACCACAGATTGCGGGAGCATGACCCGTCGTTAAAGTCAGAAGTGGGAGCGGTGGGGGGGTCACTTACCCCTTCATTGTGCTAGCTGTGGGTGCTGACCCTTCTCTAAAAGGGCAGAGATTATTGGCAAGGGCAGAGACCGAATGACTAGGCAAATCTTAGAAGCCTATGCAATTAAAAAAGAGGTTATGAAATGCGTCAGCCAGATGTCACTGAATTTACGCACCAAAGAGACTGCATTTTTAGGCACGCGTTGATCCACCACGCTGTGATGCGTTAGGTGTTGCCGATTTTTTTTTTTCATTAAAGTTCTGTTAAGAGTCAGTGCTTGTCCTGTGTGCACTTCTACTCTGTCCCTGTTTCCTACGCGTTTGCCCTTTTGTCTACCTAGAGTCCCATAAAAAAAGGACGGAATTACTAGAGACGGTCGGGACACAAAGGCGAAGTTAAATGGAATAAACGAAAAAAAGAAGCAAAATAAAATAAAACTGAGGCGGACGTCTGCCAATACCAAGTAGAAGGCAGGGCCTGCACACAACGTCGTCATTAGTAGGTCGCGGACCCGGCGGCAAACACGCCCAAGCTCCACGAGAGTTGCCGGAAAGTGGCAGCGTGTCTGTTTTGGCAATGCTGCGTGCGAGCGTCGCGCTCGTTGCGAGGCGTTGCCAAATGCGCCGGTGGCAATGCCAATGTAAGGAAGGCGGCACTGTGTGGATCCACTAGTGAGGACGTTTGGGGAGGAAAGGTGCGGGTCTTTTAGGTGCTAATTGGTCTACGTGGCAAACTAATGTAGGGCAACTGGCATGCCCCAGCAAAGAACTGAGGCCTACGCCGTGCCTAGAACGCCACCCCACGACGTTTCACGCACGCGTTCAAGCACTGTGCAGAGGTTCTAGAAGGGCCGGAGGCCATCATGTCCCCGGGAGAAGGGCCCATCACCTCCTAAGTGTGCGAGCGGCAATTTAGGGGTCCAAGTCTGGAGTGACACTTGGTATCACCCACCGCCGACTTGTCGTGAAGTGGGAGAAAAGCAAATACCGCAGGAGCGAGCCCACGCCTGCCGTGCGTGCAGTCTCTTCCCTTTTTTTTGCGACGCAGTACAAATTCGAAGGTTATGACTGTGTGATTCGAGAATGTTCCAGCCTCAAATTCCTCACCATGGCCACGGCGGCTACAATGACACATCAAAAGGAGAAATTTAGAAATCTCTCAGACGTACACGTGGTATCCAACCTGTATAGTCCACTGAGAACAAAGATCACTAGCCAAGCGTGCCAACTGTTCCACCATCAGAGCAAGTTAGAAATATGCTTCTTTGGTTTTCTCATGTATTTTCTATGAAAGAAAATGATATCAGAAATACCTATGGCCAAGTATATTCAAAATTGGCCAATGTGATGCAAGAAGGCAGAGAGGAAGTAGGCACATTCAATTTGGCCCAGTAACTTGTTGTTCTTCACGAATCGCTTGGTACGAGTAACACTGGACGGTGCTTGAATGCTGGGGGGAGGCACCACTGGACTGCACTCTATATTCTATTTCACCATATGATGTACCACAGGAAAGGCTACAAGCAAGCCCCTTGCTCTGGGGCAAATCTCGGCGGCACAGGCTTTTGTGCGTAAGGGCACCCAGCTAAAAATTCACATTATATCCAATTGGAATTAATTGCAACCAATTGGTTTTAGTGGGCTCCAAGTGGAAGCACAATGGCGAATGGGTCTCACCAATTGGAATTATTTTTCCAGTTGGAACCTGAATGGGTTCCAAATGGTTTTCATTGGTTCCTATTGGCAGTGACCAATTGGTTGTCTGAAAACCTAACTGGTACCAATGGGAAAACTCCAATTGGAATCTAATAGAAATTTTCAACTGGGCAGCTGCCAATGCTATGAGCTCGTGCTTCTAGCCTTTGCTGTGGTACAACATAAGGTGAAACAGAGTACAAGCTCTGCATTAATTTAAACCACCTAGGATTAACCTGCAACAAAAATCTGTTACATGCCCCCTAAACTGCACCTTGAAAACATTGAGGTGGTAATAAAACAATGATCCTAGCTTTCTAACAAAATGAGTCGTGGTGTAGCAGACAAATGCAAAGTGGTACACTATTAACACTGCAACAAGACATCAGACAAAGGGTACTATATGCACTACGGCATACAAAGATAGAAGCTGCTGTTAGGACAGTTGAATTGAGCTTGCAAGCATGTCTTCAGAGCTAGGGTCACTTGATCTGGGAAAGTGGAAACTATGTTTAGACTTCAGTTCCACTTTTTCAAAAAAATCCCCCCCCCCTCCCCCCAACCGCCTTACCCCAATCTCAGCTAGCTTCAGTAAGTTCTCGTCATTATGTTTTCTTTCTTTGCACTAAGATCATTTTCAAGTTGTGACACTGCAAATCTTTCGACAATCTCCAAGAGCAAGTCAACATTTTGTCCCTTTTTTTAATGCAAAAGGAATATTTCGGATGAAGCAAAGCCAAACGGGCAGTGGTTAATGCTGCTGGCACAAACTGCGCTAGAGGTTTAGAGGCACGAGGCAGCAAAATCACGTAAAAGTAGGAAGGAACGACTGTATTTTTGAAGACTGCCAAAGGTAGGTCAGTACTACCACAATGTTAACAATTTTAGTGCAAAGAAAATGATGGGAAACATTCTCATTCAGATGGTGCGGTACCAGAATGTGACGACTAGTTATATATAAAGAAGCGATTTGGGGTAACCTATGTGCCTTCCAAGGTCGAGTGGCAATCGCGTACCATCGTGTAAGCCTGGGCAGTAGCTGATATGAGCAGCCCTTTGCCCGTTCACGTTGGTTATGTACGGCGGGTAACGATGTAACTCCCCAGATTCGGTGACATTATTCCAAGCGAAGCACACGCCACTCTCCAATGGGCAGAAAGACGAGAAAACACGCGTGTGGTTTTCGCTCGCCGCTTGTTGCGATGGCTCGAGGCCGTCGTCGAGATTCACCGCAGACGCAAAAGCTTACGTCCAACGCCCAGAGTCAAAAGAGGGTACCCTACCCGAGTGGACGCCGCCCTTCGTCGTCGGCACGGCTGCTCCCACGTGCGACGGCGGCGGGGGTATCCCCGAAGCCTGCCCCTGCTGGAACATCTGAATCTTGCTCTTCACCGACCCTCCGTCCAATGCATCGCCCGAGTTGGAAACCGAAGAGTTTCGCGGAGGGACCGGGGGCTTATCCTTGCCCGTCGTCGCGGCAGAGCCGCGCGGGTGCGAGGACACCGCAGTTCCTCCGTGGCGAAGCTCGGGGGAAGAGCACGGGCTTGGGGTGCTCGAGAGGTCGCGCCGATGTCGATCCGCCAACGGCGTGCCACTGTTGTCGCTGTCTGCGGATGATGGTGGCCTTCCAGATGGCGCTGCTGGTGTTTTTGCAGGTGTCAAGAGGGGAAGAGAGAAGGAGCGTGGTGAGGGCACAGAATGGCCTCTCCTCTTCCCAAGCCCTCGGACGCGAGAAAGAAGCGTTGCCCAGAAGTGGCGTCCGTGCAGTGTCTGCGGTGCGGTCCACAAGCCACTTTCCCAGGGGCAAAACGAGAGGAAGCGACAGCCAACGTGCGCTCCGGAGCAACAGTGCGAGCAAACCGAGAGCGTCCAACGCGAGAGGCAGGAAACCGTGCTCGTTCATTGTGCGGTGTAAGCGGTGTCTTTGCTGCCTGGGTGTGCTGCAGGTCACCGGCTAAGGTTAACCATTGGTTGATGCGTTTGGTCAGAAGTGAACACCGTAACGTTGAAAGGAATGGTTTCGAAGAGGTCAAGAAATTATTTAGACTCCGGTAGATGGCATAAGAGAGGAAAGGCATATACTCTCGTCCGGCAGTATTTGGTAGCCGTACGTGCATGCTCCATCCCTAGTGCGTTAAAAGCTCTGAAACTGTGCACCCTGGCAGTCCTGAGCAAACCTCAGACGTGTGTGAGTGCGTGGTAGTGGCACAATAAAGGAAGCAGACAAGCAAACCCCAGCATGCAAACACCACAGCCAGAAAAGCACCATCCCGAGCATATGCACATGCACAACTCAAACGTGGCTAATATGCTGCTAACATTGCGAGAACATGTAAGACGCATTTAACATTCACAAACAAAGAACACACAGACAACTTCAGAAAACTTTAGATGGCTCCTACGTGCTCTCATACACAAATAAGTAACAGTGATTCCCTGCACCCCCGTGACAAAAAGGTAGATTTTACTAACTTTGCCCGGGCCAACAAGTGGGCTAGGTTGGAATTTCGACGCCCTATGCTAGCCTTTTTTACCGATAATTCAGAGCTGTACCGGAAACATCTGGCTGTCAGCAAAAAGTTCTTAATTTCCAGAGAAAGTGCAACTTATAAGCTGTAATTGTATACGTGATTTTAATGACAGCTCTCAGTTATGTTTTTAAAAAGTACAAGTTGCTATGTGAAAATCACATCTTAATTTCTTCCAACAACCAAGTTATGAAGACTTGTGAGGTAATTGTGAGATAAATTTGCTGTGTCTCATGTGCTATGCACAATGCGTTGCAGAAAGTTTAGACTTTGCCTCAAGGCAGTTGTAGCAGCGATGATGACTTTGGTCCCACGTTATCATCCGAGCAAAAGGATGCTAAAAGCAAAAACTAAAAAATTGAGTAGAAGAAAATGACATGCACCATGACCCTTTAAGAAATATAAATTCAGGACAAGCACCTCGTGTCAGCTGGTGACGAAAAAAGCCACTGCCTCGCTGCAAATATTTGAGAATCTCTCGATTGGCGACTTGGGTAACGTCACTTTCTGAATTTTAAAGCATTATCACCGCTCCTAATGTCACAATCGGACGTCTTATAAAGAGACACTGCAATAAAAAAAAATATTTTTTTTTTTTCTAAAGGGACACATATAATAAAAAAGATATCACCACAAAAAATAATTTTTTCCGAGCAACATTTATGTCGCCAGACGCAATTTAGGTGCAGAATGTGGAGGTCGCAGCCCACTAAGCCCCGCCCCAAGTGTACAAAGTGCTTAGATCTCTCATCGGCTAGAGAGATGGTTGACGTTTGAAAATCTGGTTGTAAATTTGTATCTCCGTGCCATAATAGTATTTTAATCAACTTCTTTTATGTTTCAGGAACAAATAATGTAGACAGAGTCATTATTGTTTCCAAAAATATCCCAAGATTGCCTTTCCACTTCGGTTTCAGACGATAACAAACATGGCTGCCGGCGTCTGCAAAGTGCTGAACGAGCGTAGCTAGTTGAACTCGTCAATTTTTACGAGTGCGGGTCGTTCTGAGTTCCTAGAGGTGTTTAGAGGAAGATCTCATCAACTGACATAGTTTGCCGAAAACAACTGTCCCAAGTATGTGCCTTCGGAAGCGCTGAGCAGAACTGTTTTCGTAGCGGGACTGGCCTAAGCCTAGCGTCCCACATTCACTATTTTGATCAATCTAGCTCGGTTTCTTTCTTTGACAGTGTTGATGGTGAATAAAGATGTTAGTCCCCGTAAAAGCGGCCCGCTGCTTTGTGAATTGTGGAACTGTCGTGGTTGCGACCATGGTTTCAATACCCAACTAGATACCTACTTAGGTAATAATTTGCGAGCCAACTGGCAGGAGGCAATCGGGTGTTTGGCACGCATCAAGTTAGTCTAGGTATGTTCCCGTCATTGTGCTTCGAAAGGCAAGTGGCTCTTAAGTTTTGCAATGCATCTGGCCTGCCAAATGGCATCCTGCTCGTGGATGCCACGCTAAAAAAATAACAAGTACATGTTGAAAAACAGCATGACTGGGACGAGGATACAAAGAGACGAAGAGAACACAAGACAAAGCGCTGACTATCAACTGGTTTTTTATTACAACATAAGGAAGGATGACAATGAAATGAAAAACATGGAGACAAATGTTTGTGCGCTTGCTTGGCGCCTCGTGGAATATGTCCCTTTCTTCTTTTTTCTTCCGATTGTAGACTGGTTTTCCTTTTTCTTTCCTCAGGAGCTTTTGTTACCCAGAATCCAAAAACTTCATCTCGCTGGGAGTCAGAGTCACCGAAGGTTGGCTCACACATGAACTGCTGTTCTTTGTGATGTTGCAGGCTTCTACCATCTCTCGACATGTTTGGTCGTGGTGTTGAAATAATATACTGGTGTTTTCTAATAGTGATTCGCAACCGCAATCTCTGCAATGTATCGCCAGATGTGAATTAGCGGTGCCTTTCAAGGAGCTGTGGTGCTCTCTTAGTCGGATGTTTAAGCACCGGCCAGTCTGCCCGATATACCAGTGCCCACAAGAGAAGGGAATGCGGTAAACCACGCCTTTTACGCACAACAAAAACTTTATCCCATGCTTTACCTTACATGTGTTATATTCTTATCTTGCTTTCCACCCCCTTCGTGCACGTACAGCGGAACATAATCTACTTAGTTTGTTTTGGGCTGAAAAAACAACGTTCACCTCGTATCTGGATTCAGGGTAACAAAAGCTCCTGAGGAAAGAAAAAAAAAAACCAGTCAACAATCGGAAGAAAAAAGAAGAAAGGGACGTATTCCACGAGGCACCAAGCAAGCGCGCAAACATTTGACTCCATGTTTTTCATTTTATTGTCGTTCTTCCTTGTGTTGTAATAACAAACCAGTTGATAGTCAGCGATTTGTCTTGTGTTCTCTTCGTCTCTTTGTGTCCTCGTCCCAGTCGCGCTGCTTTTCAACATGAACTCTCACCAACTCGCCCAGTTATCTATCCTTATCAACAAGTACATAAAAGCTGAAATGACTGCATATTTATTTTGTTGCTTTTTTTTAGTCCTCTCGAACGCCTTTTACCGCACATCGATAGACGCTAACAGATGCTTGTATTGAACCATCACTCGTGCATGATGGAAAGCTAGAACGCCACTTTTATGGTCGAGTCTTGCGAGCGTTGTACAAGTTTTTAGACGGGTGGCGGAATAGCAGACGAACGAAGGTGAAAACGGACGCCGACAAGCAGCGTATATGTCCGCGTCCATTGCGCATGGCAGACGCCGATAGATGGTGGTGAAATAGCAAACGATGCTGGAAGTTTGTAGCATGCCTGCTCGCACAACTAGTAGGCGTTGTCAGGTGTCCCGACATCCCCCCCCGACATCTGGCGCCAGACGCGCCAAATGTCGGGAAAGGGAGACACCAGGCTTGTCGTGTGTCCGGCCAAGCAGCCAAGCCAATCCAGTAGTAATGTGCGGGGCAACTGATTTGTGGGCAGGGCTTAGAGCGGGCCATGACCTCCACCTAAACTGCATCTAACGGTGTAAATGTTGCACAAAACATTTTTTCTTCTCAATGGGAAAAATTACGAAAAAAAAAAATGTCCCATCTATGCTCTTTTAAAAATAAACTTTTTTGTTCATTGCAAAGCGAGAAATGGGTAGGATTTCACAGCGATAGCCGATACTGGTAAGGTTTTGCAGTAGATCCCACGTGCGTATGTACGTCGTGGTCTGCTAAATCTAGCAGGGAAATGTCTCCACTAAATTCGGCGGAACGTAAATCCACTAAATTTAACCGTGGCAGCATAGTCACGCGCAGAGCCTCAACCATCACCTCAGTCCACTCGCAAGACACGGCGAAGAACTGGGACTTTTCTCCATACCTACGCAACATTCCACCAAGTGGACTTCGAGGAAGCAAAAAAAAGAGGATGAGAGCTTTCGGAGAAGTCAGACAATCGCGATGGAGAGCGAGGACAAAATTTGAGAGTGTTAATCGAACCGAAAGGCCGAGGGGGCGCCGGCCGAGGTGAACTCACCGGCGACGCCCTGGGAGGGGTCGAAGCCGGCACTCCTGCGGGCCTCGTCGTAGCTCAGCAGCTGTAGGCTCGGGGGCAGGGCCGCGTGGAAGGAGACCTTGTTCACCCAGTCGCTCATGGAGGCCTCGCTGTGGGCCACAAACAGGAACTCCACCCCGTCGGCCAGGCGCAGCCGGAATGCGTGCTTCTTCTTGGTGTAGTCCGTCGCGCGAGAGCACTGGGCCTGCAGCAGGCTCACAGGCGGGGAGGCTGCATTGCTGTCCGCGAAGCCCTGCTGGTCCTGGAAACAAAGAGGCCGTCAACGCTCGTGTCTTCCGCCGGCGCCGTTCCGCCCACCCATCGAGAGCGGTCACGAAGCAACAACAAAATGCGTGGTGGAAGGCGACCTGTTGGGCCATTGGATGTCGTGGCGGTTTCGTCATAGAAACGACGGCAAAAAAGACGAGTGGATGTGAGAGTCGTCGCGGCGTCCCAACTCGTGTCTGTTTTGGTTTTCGTTGAGAGTCAGGCTGCGGAGCAAGAAACGGCAAAGAGTCTGCCACGTCCACATCCGCTTTTGTGCCACCAGTGAAATTGTGGCAGGCGACGGTGCAATGTTTTTTACGCCGTGGTCGAGCAGAAATCGAGAAAACGCCTTCAAGGATGCGGCAGACGCTTCGGTCGGAAACGCACTTTAGGCACCGTGGGCATCACCCACAAGTTCCTTGTGGCAGCGCGAGTTGCTCCTTCGTCGTGGGCGAGTTAAAAATGTGAGGGAAACGGACGGCGGAAGGCTTTGTGTGGAAAGATCTTAGCTCTATTTAGAGCCTTATGCGCGAGTGGAATTAGAAATGCGAACCCCTCAAGAGACGTTCGTAAGGGAATGGGATACCGGCTTTTGAAAGAGACTATCGAAGAAAATATGGTGACGGTGAAGTGCACAATGAAATTTTCAAAAGTTACTTTATGTATGCTATGCTAATACCAACAAATAACCCTATCATGAATGTTTTAGTTTCAAGAGACAGATTAATTTAGCTAGACTGCAGTGTCTACAGGCCCTGTCATTGATTGACTTCTTGCGGCGCCTCCAGCGTGGCTTCTTAAAAGCTATAGCAGCATCCAGAAGTAAGGATGAACCCGCATGGAACTAAGAATACCACAAACTCGAGGCAAGCATTCTTTTAGCAATCTCTGCTCTTTGTTTCTTATAGCCTGACGACAGAGCAAATGCATGGACAACGCATGACCCACAGAATGCCCAAAAGACTGGCTTGCCTTGAAGAAGCAGAGGAGCTGTCCGCACAGCACCGTGTAAAAGGTCTTCCAGGAGCGAATGGTGGCCCTCTTTCCACCGGCCTGCAGCTCGTGCTTGCGGTCCAAGAACCCTTCCATCTCCACGGGCGGGAGTCCGCCGCTGCTCCGCGCCGAGCGTCGGAAGCTCTGCGCCCTCCGACGCGTCGTGAAGCTCGGCGTGCGCTTGAGCTTCTTGCCCAGCTCCACCTTCATGCTCTCGGCCCGCTTGACCGAAGAGGGCGTGGTCAGCCGGTTGCGGGTCTCCCCGCTGTCCAGAGACTTCTGCGATGCGGAGCGAGACAGGCCCCCTCCCACGTCTCCGTTGTCGCCGGGCGGAAGGTCCAGCAGGCCACCCCGGCGAATGCCGTCCTCTCGCATGCGCTCCTGCACACGCGACGATCCCATGCTTGAGCACGCCGCTCCGTTGAGACGCTTCAGATTCTAGCCACAAACAGTTCCATTTTCCAAAACCATGGCCGATTCCTCTGCCACTCGTCGACCGAAACAGCTAAACACCCGCATTATTCTTTACGTTGATTCACTCCTTCCATGCCAAGACCAAGACAGAAGCTTCCCTTGTCATTAAAGATGTATTCCTATCAAAATTACCGACCTCTCGACTGCTTACAATGGTTAGAACCTGGTTCTTCACCACCATAAATATGAATCAAAAAGTGACCGTACAATCGTGGAATTAAAACAATTTTGCTGTTTGTGTCACCAGAAATTCATCAATTTGTGGATCAGATCTGTGGCATGAAAGCATCTCCGATGCGAAGGTTAGCAACTCAGGAATGTCCTTGTCTTAGTGATTCTGAAACCAAAACCGAGAAGAGTACTGTAGTGATTTGAGGCTAAATGTATGGCAACTCGGGGTTCCATATCCCAAAGAAGTGCCAGCTTGGAGAAGGTGAAAGGGACCGGGCCCCCGCAGGGTGAGACTCACGTCGAGGATCCTCTGCTGCTCCTTGCGCTTCATCGCGTCCACCCTGTCTTGCTCTCTCTTCTGCACCTCCACCTTCTTCATCTCCTCCTCCTCCACCTTCAGGCGACGGAACGCCTCCTCAAGCTGAAACACAACCGGACACCTTTCCTCATCTCTATTCTAGCGCAATCCTTGTTAAGGGTATACAGTCAAACCCGTTCATAACGAACAGCAAGAAACGCTACGATCAGTTCAATATTGCAAGTAGTTTGATATAGAAAAAAAACATTTACAGCAAACTTCCACGATGAGTTCGTTGTAAGGCGAGAGCTTCTCTTTCTTTGTTATATCTTCACTTCCGCCTTGTAACAAAACGCCAAAAAGCATTTTTTTTTTGCATGCGGGCGCTGTTAGTTTTTTTAGCTCATCTTCCTTTCTGAATCGCCTCTCTTCATGAACACACATATTGGGATAAAAAGTTTTTTTTTTCTGTGCGTGTGTGAAGGGTGTATTTTTTAACTTTCTCCCCTGCTGAGTCATTTCTCTTCGCTCAATTTTGTTCGCAACTTGAGCTTCTGGAATTTCCTTTCTTTCCTACTTCTTTTTTGGGGAATGGGACAGGTTAGAAGACAATTGTTTTCGCGTTTTCGGAAGCCTTCCCGGGGGAAAAAAAGTTCGATACAGCCAATATGTTGTTCGTAATAAAACATACTTTATACATCAATTTTTATTTAAATTTTCCATGAGTCGATATCGACAACCATTCGCTGTATGTGGGTTCGTTCTAAACGGGTTTCATTGTAAGACTTGGAGCAAAACATAACGCGAGGCCGCAAATGTCGCCGAGAGCAATCGTCCTTCTGATTGCTCTTTCATTTTTCCCTAGACTCATCCTACTTAAGGGGGGACACTCCCAAAAAAATTATTACCTTTGTAATTCGCTTGACAGTGTTGAAGCGATCTTCCTGTGCCTCCACGGTCTTCATAAAGTCGTCGTGCTTTCTGATCAGTTCTTCGACTGCGGCGATGGAGTCGCCGTGGTTTTCGTCGCGAAGGAAAGCCTCCCGTCCCGCCAACCACGTCTCCAGCTGGTCGGCATCACGCAGGAACAGCTACGGGAAGGCAGTGAAAGAAAATAGCGCTCATGAATAGATGAAGCATGCTTGGTTGTGGACAAATCTCGAGTATGCTGCCCTCTACTTGAGCATACATAGGCCAAGCAGCTCGGTGGATCATCGATAAATCATTATACGCACAAAGAAAGTTACCTTTGTGCCCTTTGCTGAACCAACGGGGGACAGTAGCATCTCTCGCTCAAAGCACAAAACACAACTGGAATGCAAGTTACTGGTTCAATGAATATCAACCAACCCATAGATTTACCGATTCTGATTCACTCATTTGCTCAGTCATAAAATAAAATTGATCAACAACTCCTTATGCAATCAATCTAATAATAAATAAAAGCGACAAAAATGAGACCAACGGCCTAAAAGAAGTTACCTCGTAATAAATTATAGTAAAAATTAATAAATTGCTCAACAAAACATTGTGCCCGAATAGGTCAGGCACTCATCTAATCCATTCCATAATTATTCAATCAATAATCAGGCTCAGTGTCTCACCTATACATAAATAATGCACATACTAACGATGATAGTTCCTGGAGAAGGGGAAGAAGGGGGACAAAGGAGAAACACAAATCTCCAAACACAGCTAAGTAACTGATGTGCTACCGAAAAAGTCCGCCTGGTCCTGGTGTCGAACCAGGAACCTCTCCATTTTTAGTGGAGCGCTCTACCAACTAAGCTAACTCAAATGGTAGAGCGCTCCACTGGAAATGGAGAGGTCCCGGGTTCTATTAGCCCCGAGAGCGAACACAAGCGTCGCTGCGGTCGCCGCGCCCTGATTGGGTGAGGTGTACCGTGACGTCAGGGGGAGTACTTTGCTCCGCGACCTTGCATCGGCTCGCTTCCCAGCACCGGTTTCCTGGTTTGGCCAGTTTGGCGTTGTGTGCCGCAAGCTCTTCGGGGAGCTGGACTTTGTTTACCCGGTGTACGAGGCGTTGAGTTAGGCCGATATTGACGTGCTTCCGTACATTTTATAAGCCTGCTCGTCCCTTTTACTACCTTTAAAATTGGGTTTCAAACCTCGAAAGCTATCAGCGGAGGCAATTCCGCCGATGAACCTCCTCGTCCGTCCAGACACACGGCAATCTTGCGAGGGGTCAGTGAAGCGGTGGCGCGAGTGTTTCAGAAGCTAGAATTCTGTTCCTTGCATGTTCATGATTTAGGACGATATTACATCCCGCTTTCAAGGCATTTAAAGTGGCATTTATATCATGGGCCTTTGGGTGGTCGGCAAATTAGCTCGCGACCCCGACTCTGCGCTGCCACTCTGTATGCACTGGTTCGCAGATGTTTTAAAGGCCCTGCGTCTGATGATCTTTGAAGTGCTCGTGGAACAGCGTTGTTTTACATAAATGTAGCTTCTTCGTGAATTAATTATATAGTTTATACACGTATGCAGGCATATTTCTTAGAAGATGCACAATTACTGGAAATTAGTTTGTATTGTAGCAGCAAAAACGGCTGAATTGCCCCCAGTTGCCTGTATGATATGTATTGAACTGCCAAAAATATGCACAGAAATAGTGACATAATTTGGAATGGTTATACTTTTTTCTGACATTCTTTATCCCAGCCTTTGGTATTCGGAAAATACAGCGTTGAGTCTGAATTGTCATTTCCAATTAAAAGAGACACTGCTGCAGGTCCCCAAAGGCTTCCTCAGCCTCCAAACTCCCTACAGCTGGACTCTCAGACAGCAGAGGAAAACAGGAGTAAAAGCAAGCATTCGAACGGCTGTCCAGTGGTAGATGCAGCACTAGTAGCAGAAAACGTGGAACCTGTGAAGGGCGACAGTCTGTGTGAGAAAAGCTTTTGATATTTTAGCTTCAGGACAATTCGATTTAAGTAAAATCTCAATTTTAGGGCTTAAGGGACTAATAAAAAGCTACACACCTTCGCTTACGTTTGTTATACATTACTCAAGGGTTGATATAAACAAGTTTACAGATACCACCCATGTAGTCCATTGAAATACTATCCGAATCCAACCAAGGTCAAATGCGAGCAATGTATATTATAAATGTTCCTTGTTTATTTACTTTGCCCCCGCAATTGGGCTGTCGTACTTGTGATTCTCTCTCCATGGCCCAGACTGTATTTAGTATGTTGCCCGAACAACATGCAGCTTTTCTGTTTCGGACATCTTGTTTAAAAACAGAGATCCAAAAAAAATAGTATACATAGCCTGCTAATTTATTCAGACCATCATCAGCATGTATTGTGCGAAATGTAAATCTATAGTGATGCTCCTGCAATTGTGGCCTTATTTCATTTCCATATACCAGCTGCGATTCATGCGTTGCCTGCCCTGTCAACCATGCTTAAAATGTTGGTTGAAGTTTCCCCTGTAGCTACAGGCCATACCTCAATAAAGGCACTTATAATAATTTACACTTCCTACGAAAAAACACGCAAAAAAAGATTAAATAGAAACGAGCGCGCCGACAGCTAGCGTCGTCACAGCCTCCACAGGGCGACCGGGGCGAGTTGGGGAAAAATTCTCTCCTCGCCGTGACGTCACCCCGGTTCGCCGTAAGGGGGCGCCACGCGAACTTCTCGGGGCTAATACCAGGACCAGGCGGATTTTTTCGGTTGCACATCAGTTACCTAGCTGTGTTTGGAGATTTGTGTTTCTCCTTTGTCCCCCTTCTTCCCCTTCTCCAGGAATTATCATTATTCTTGTCCAGCTGGCTCACACGTTCACAATAATTGCATTATCACCATAGCCCGTACAAAGTTATAATCAGAAGAATTTATTGATTTACCGATAAACCACGCTTAAAATAATTTAATAATAATAATAATAATAATAATTTTATTGCAAATGAACATAACGTATGTTAAGTCTGACCTGCCTAAGCCACATTGGGCTTGACTGGCAGCGTCTTAAAATCAGTGAAACCATGCCGTTTGCAAAAGGAAACATGTAAAATAAGATGCACACAAAAAATCAGAATAACAAAAGCAAACTAGTGAGCACTTTACGATCTAAAATTTCTCAGGGCTTTCTTGAGCTTGTATTTTGTTCTTAAATTTAGAATACTAGAAGGTAGTTTGTTCATAAATGCTGGTACATAGTAACTCCGAGCTCTTTTTCCAAATCTTGTCGAACATCGAGGTATCCGGTAACGCTCTTTGGGTCTAAGAATACGAGAAGGTACATATGGAACTTCAAATTGACTATCCCGAAAATGCCTATGAACAACAGTTTCCATCAAGAGCGAGTTAAAATCAGGTAAATGCAGTGCTTTAAACACATCAATGTTCTTATCAAGGCATAAATCATAGGAAATGTTCTTTAGCAAAGAACGCAGAATTGAATTAATTCTAATTTGCCAACGCAGAGCACAATGACCATACACGGTATGAGCACTCATTAAATTATTTATTAAATGAATTACCTCGTCAATCAATAACCAAGTTTGTAACTCGACAAATCAATCGCCGTCGATAAGTTGCTCTATAAATTCCACGACAAACTAATTGTCAGAACCCCCAATGTGGCCAGTCATTCGAGGAACCAGCAATAGTCACTGGCGAGTTGAGAACAACATCCCTTTTGGGCGTGCACACTCTTGAGACGCCTAAGCATTACAGAAGGTAGAAAGCCTGCGCTGGAGGCGGGACAACTCCTCTCTTTCATCCTGGCAGCGTCTATAGGACGGTTTCACAAAACGCTTTTTCCCTTCCGGTAAGCCACGTTGATGAACAGCGTCCACCACTTCCCCCATCAGTTTGTATGCAGACCCTTAGTTATGTGGACACTGTTTTCATGCTGGTGAAACACACAAGCAGGGTGAGCGAGCCTGTCGACGACAGAACTCAATAAGTGGGATAGGGGATGTATAGTTGGGTCGCACGACCCTTATTTATTCCATATTTGTCCTTCCGACTCGCGTCAAGTGTGTCCGCTGGCGACATTTTAATTTCCGACGTGCCGCTTGTTGGAGCGGCGGCCCGCCTTAACTAGGAATAAAAGGAGTTACGTTTGAAAACCGAGTACACCAGCCAACACACGTTTATGCCGCTGACTACACCGGCCGACGCAGTCGATCGCGGCGCAAAATAACTCGAACGAGCAGTTTTTATCGGTCAATCGAGTTATTAGTTACGGGTAGGGCGAAAGTTGGTCGGCACGGCGTTCAGCAACCTTTCGAGCCGGAAGCGTGTCGCGTGAAGCTGCCCCGCAGAGAGAAACCCAAACCCTTGCCAGGCGCACCAACCTGGAGGTCGAGGCTCTGGTCGTAGACCTCCCTGCGCCGCGTCCAGGTGTGCTCCAGGGCGGCCCGGGAGTCCGAGAGGCGCCGCATGCGGTCCTCGACCTCGTCCGACATGAAGTGCCCGCTGGCCACAATCTGCTCGCCCGCCATCAGGAAGCGCTTGAAGCTGTCCGCCCGGGCGTCCATCTCCGACCTGTGCTCGCCGTGCCGTGCCAGCAGCGCTTCCGCCCCGGCCACGTCCCGCGCCAGTTCGTCCGATGTGATGCGGGCCGTGATGTCGTTCATCCACGCCCTGCACGGCAAGGAGGCAATTGACAGGTGTCCGGTGGGGGATTCTCAACGGCCGTAACCCATTTAAACGACTGCTTTGTACAAATGCACTTACGGTATTTGCTCTCAGAAACAATGACGACGTAAATTTGTCCGAGGATCGAGCCACGGTTGTGCTCTACCGTTACGGAGTTAGAGAAAGAAGCGAGGCATCGTTTGTTTTCGTGATGCAAGAAACGTGTTTACTTTTTTTTGCCGGCACCCTCGTATCGTCTTCGCCAATTTCACCCAGAACCGATTTTGTATTTGTGGTGCCGCCCTTCTTTCCTTACTGCATTAAAATTCTGGCGGGTTCAGGCTGCCTGTAACATCACAAACAGCACTTCCACTGCTGTCATTAAAAAAAAAAAAAAAAGTTTTATCGCAATTTTTATGTTGCACGCCAGACTTGTTTACAGTTAGGAGCAATTCTGAAACGTGCCTCCATTTCGAGACATTGACACCGGAATAAAAGGAACTTTCAGAATGGTATTTTAGCTCGATGTTTGTGTCTCGCAACATAATTAATTTGGATGTTTTTTTTTAGGTTTAGTGACCTACTTATGTGTCCTATCCCGGAACTTGGAAATGTTTTTTGTGATCCGAGTACGATTTTTAAACTTTTCATCTTGACGAACCTCTATTCGCCAAGACTCCGAGCAGCACAAAAGCTTATGGAGCTCATAAACAATGACACACATACTGAGGAGTGTTTGGCCGAGAGCGACGCATCAGTGGGTGGCTTAGGTTCGCTAAAACAGTCCCAAAACTAGCAAAGTGCTTTGTTTACAGGAGCAGTGGCCAAGAAAATTTGGGAGCCCAAAGAACTCAGCATGCTACTCTGGGAAACCCCCATGTTTCTAGGAAACCACTTCCTTTAAGGTACAAGCTCAACAAAAAATTGTTCAGCCTTTCCACTCTCATGAAGAAGGAAAACCAGCGGAGCTGTACTCAATACACTCTGTGCTTCTTCTTCGTTGTCGTCTGTTTTTTGCGCCGTTTCCTACGATGAATTCCCACCAACGCGCCCAACTATCCATTCTTCTATGATAGCTGGAAAGGTTGCCGCCATCTATGAGCAATGGCGGAACCCATAGTGGTTGCGTGCTTGCCGCCGTCGCTTATAGATGGCAGTAGCTGTCCAGGTAGGTTTGTGTCGACATACACGGACACGATCCTGGGGAGCCTAGCCCTTAACAGCTCCGCTGTAAAAAAACATTCAAAATTCCTCCTGTACATACAAGCCAGTAGAAAATATTCGGTATTCTACTCTATGCACAATAACGCCTCTAGTGTTTTGTTTGGTAACCAGACTTATTATTGTTTGCCATTTATTTTTTTGCATGTCAGATTGCCATAACATGCTGCATCAAATCAGTTTTTATAGTATACCCTGTAATAACTCAATAAAGTTTAGAATTTAATTTTTTCATTCATTAAAATTTTTTCCAACACTTTCTGCCATTAGGCTGTTGTCAAGCTGCACATTTGCAGCTTTTTGCCGTGTGTTTCGCTTGCCGAGCGAAGGAAATCAAGATTTTGAATATTATAAATGGCACCAAGACGTACATGAGCTCCCGGTACTCGTCAAAGTATGCCTGCAGCTGCTCTGCCTGTCGCAGCTTGTCGCCCCGCTGGCGGGAGCGGCCCAGCAGGGTGTTCCAGGCCTCGGACACCTCCTCCCGCTTGACCTCGATGTGCTCCCGGGCGTCCGGGAACGTCTCCCCCAGGCGGCGGGCCTCCCGCAGTAGCGCCTCCACCTGCTCCTGCACTGCTGCCAGGTCACGCTGCACAGCCACCACGGGATGGGCATCAGAACGACAGGACGCAATTGCCGCGGATATGACAGCATCACAATTAACCTTTTCAGCATTTAACCGGCAGGTATGCCGTAAAATACCACGAAAGCACCCACTTCGTTCAAGCGCCGTTTCCCAACATTTCCCAAACTTGGGAATTTCGCAAATTCTACGTTAGACGTCTGATTTCATTGGACGAGGGCTCATGTCTATATTAACCCAGTTTTCAGTGAAGAAGGGCTGGGCGCTCCCCCGTTTTCTTACGGCAGTTCAACACAGTGAAAAACAGCGCTCGAAGAAACTGGACAAAAGGTAGGAATGCGAGACAAATGTGCTGTTCCACAATCACCAACTAATCCAACTTACCACCTTGCGGCAGGTATAGTATTAGCCAACAATGGCTCTCGTTATGCAAAAAAGAACAAAGCAAATTAGACATTCGTGTTTAGACAACGTAAGGCCGCTCTGCCTTTGAAGTGCAGTGACCCCAATTTACGCTGCAGATAAGAACTTTGGACATTGCAGTACGACTGCTATCCTGGGATCTTCAACGTGCAGCTGATGGAGATCTCAAAATAATCTTCTCTGGGCTCCCTGCGCAACCTCTCTGGGGGGCACCTTTATTTACACTGTGTCACATGCATGTGTCAGCCGAAATTTGACGGCATCACGATTTTGGGCAAAGGGGCTGACAAAACTACGAGGGAATTGCTGGAAGCTTACGAGATAGGAGAGGAGGGTGATAATTGTGTCAGCCAGACAATGGTTTATTTACACAAGGAAGATATAACTTTTTGTACCACGTCTTGACGCGGTGGTCGTTTACCTTGTTGTTTACTTTTCATTAAACACTCAGTTGAAGTTCAGCGCTCGTCCTGTCCATTCCTCCCTTTGTCTGTGTATTTTTTGCGCACTGCTAACAGCTTGTAATCATGAACCAACTCGCCTGCACCACTCACTGATCCAATTAATTATTTATTTACTCAGTAAACTGCAGTGAGTTGTTTATAGCCAAGGTTTAATTAAATATACGGTCAGACTTTTCTGCAGTGTTCCCGTCCACTTTCAAGGCTGCTGTTGCTGTTCTTTTGGCTCTTTCACTTTTATAAAGCTTATATAAAATACTTTTGCCATCCCAATGACTTCATTCCAGAAGAACCTCGATCATGCGTCCCTGGTTTATGCAACATCCCGCATTTTACGACGAATTTGCCCAGTCCCGACGAACTCTCCCTAGAAATGATGTATTAAAAGATTAGTTTACACGACGAACGATTCTACACGTCCTGCGTCATACGACGTTCCGGCAGGAAATGCGCAATGAATTTGACGGCTGCATGAGGAGGGGGGCGGCGGTGCGGAAATGGGGAAGAGTTCTGCGCACCTGCGTGCCGTTTCAGGGGATCCAAAAACACGCTGCTGACAACCCAAAAAAAGCCGCAGCGCGAAAAGGAGCAGGACACAGCGTTTTCCCTTCTCCTATGCTATGTGAAATGACTCGGCATTTTCACATAGCATTCTTGCTCCGCTCATCCCATCGTTCTCCCGTTTACCCTCGCTCTCCTCTGCGTGCCACTTTCTCCAACTAGTTGCTTCTCCCAGGATTAAGCACGCTTCCGCTGGTTTCCACCTTTCCCGCTCTCGGAAAGTGTGAGAAGTGACAAGGATCCTATCGTCGCGATTGTGCATGGCGGTGAACAATGTCTCACAAACAGACATCGTTTAAAACCTCCACTTGTCTTTTTCATGCGAGGTTGATCACTGTACTGTCAAGACCGGTTATAACGAAGTCGGCTATAACGAAATAGCGGCCACAGCGAAGCGATCACGAGTTCCCATTCCCTTCTGCTCTTCGTTATAACTTAAGTCGGTTATAACGAAATACCGGATATAGCGAAGTGATTTCCGATTCCCGTGGACTTCGTTATTCGCGACTCCAACTAACTATAGGTGGCGCCACTCATTTTCCAAAATGGCGGTTATAGTGAGGGTCGGAGATGCGTGCCGCTGTTGAGCCTGTCTAGAGTACTGGCTTTACTGAGCGACACAAATTATTTCTGGTAATACGAGGAAGCTAGGGTGTTATGGGCGCAGGTCACCTCTTTACCCTGAAAGCAAGAACGGTGTTTAGCTTTATATTTACGCAAGGATGGGCGTTTTAAGTCTGGAGCGAAACCGAAACTAACCCCTTTTTTTTTATTAATTTTAAACTGCGGGCCTTTTGATGGGTTTTCGGGTATTTAGATAATTAATAGGTTAAACAGGAATAAGAGAAAAATTCCAATTTTTACAAATGTCCACAAAACATGTTAATTAATAAACGCTGTTCTCACTGCAACAACCCAAAGACGGAATCCGAGTCAGACAACTGAAGTGTGTGCGTGTGTTTTTTTTTTATAGTAACGCGTGACGCATAGGACTTTATATTACATCCAGTGTTTGACTGTTTGTTTATCTTGATAACGATGTCAGAGTTCTTCATATGCTAAAGAGAAAACAAAATCATACCTTTCTCTATAGACTAATACGGTCAAATGGCGTATTTTCGTAATCTTGGCGTTAATTGGGGGCATACATTGCCGCGATTGGTATTAATAATAATATTAAAATTCAGCTATTGTAATACGTAATTTTTCAAGCGTTGCTTATGATCTAATTTCAAACGCGCGAACAAATATGACAACCGAAAGTGTGCTAATTATCAACACTGGTGCCAATTGCAAAATTTTAATTATCAATTAATAAAATAAAGCTAGTCTGAAGTCAATGAAAACATTCTAGCTAAAGTGAGAAATCCATGTAAAATTACATTAACTGTGGTTAAAGTATATTTTTTGTATCAAAGTCGCCACTTTTTACAATCAACAAAACGTAAGTCGCCGCCAATATCCTTCCAGACCAAATGCCCATAAGATTTTAGAAAATAATTATTAATTTTTTTATAACATTTAGTTACTTTCATTTTTACGCTCCGTCGGTTTTTCCAATCTCAGCCTTTCCAGTTCGAAGGAACACCTACTTGCTTGCACGACTGATTACTGCAGCACGTTTCGATGGCGTTGGAAGCCGGTGAAACAGTAGCGAGTTTTAGTAATGCGTATACGAGCGAACGCAACTGCTTTGTGTTTCCGTTAGCTTTGCGTGTTCCACACTGCGCGTGCGCGGAGCCCAAAATTGCGCTCTTGGATGGCGCATACCAACGAGGCGCACGCACAACGTGGGACTTGCAACTCTAACGCAAACGCACACGGCTTTCGTTTGCTTCTATGCGCAATACTAAAACCCTCCAGTAAGGTACAACCCCATACCAGCAGCAGCACTACGTTGGGACCATGAAGAGTGTTATTTGCATTCGTAAATGACATTTCGCGAGCTATGATCTCGAGCAGTTCCGCCGTGCCTGCTGAGCAGGAGAATCGGGGGGACCCTCACTAGAGCGCTTCCCGTTTCCGCCGCGGGAGGGCGAGCGTCGAGCTGGAGACGCGAATAACCGGTCTCGACAGTATCCGTAATTAGTTTTTTTTTGGATGATACGACTTGCGGATTATACAACAATCTTACGCGGTCCCGCAATGGAAGTTCCATTGTATAACACGGGATTACCATTCTCTTCTAATTTCTTTACTTAACTCTTTTTTCTTACTTTCGTGTTACGTCACCTGTGAGCGTGGAGATGTGCACGCGAGCGGCGGTGCCCACGGTTTTCGACAATAATGCTTCAACAAGGTTTTACTGTATTTAGCGGTTTTTAGATGCTCCGTTTGGTAAACTCCCGTTTGTCACAATCTTTGGTATTAGCAAAGATGGGCAGAAATTTTCTGAGGAGCTTAAGTTATCATAATTTTGTATATTGAATTATCAATATATCTAACTATTTTACAATCTCCCCTGAATTCGATATATCCGGGCACGACTACATAAAAAGTTTTTATCTGTGCTCGGTGACAGTTTTAAAAATGAATGATTCATCCAATCACTACAGACTGGTATGAACTTTTTTCAAAACCTCACAACTTTTAAACATAGACCACAATCTGTTAATGGCAGATGATCGTGCAACAAGTTTCTTCTTCATTCATTGTTGCCTAGCCTCATTTTCGGAAGGCTCGTTTTTAATTTATCTTTCCCTATATACAACCCTTCCTTTCTTTCGACCAGTTCCCTACCGAAGCCAAACTCTGCATGAATATAGACATTCCGACTCGCAACCAGCGATTTCAACGTCCGACCCGTGCCTTAGGACACGGTGCAATGAGCCTGTGGGCCCGGCTACCTGGAATCCCTCGTGGTGCCTGCTCAATGCCTGGATGCTCTCCAGGTCGTGTCCGAAGTCGTCGCTCAGCAGCATGGCCTCCTTCTCGTAGATCCAGCTGATGGTCTCGTCCGCATTGCGGTCAAACGTGTGCACCTGCTTGGCTCCCGCAAGCGCCTGGAGGACCAAGGGAGCAAAACGTCAGTTGCAAAGTCGCCAGAAACCTAGTGGTACTATATTTCAGAGTGTTTGCAACCGCTCGATCAGGGTCCCATGGTTATCAATTGCAACATGAGCCAAGGAGAGGAGGAGGAAGTGCCCATCTCCGCCTCTCCACCGACTTACCTCCTTGCCACGCGACGATGGAACGGATGTGCACTTGCAACCGATCTGCCGAGGAGGCGTATGCTATTCAATTGCCAACTATCTCCACAGTTTCAGTTGCTCTCTCTCTCTTAAGGGGGGACACTAATCTTGGAGCTTTTTTTTTCTAATTTTATGACCAAGCTTAATGAAACTGCACATGCTTGTTCAGCTTTATGTGCTGATTTCATATATCAGTAGAATTGTCCTCAAGATAAGTAAAACTTGCCTGCCTTTCTTTCGAGGAACAATAAAGAGAAAACTGCTCAACAAAATATCCTTTTTAACACATGGCTAGATACTACGAAGTGTAGAGCATAAAATGTTGAAAATACTTTTAAGATAAACCCATCATTAGTGATTTTACCACACACTGAATTTCAGTGCTCAATGCATGGCTAACAAGTAATAAAACAAAAGATCAAAAAGAACATTCGTTAGACTTATTTAAAAAAAATTTACTCTCAACATTGTATGGTTCACACATTTAGCTACACGTTTCAGGAAAGGTTATATTTCTATCTGCTCTAGGTGCTGAGATATCCCTTCTGAAAAGTTTCAACGAGTCAATAAAATGCATTTTGTGAAAACAATGTTTTGGAGTAAACTTCAACGCACATTCAGCCCACATGGACATTATACACTGATTTATAGCTCAAATATTCATCCACGAAATTAGAAGCCTACTAGATTCAGAAGAACAGCTGTAGAGGTCAACGTCGCCAATTTCAGAAGAATTCAGTTTTAAGAATTCTTTTGGCTCCAAATACCCATGTCCCCCCTTAAATCTAGGCTTTCTAAATGGAGACAGAGAGAAAACAAATGGTGCTGTGGAGAGCTTGGCAAGAAACCAATAGAAAACACGGTAACCACTACTGCATTGTGCGCATTGAAGGTTCCAGGTTGGCAGCCTTACTGCGTCGGCTAAACTGCCCCTTTACTGCGGAGACGGAACGTGAAGACGTCTTAGAAGGTGACGCGGTAATAAATTTGTGGGACTGACGCGACGAAAATGTGAAACGGAAGTGGTACGTGCGTCACCGAATGCCTACTTGTCCCCAAAGGAGTAAGTCAGAGGGTTTCACACTGTCATCACATGCTCGTAACTTTGCCATTTCTGAACCGGTTTCTAAATTTCCAGCGCAAATCGATTCGTCAAATTGAAACTAAAGGTTTCCAAAGGGTGCTGAAAATACATTTAAAAGCTTTTTTTGCCAAACAAAATTATTGTGCACTGAGAAACAGCCAAAGACTCTCCAGGAAAATTTGGTCGCATTTGGAAGGCGTAAAGCGACTTCACGCTCTCCCACGCACTAATCCAAACAGGCCAGACAGCCAAGGTCTGTCAATAGTACAAAGTGTTTTTAACGCAGAATGTGTTATAAGACTGAGTTTCGTGCAAAAGCGACACACTCGACCGGCACAAAGTCAAGGTCGTATAAGCAATAAGCAGCACAGGGGGAATATTGGTAATATGATTTTCAAGCGAGGGTGTCGTGCGACACTGTGACGTCAGGTGACTTCATGACATCGAGTGACTAGCTCTCAAGTTTGGCTATCATGCGATGTCACGATATTTTGTCACATCACGTCACGAACACACAGCATATGCCCAGCTCATTCGCAACACATTTTGCGCCTCCTCCGAGTTTACCAAATATGATAAAGCCACGCATAAATTTTTTTCATTAATTGCAAACATCGACATTACCTTTGGTGTCAGTTTTTCTCCGATTATATGGTGAGACCCTATCAAACTTTTCTCACGTCTAAAACTAAGTTTATTTGGCACGCGACTCAAATAGTTTTGCTCGTTGCGTCGAAACAGCAACAATTCCTAGCATGGCCTTTTGTGTTATTGCCTTCCGTCTCTCCCACCAAGAAAAAATAGGCAGCAGAAATCAATATTGTTAGTTGTCTATGAATTGCAATAGCATTTGTCATGAGACTCACGATGCAGCTCACTGAATGCGACCACACAAATTTTGAGAAAGCACTTTATTTTGTGAATGGTTTACGATGCAATCATGGACGTCAGCGCCACTGCAGTGCGCCACCTTGAAATTGAGCGATTGCTTCGTCTGTGTGTAATTGTTTAATCTGTCTCTGTAATCGTTTAAAGGGGCACTGACACATCAAAATCATATTTTTTTTTATTATCCGAAACGGTTGAAAACGATGCCGGGACATTACCCTCAAAATTTGAAATTTGGGAATTCAGTATTTGTGAAGTAAAAAAGCAATTTCCAAATGCCGAATTCGAAGTTCCCGCGCGATCGGCGCCGGTGCCTTGACGTCAAAAATTGGGGAGACCTGAGAGTCCACTTTCCTGTCACCACTCCCTGCTGTTGCCATGGCGACCCAAAGCGAGGAGGATAGGAGCGAGCGCCGGCTAGCGCCGGCGTTGCGGCGGACCGGTTTTGAGCGGTGTCGCCTGTTTTCCGTTGGAGGATACAAATCCAGGAGACGGCACCACAACAAACTCCCGATTTTTGGTATTTCAAAAAGAAGGGCCGTAGTGCGTTCGCAATTGCGTTAAAAAACATGTTTTAGGATTGCCGTCATTAAATGTTATAAAGATGCCGCCTACAAAGCTTCTAAATTTCCTGATTTTTGACGTCACCGATCAAAAGAAGCGAGGAGGCAAGAGGCGGGAAAATCAAACGCCAAAAATAAAAAGGCGCGCGCAAGAAAATTTTTTTTCGCGATGCGGTTTTTTTTGCGTGTCTATGGCTGCAACTTGCATCGTTTTAGACAATAAAAATTAATACGACCTTTGGGGTGTCAGTGCCCCTTTAATGCTCAAGCTGTTTCCCCACAATCACTGTAACTGCGTATGTGTGTCTTGTCCTGTGTCTGTGTATTCATTTAATGTTCAAGCTGTTTCACCACCATCATTGACCATACACCAACTAGCTGAAATCTAACCGATAATTACTTCGTAGCTTGGACACAAATGTGGATGTGTGCATACTGTTGTTCCATGTATGCACAGCACGGATTTATCTGCTTGCTATGACGACGTCCTAAAGGACGACGTCAACGACGTCTAGGATGCCCCCTGGACGACCTCAAGGACATCCATAACAACCTCAAGGACAATGTCTAGGACAGCGTCCCAGAGGTTGACATTAGAATGCCCTCTAGGGTAGTCTCAAGGATGACCTCTTGGACGACCTCAAGAACGACATCCAGGGCAATGTCCTAGATGACGGCATCAATGTTGACGTCTCAAACAACCTCAAGGTCGACCCCTAGGACGACGTCTGGGTACGTGGAGCGCCTTTGTATGCATATGTCGTGCACATGTGGCTGTCCTGGCTATGCGGACATCCTGCATATGTGAAGGCGCCGTGCTGCTCTGCGGTGCATACGCAGAGTGCATTCGAGGCCAGATACCGTATTGCGAAAACCGTGTGAACTCACTAAGAAATGCCCATCGCATTAAAAATAAAAAAAAAAAAATGTCTCCCTGCTTCTAGCGATACTTGAAAAGTAAAATTATTTTGACATAACTTGGAATAACTTTGAAGTTGGTTAGGTTCCCTCTGCCAAGCGCTTGAAACCGGACTGCATTGGAGCGAAGCGACAGCCATGGCATTGCAAGTGCCGCATACGAGCGGCCGGAAGGGTCACCGGCACTGGCAAGCGCAGGAGGCCGGCACTCCGATTATGGTGCCTGGCACGTGCCCCCGACTACCGTGTCCTAAAAAGTGCTCTGCCCGATGACGTCGCACAAGTGTCACACTGTCTCCTGCCGCGACCCCAGTAGCGTCACAACCGCAGTGGTGGATCTGGCAGACGTTTTGCCGCAGGTCTCTCTCCAGCTAGACACGGAAGTTTCAGCAGCCAGGAGTTGGGAGGCCATGACGACAGCGACACTGCATTCTTTCGTGCTTCTTTCGGAACATCTACGCCCAATCACCAGGTTTGCAACATCCGACAGCATGACACTTGGGCTTTTGTGGTGCCACTCGTTGCATCTTCGTCCCACTTCCGAGGCATGGGCAGAACAATAGCACGCTCGACGCACCAGCCTGAGCTGCATTCCCTGCCCCATACTCACGTCCTGGCGAGCTGCGGCGCACTCCTTGCACTCCTCCCAAAGCCGGGCCACCTCGGCACAGCGCCGGTTGGCCGTGTCGCTCTGCGGGTGGCGCTCGGCTGCCAGAGTGCGCCCCAGCTGCTGGATGCGCCGCACGCGCTCCTCGCTTGCCTGCAGGGTCGTCAGGAACGCCTCAAACTTCTGTTGCAGGATCTGCAAGAGAGGAAACAGAGCCCCGGTTGTTCCCAAAAGAGCCATTTCGAGAAGACCGGAGCAACACCCAAAACTTAGTCAGGGAGGTATTCGTTACGCAACTGCATTCGAGGCTTTGCACCGAGCGTCGAATGCGCTTGGTACGTTGTCTACCGACTACGGAAGATGGTATTGAATGGCAAAACATATTCTCATTTATGGATGTAATCACCTTTCACTCGACGAATTCATTGCACTTTCAATCCTGAAAGCTTAATTTATTCACAATCTGAATTCCCTAGCGTTCCATTCGGGTCATTCATGAACTGCAACTTTCTGTTTTTCGTCCTTCAAGAATGTTTTCTCTGACAATCAGTCTCGTCCTCGTAGTCCGATAAGTGTAACTAGGTCTCCTATGCTTTACGGCGGGACCAAGTGGGACGGAAAATCCGAGACATCACCGCCGTCTGCGATTGGTCAGTGCCGTGCTGCTAACCAATTGCAGAGGGCCCCAGGAACCATGTTTGGGCTCAATCGGGCAAATCTTACATACAGTGATTCACGCCTGCTCGAGAGGTCTAAGGAACCCCAGCTACAGAGAAGGGTTTCCGTTGTGGAAGAACCAAAGTCACCGTTTCAAAGTTAAATTATATCTGCAATTAACCACAGTGAATCTTGCGGGACTGAGAGAAAACAATGTAAACTGTCACGCCCACTCATAACGAAGTTGGTTATCAAGAAATGGCAGCTATAGTGAAGCGATCACGATTTCCCATTCCTTTTTGCACTTTTTCAATGTATCTGCATCTGTTTTTAAAGAAGGAAATGAAGCGACTCTCTTGGATATAGCGCAAGCAAATTTTGGGATAATTAAAAAAATAATTAAATTCAGAAAAGTTACCAAGTTGCAGAGCGCCACACTTTGCTGCTGCAACCAAGCAGCCACCCAGAACGGGCAGCAGACGATGCTGCAAAGGCCGGCAGCGGCAGCCTCTGCATCGTCGTCTGCTCCTCGCTTCTTACCTAGGAAGGGGCTTTTCTGCACTGCACGCAGAGGAGCCGTCGTGGCATGTCAGTAAGGGTGTTCGGAGCCCTAGCGACAGTGTACCGACGAAGAGAGCCAAGATTTAAAAGAGGAAGGAACTCCGACCATGGAGAGCATTTGCAATGTAATGGCAGATACCTGCTGGGTAGATTGGCACAAGTGAGCATGCATTGGGTCGTCGCGGGGCCAACGTGGCGAAGATACCGGGCGGAAAGGTGGAGACATTTGCAGACGATAAACGCTTTTGAACCCTTGCAGGTTGCAGCTCGTTTTGCGAGCATACCTTATAAACCACGTGACCCCGATCGACCAGTTCGCTCCTCTCTTAAACCTAGGCTCTCTACACCGACAAAAAACAAACTTGAGCGTCAACTTGGTACCAATAGTGCTTCTTTGTTTGCTTCAAGTTCCGTGTCGGCATTGCTGGTCGGCATGGTCGCTCTCTGCGCAAAAGTCTAACTTCACTCAAGCACCGATTCAACGAAGCATCGCCACTCAACGATGGCAAATGCGCCAAGTTCCGACACAGCACGCACCTCGACGGGGAGGAAAAAGGCAATATTCTTAAAACAAAAACGTGCCATTCTCGACAAAGTGCGCATGAACGTAACAAGTGCCGCTCCACCACCGGTGTCCTCCGTGACAGACATTGCAGCTATAGACACGGTCCGTACGTAGCTCGCGGGATCTCCTCTCGATCAAAGCTTCCTTTCGCAGTTGGTGAGAAGCAGCTCCGATCTAGCAGAAAGTGCGCAGGGAAGTCTCGACCGCTTTCTGGAGGCACAATAAACATCTGCCCGTGATGGCCCATGTTATTTCTCTTTTTTTTTTGTGTAACTTTTATGGAGTTTAGATAAAACGAAGAAGCGGATATAGTGCATTCCCGCTGACTTCGTTATAACTGGTCTCAACAGTAATCTGTGAGTTGTATGGTCCAAGAAACAATTACCACCTTAGGGCTTTTCCCTGTATGAAAAAAAAAATTCTATAATTACTTCTGAAGCAAACCCCTGTTGGGCAAAAAAAAAAAAAAAAAAAAAAAAACGCAATAAAATCTTAAAATAAATTTAAAAAAAAGTAAATAAAAGCGTGGTGCGGTAGAGGAATCAATAATATTTTATTAGTGTGTTAGTATTAGCACAGACATGACAGGGAAAATGCGACGGTGTCCGTCTGTGGACAGAACAGCAGAAATTGATGCACGCTGTGTAGAGAGGAGGAAAGTAGCAAAGGACAAAGGTGAGAGGGAGGTGACGTCACGGGGCAAAAGTCAATGCGTGCATTCATGCTGAGGCGAGTCTGAACTTGCAGGTGTGCGGAGTCACTAATGCCTCGATTTGTGCTAGAAAATATAAAGGAAGATTCATTAATGGATCTTTAGGAAATGCGTTAGCATGAACCTTGGGAAACACTAACACTAACCCTATAACGAAATCAAAAAGAGGCAGCAAGAAATAGAGGAAGCAAAAGAGAAAGCGAAAGCAGAAAAGTGAAGAGGTTAGCGTTTCCCCAAAAGGGGACGTGTGTGGCATTTCTCAAGGGTCATGCTATTGCATTCCGTAGGGATCCACCTCATTTGCAAAAAAAGTAATGGGTAATTTCCTTTCGGGGGCCGCCACCTCTTGAAGCAGGTGAGCAATGTCATTTTGAGTGTACCCAAAGTGCCAAATGCCATCAAATGTGACATTTGCACACCGCCATATTCGTCCGAAGTAGCAGCATCGCGGAAATTCCTTTTCTGACGACTTCATCAAGCGGCACCGCGTCGCGGACGCAAATGTTGGCATTGGCATGAGACGCGGTTCACGGGCTATGATGAGCTCATCTGGGCATGGCATGCCGTTATCCGAGAGCATGCGAACTGCTGTAGAAAACGTGAAAATTATACGCTGAGAATACACAAAAACTCGAAGCCTTTTTTGCTTTCCGAAAGCACGGCATCTGTTAGGAGAGGCACGCAGTTGCATGCCTCGCCACAAGATGGCGCCACGGCGGCATCGCGAGGACGCCTTCCGCGAGACTCGAGAGAGGGCGCGCGGGATGCGCGGCGGTGCGGGGGACATCGGCGGACGAACAGGGAGCGGGGGACGGACAAAAGACGGCGAGCGGAGCGCGCGGGGCTGCCGCGAGTGCTCGGGAATAAAGGAGTTCCGGTTATGAGAATGCCTTTGCTCTGAAACCGTAAGTGAGCTAGCGCGGAAGCTCGCTGGGCCCTGACAAGGGGGGGCTCGTCCTCTGAACCCGAACTACCCTGTTAGACCAACGGCAAGTCCTGCGAGGCAGTTTTACGTCCTCATCTCGCCAGCGCGCCGACATGAGCACGAACAACGTGGTCAGCGAACTGCTGGCCCAGACGGACGGCAGTGCCATGGACCGGGAGCTATTGTCTTCGTGTGTGCGTGACGTGCTCCTGAACACACCGTTACAACAGGACACCGAGGCGTGCACGCAGGAGCCGACGCCTTGGAAGTGCGGTAACATCCAGTTGCCGAAATTCATCGGCTATGAGGACAAATTGCGAGTCATGAAATCCAATCTTCTAAAGTACTATTGTTTAATGGGAAGTCTGTTGGGGCCGTGCCAAACCGCCATCGAATGCAAGACGTCGCATAAACTGGGGATGCATAACTGGGGTTTTGAAGTGGGTTGAGGATGTGGAGGTGGGTTGAGAATGTGGACTCCAAAGGTTAACACGTTCAAAAGTATAGATATTTTGTTTTTCTGCTCGAATCGAAGCGAGGTTTTAGGTTTAAGTCAAAGACTTAGTGACTGTACCATATTTTCCTAACTATAGACCTTTCCAGCGGCAGTCTCGAACGAAGCGATTTATAGCGCGCGTCCCTGGTTATGAGAGTGTACATCAGTGTTACCCGACTGCGCTGAGCTGTGGAGTTTCTCGTCAGTGGGCTGGGGCAGCCTGCGTAGGCGCAATTTCGGACGCTGGTAACGACTGAATCGCCGCGTTTTCTTTTTTATTTTGTGTTCTGTGGAGAACATAATTTATAGAGGTATTTAAGAAAGCAGTGCTCTATTTTTGGAAACAAATACAAAGAAATGAAAGCTGTTTTGGTGAGTCCGAGCGCGACAGAAGAAATGCAACTGGAATGTTTGTTTAATTTTATGTTCATCGTTTAACGGCACCGTACACTCAGCCTTGTCAATCTATATAGGTCAAAATATTTGACCACACAGGATATCCGAACTGCATGGATATTCCCCGCCCACAACATGAAATTCAATGAGTCCCATCAATCGAACAACATATATTGCACATACCCCATGGTGCCGCGTTATCCGAACAGGATTGAAGAATGGTCTCAAATAACACAGCATATCCAATATACAGTGTCGACGATAGTTACTTCACGACAATCGGACGGAATCCAGCGTGTTTTGAGGAACATGTAGAAGAGAGCAGCTTTTTTGCACAGCTTCAAAGCAAATGAACGAACGTGTCTATCTCGTCCCCACACCCCGGCCCGACCCTATCAGCTATTTTTCGCGAAAACCCGGAACACAGCCGGGAAGGCCTTTTGGAGATTATCTCAACGGAAATAATCCTCCAAGAACGTCGAACTGCCTGCGTCGCGGGCTGCTTGAAGTTCGCTCTCTTCGTTCGTTTCCTGCGAAGGCCGAGGAGGCTACGAGCCTTGGTATTATCTGGTTCTCACAGTGGAAGATAACATACAAAGGGTAAGCATCCTAAACAGGCGAATAAAGTAAAAACTTCCAAGAAAAGCCGGCGAACTCCGAATGCCAAATGCAGGTGGGGAGTCACGCTGACCGGGTTTCCACAGCTCAGGCGGGTGCCAGAAATTTCTGGCTGATAGGGGTCGCTCTCTTCGAAAAATGGCGGCGGCCAAAGCGCTCTTTTTGCAAAGGTCTATAGTCTATAGTCTACAGACTATACATGTCAAGAATTTTAAATTTTACATTGTGTGGACTATCTGTGGGTGCACGGACTGTACGAGGACGTTTTTCTAGATCGTTCGTTACGACGGAATACAAGAAATTTTTGAAATGACAGAGTATGTTAACAATGTTTTTTGTATGATACAAGTTTCTTTATAAGCCAATAAAGAATGCTCCAGGTGTAGACTATCTGAAAAAAAACTTTTTAGCCAAAATTTCCCCCTTTGGACTATACACTGGATGTGGACTATAGCGCAGAAAAAGAATGGCGGGGTTCACTGGGGAAAAAAAGAGGACTCACTTCGACCCGCTCAAGGTCGTTGCCGTAGTCCTCGGAGCCTGCGATGGCCGTCTGCACCTGGATCCAGTGCTGCACCTCGTCCGTCTCCCTCAGGAACGCGTAGAACTTGGCGCTCTCAGCAAGCTTGTAGCGACGCTCGGCAATGTGCTTCTTCAATGCCACATAGATTTCTTGCAGCTCCCTCTGTGGGAAAAGACACGCCAAAGTGGGGAAATATGTGTCTCCCGCGAGCAACCCTGTTCAACACCAAACGAGGAACGGAACTACCGACAATTGTGTAGAACAGGAGTTTTCAAACTCGTTTACCTTACGTAACGTCCGTTTGCTTCGGATGACAGCCGAGGATACAGTGTCTGCTTTGGCACTGCCACATTTAAAGGGCTACTCCACCGATTTTTTCATTGTCTCCGATTTGCTAGAAATTTTGCTAAACTAACCAACAAACATCGCGAAAATAGTATCCCAAATATTAGGTCAAAATATTGTTTTTTCGCGAAGTTATTGAATTTACAGTTTTGGTCCTCACCGTGTTTTTCAAGCTCGAAGTCTCTACTGGCAACAGTGAAAAAGTGACGTCAGTGGAAGGCAGGGGTTCACTCTTTGGGCTGTAGATTTTGTTTTAAACTGATTCGAAGCAGTTTCATGGTGTCAAATGAATGCTTGGGAAGCTCGCTGCAGTACCCGCGCTCCAGCACGGAGCAAATGATCGGCATATTCTATTTTTTGGCTGCTTGCTCGACTGGCAAGCCTGCCTGCCACTGACGTCAGGGCCCTGAAAAGCGCGCGTATATTTGAATGTTCGTTTTTGCATCATTTTCATTTGCCGATTTCGCAATAACTATTATGAATTTCGCGATTCTGAATAGCATACCGGAGAGAGTAAAGGCCGGGGAGTCAGAAAATATAGTTAGTTGAGGTAGCTCAAAAAATCGGTGGAGTACCCCTTTAAGTGGTACAAAGGCCCACGGACCTCGTATGCTGTTTTTGCTTTGCTCTTTTTTGTTTTGTTTTTTTGCTGTCCTATTTTATATGGTTTTTTTTTTTTTTTTTTTTGTTAGATATATTGTACAACCCTCCATTTTCGCGGCCCAATTTTTCGTGAATCGGCCACACACGTGCTCTTAAATATTGCGAATTTTTCAATTCCCGAAATTCGCAAAAATAAAGGGCTCGCGAACATGAAGGGTTTTACAGTACTTTTTTTATCGATAAAGAATTTTTTTTTTTTTTTACGCGTCTAATTTTCTTTTTTTTTTTTAGTTTTTTATAAATTATCATTGTCATACGCGCTGCTGAGATTACAGCCACAAGCGCGCGAGCAGCGGCGCCCGCGGTTTTTACCACTGCGTTTTAACAAGGCTTTACTCTATTAGGCGGTTCTCGGATACTCCATCATTGCCCGTCATTCAATTGCAGCTCCCACCATTTTCTCGTCAATGTTTCCGCTGTCGAAGTGGCCTCTGTCCACCAGCTGCTTGCTTTGCTTCATCAGGCGGGAGATGTTGGTGCTGAAGCCTTCCACGTCCCGATCGATTCCATCCAGCTTCTTGGCAAGAGCCTGCCAACAGAGCGGTTGATTACACTCGACATAAAAAGCCATTACTGGTTTTTCCACAGAAGATGATTCCGACATTTTCATTTAACAATCATGTTCGGTAAAACCCCTAATAAATATGTCGAACCGTCACGCACTAGTTTTTTCAGGAAAAATCTTTGCTATCTTAGTATGTTGAACATACTAAGATGTTCAACATATTAGCATGTCAAATGCCTGTGCCACTGCTATAGGTATAGTAATTCAACTTTGCTTCACTACAACCACAATTTTGTAGAATTCACCGAAGAGAGGTTTCACTCTGGCTAAGAACAATAAATGAAATTATATCCAAGTACTGCACGCTCAAAAAAAAAGTTTTATTCTCAACCAAAGCCTCTTGGGAAAGTTGAAATGTTTGTACACTCTGAGATCCTCTGCAAACATCTGAATGGAGGCAATTTTCTGCAATTTGTAAGCCAATGAAACTGTGCAGACAGCAATAATTTTGTTAAATTCTTTATCCCCAACTTCCTTTCATGTCCAAAGTATGCAACCATTACCCAATGTTTCAGCCTTTACCTCTAGTAGACGTAAGCTTCAGGCTTTTACTTCCCTTCATGCGGAAAAAGAGTGTGAGCAGCACAAAGGTGCGAACAGCACTGGGCCCCAGTGAGATGCTCACCAGCACAGAGTCTTCGTCTTTTCCGAGATCCGAACTGGTCACCAGAGGCAGCTTCTCCTTCATCCACGCCTCTGCCTCTGTGGCCTCGCTGTAAAACTGGGTTCAAGAGAGACCAACCGTGAGGATGTACATAAATCTCAAAATGCAAACAAGCCCCTCCATAAATATTCTATCAACACTTAAATGCAAACAGGCCCCTCTGTAAATATTCTACCACCACTTTCTTGGTGGCCCTCGAGAAAAATAGAAGCCCCATGATTTCAGATACTACTACAAAATTAAAATAAAGCGGTACTCTCCTTTCGATGTGCCAGCTGAACAAACATCACACAGACACAAAAAACACCATTCACACTGCTGGACATGCAGCTGTTTAATGTTCCTCTTTTTCTCTTTTCGAATAATTAATATTTTATTTTTATTTTTTATCGCATAATTCATTTCCTTTTTTTTTTTTCTTTAAGCCACTTCCGATTTCTGCTTTTTTTGGGATAAGGCGGTTGCACAATCTTCTTTCTTTTATCCTTGCCCGGACGCCGTGGCTCCCCCCGCAAGAACGCTTCCTCCATGTGGTGCAGTGCACCTGAAGGGGCACTGACCCATACCTTCCCCTTGTCCTTGATGGCTAGGACTTCTAGCAATTTACGCGTGAGTTGGTTTCTGTTTGTTCCCACAATGTCAACTTCATGTAGTCTTGCTTCATATTATTCGCACGTTTGGAAGTGAGCTGCTAGGTGTCCTGCTGCTGTTAAGGTTCTTAAAGATGCGGCATGTTTTCTTGTTCTATCATTTATGCAGCGTCCTGTTTGGCCTATATAACATTTCCCGCACGTCATGGGAATCTTATAGATGACCTTTTTTGACATTGGCCATACTTTATCTCGTGTGCTATGTCGAATTGTTTTTTGTGTGTATTTTGTACCTTGTTGACATTGCCACACATGGAATATGCTTCATCGGCGCGGAACATACGTGTACCCCTTGCCAACTTGCTATCTTCTTTAGCCTGTGGGTGATGCCATGAAGATATGGTGCTACCACTATGGGGCTTCGAGGCTTCTCTTTTGTTTGTTGTATGTTTCCCGGACCACACTTCAAATTCTTGCAGATCTTTTCGCAGACTGACATAAAAAGCGCGTTCGGATAGCCAGCTTCCAGTAACGGCTGAACCCTTTCAATTGGGCGGCGGCTCGCGACACCCAGATGAAGCTTTTCATTTCAAAATTAACTCCGATTAAATTCGAAATGAATTAAGAATGACGAAGAACTTTCTATCGCGACGTCGCAGCAACTGTGGCCATCTAGCGGGCACTACACGAGACTTGCACGCGCATGCTTGTTACACAAATACCGTATATAAAGAGGACTGTCAAAGCTGTGGCGTAGCTCCAAGGTAACGCGCCCGCTTCACAAGCGGCGGACCCGGGATTGAATCCTAAGGGCGGCGGGCAATCTTTTTCGAGTATTTAGCAATATCGACGACGGAGTCCCTACACCCTATTAATATGACTACGACATCAACGACTACAATGGATTTCATGTTCACTGGTGGAAAGAGCCTTTAACAGCTATTGCTGTAGAAAGAATTACAATTTAGTTTCTCTCGATTAGCAGGAGCTACAAAAATGAACACACAGCACAAACCCTGTCTGTTCACAACAGGATTTGTGTTTCTTGCAGTCTCACTCTCTTTGCAGCTCCTTCTCCAGGCTATGAGGAGCACATGTTCGTCTGATTTTTATGCAGGGGTTGTTGCCGACGTCAGACCGCCGAGCTCCGACTGGTTCTGAATGAAGGATAGTGGGTAGACTTCAAGGCAGCTTGCTTTGAGCTCTACCTTCTGTCCTTGAATTAGAGCTAATCAGAGCTCGGTGTATTTCTGATGTCAATACAACCCCTGCTCAAGAAAAAGACGACTTGCTCTCCGCATAGGAGGTGGAGCTTTATCGTCGGCTGATGAACGAGATAGTGAACACTGCAGCTCTGATCAGGCGCTGCTCATATTTCCTGGAATGCAGATACGAATGAAAGTTACCTTTTTTGAACGTTTGCTGGTTCCATTATTGTGGTGATACCTCAAAATCCCAGGCATTATGACAGAATCTCTTCAATATGTTCCTAACTGAAATGTCTTCTCAATATAGACTTCTTCCAAAATCCAAGTGACCCTAGCAGCGAGGTGCCACGCGATGCATCTTGGGTACCGGTTGGCCACAGAAATTTCAGTTCTGAATGGACAATTTAACTTCACAACGTCACGTCACGACTAAATACACTGCTCGCATTTTTAAATATGCGACTTCTCATAAATGTATAAAACTGCAGGCATTGCCAAACGAGGCAGAAAAATTGCTGGGGCACTCTTATTCCGGTTCCCAACATGTCGGAGTTTGCACATAGGCAAAAGTAGACTGATGGTAGCCCACCACACAATTGCTCATTGGAGTTTAACATTAATAATTGCATTCTAGTACCAGTGTATCGCGATTGAAATTACATCACTTTGATCCAAAAGAAATTTTTGTTTGCCAGAATCCAAGTTGGCTTTCTGTTACATCGCGTCGAGCAAACAACAAGCCGCGTGGCGTCCGTAGACTTAGTGAGGAGTAGGGGACTGCTGCTCCTCGCGCCAGCACAGCACCCATCTGACACAGTCTCCGTCGAGGCTGATCTCGGCATTCGCAAAAGCTTCATTCCCAATGACTAAACAATCTGAGAGGGATAATATTTGTTACAAGAAAGACTTAGCCGCTTATTTTGCGATTCAAATGCGCTTCAACTGTTCAAACACGTTTCATCTATCGTGGCAGCCCTCCGCCCGCCCCACGAGCTCACCTTCTCCCCCAGGTTTAAACCAAAGAGTGGACGCGCCGTCGAGTTGCTTATGGGCAGTCGCAGACAATCTCACTCTTTGGTGGCCCTGTAGATGTCGTCGCACTTAGAACAGACACTTACGGTGTGCGACTCGAGTGCGTCGAGGAGGCGAAGCCTGCGGACGCTGGCCGCGTCCTTGAGCCGTCCCCAAAAGGTCTGCAGCTCGGCCAGGCGCTGCTCCACCTCGGAGGCCGCAAAGTGTCCGCTGCGCATCATCTGGCGGCCCTTGCTGCCCACCGACGCCACCAGGGGCTCGTGAGCCTGGATCTCCGCCTCCAGGCCCTGTCACATACACACAATGTTGCCTCCTTTCGTTCTTTCCATCTCGTGAAAAGGCTGTCATAAACACTGTGCACAAGATGATTGCGTCAAACGTGACAAAATATTCCATCACTTTTAAAGGCCCATTCAAACAGGAGCATTTGCTTATGTTTTTATTATGTTATGTTACGGGTCGCCGAGAGATCTGTGTTTCGTACGTCGCATGCAAAGCTACCCCTTGTTGCTACGCTTCTTACCAAGGATGGATGTCCGGTGACTGTCCAAGTAAGCAGACGCAAGCTCCCGTAACATGATGCAAAGTAAGCATAACGGTGCTGTGTGAAGGGGCCTTTTAGATAGGTGTTACCTCGCCGTCCTAGTTCCTTTTACCATTGTTGCTAATCTAGAAGGTCCGAGTTCATTCTTGACAGTTAGCGTGTTCTGGATTAAAACTTTTTACAACACAACACACAGAGGGTCCCACCTGGTGTTTCTTCTGCAGGCTCTGGACGGAGGAGAGGCTGGAGCCCAGGTCGGCCGAGCTGGCCAGGGACTCCTTCTCCCGGATCCAGGACATCTCGTCGTCCACGTCTCGCAGGAACTGCTGCAGCTGCAGGGCCTCCTCCAGGTTCTCCCTGCGGATCTGCAGGGGCTCGTGCAGCGACGTGTACCTGCGGGGACGTTACCACCGCGTCACATGGCTCCGACGACAAAACTGACGCACACGTTCCCTCGGCGGCCCTATTACTCGCAAAACTGGTTCTCAGGTGGGTGTCCGAGGAGCCTTTGGGCTCTGGGATGGTGTTTCCAATGTTCGCAAATGCCCTCATTTGGCCGTAGAGCCAAACAAATCTTTCCTAATGTAAAATTGCATTCTTATGGAAGAAAGCTCAAATTTCTAAGCGTCACTTTGAGATCCTCTTCTACCACAGTGGGAGTTGGCCAGCTGTCAAGAACGTCGGGAGGCAACAACGACGAAAGAATTTCACGAGTTCGATCGTGCTGACAAAGACTGATAAGCACAAAATGTGCTTTTCAAGGAACAAGAGAAGAGTGTCTAAACGGTGCCGTCTACCCGAGATTTGCTTCAATTTCTTGCACACGCTGCGAGATGGTGCTACGTGACTGGAAAGGCCGTGAAGCACTTGTCCACATCTGTGTGTTCTTCTATTTGTCCTCGTCTTTTGCCCTACCTTTATTTGCGTAATGTATAACCAACTAGATCGTCGTATGATCTTAGCCACTGACTCATTTACGTGTCGCGCAAATGAACTCTCTCTTGAATGGTCCGTATTACCAACCCCGGATAGCTCAGTCGGCAAAGCACTTGACTCACAATCTCAACTTATTTGGCTCCCTACGGGCGTAACGTTTTTCGGTGTTGGTTCTTCGTTACAACTGGCCGCTACAGCCGGCCAATAAAGCCGGCCGTTGCATCCTAACATTACGGAAGTACGTGGAAATCGACTAATAAAACATCTTCTGCGTTAAAAATAAAACATAAGGTGCAGGAGAGGAGACACTGAGATCTTGCACACACTTCAGAAAGGCTTTGCCAGCTGCCAAAAACTTAAAAGACGACGAGAAAAATATAGAAAAGGTAAAAAAGGAGGATGTAATGACGGTCAAAAACACGGCGACGCATACCATAAAGGCTGAGACTGGAAATCGCTATCCGCTGGGTTCTTCGTAAAATTCAATTCTGCATGTGACAGTTTTATTTTAAGATCAAATTACAGCTGCTAATATTTTATGCCTTACACATATTATACTTCTTTAATGTCCGCATTTCTCCGCCGAACTTGCTTTTAAAATGAGGGGTCAACCCGTTATCGTGACCAAAGAATGCCGAATTGCACCTGATAATAAGCAAACCTTCCGACCCCATAGAGTTGAGAAGAACACGCTGCTCCAGCTGACGGTTTCTCCGAGCACGCTGGCATCAAGCAATGAAGCTTGATGCGATGCACCAATGCAAAGCAGTGAAGCCTCATGCAAGAGTACTGGTGTGAACTGGTGAAGCTCGATGCAAGCAGCGCAACTACTATGACCTGAATGCATGCGGTTCTGGAAGTGGACAACGATGTGACCAGTGCAGTCGACAATTTCCCCGCTAAATTTAGTCGGGAAATATATCCTCTAACTTCCAATAGAAAGTGTCGCTCGTAAAAAAACCTGGTCAAGTGCTATCAGGCTTTCACTGCATTTGACAGAACGTCTAAGCAATGCAATTTTTTTTGTTAAAGTCTGGCAATATTGATAAATGGGCACCGAAGTTGTAAGAGAAACATGTGAGAGAATAGATGTCTTTTTAAAGGCGAAGCTCCTTAGGGTCTAGCCTTGTCCGTCCGGCGTCCCTGCCCACATCAATTGCCATCCCATCTGTCTTCTTAAAAGAAAGAAAAAATGTTGACACAGTCGAGAGGATTTGAACCTGTGCGGGGAGACCCCAATGGATTTCTAGTCCACCGCCTTAACCACTCGGCCACGACTGCGGGACGAGTAGGGGGCTCTCAGATGTGGTATTAACTCAAGAGCTGAGGATGTCATGGATGAAGCGTTGCATATAGCCGCTCAACGTCTATACAGGAGAGGGCGCTGCGGTCAAAAATCACGTTAAACTTTGCCTGCATTGGCTCAACATTTATAGACGAGAGGGCACTGCGGTCAAATGCTCCACTGCGTATATAACCACGATCCATACCACACATTCTCTTTCTGACATGGACCGTTGACTTAAGCGGAGGAGATGCGTTCCCACGGCTTCTAGCGGATCCAAGCTGATCCGCTAGAAGTACCACTGGCTCTGCATTTCACCGATCATAAAGCAGTAATAATGAAGTCAAAATGCAACCCGGAACTCAGCACTATTTATGAGCAATAAAAAAAAATCAGCATCATCAGCACTACGTATGAAAAATAAAATCAGTATCATCAGCACCACGAGAGCTTCGCCCCAATCAACATCATTCACCATGTGGAGATGCGGTCATTTTTTCTTATACACAATACAATTGTATCGGGCTAAAATTTAAAGTATTCAACAACTGCACGGTCCAGGGCTATGAAGCGAGGGCCATGTGGGAAATTTCTGTCACCTTTTGACAATGCTGTCCGCTCTCTCCTGAATCTCGTCCTTGAGGAAATGGTTGTTCTTTTCGAAATTTGCCGTCTGCTCCTTCACCTGCTCCATCATCTCTGCGTGGTTCGTGATGTCCGTCTCAAGCAGCTGGAAAGATCAGAAAAGGATTTGTTCTCATTATGTGTAATGGACTTAGATAATACGAAGCTTGGGCTTGGGTTTGGGCAAGTTGGTTGTACATAGCTAACTCTGCTGCGATGTGAAGTTCTACAGAACACAAGTGTGACCAGAAAGTGAAAGGAAAAGAAGTTACATGGAGACGAGGAGAAACACAATAATACCAGAAAGAGCCAAAGGCAGAGATTGCAAGAACTATAAGAGTGAGCACATACAATAAAATCATCTCTAAAAAGTTGAGTCAATTGACAAATAAAAAGGTTAGACATTTTGATTATGCATCTTCAATCGATTGAAGATGTATAATCAAAATGTCTAACCTTCATTCCAGGTACAGAGCTACTTACAATATGAGAGTACCAAAGTTTTCACAATGAATACAAATTTTTATATTGAATTCATACATGTATATCAAGAAACATAACTTCTTAAGTTGTCAACATTTAAAATTTTTGATATAGTATAATATTTCTGACATCTAGTTTCTATTCAAATCTCAAACAGGAGTATTATTGTTTTACAGCAAACCAGTGATAAAGCTGTAATGTTGGTAGTACAGTCTAAGCTCGTTATAACAGACCTTGATTTTGACCAAGATTTCGGTCTGTTCTAAGAGGAGTATGTTGTATGTAGCTATGAAGTTGAGTCAATGGGGCATAGAGGAAAACCAACCGAACTTCATTAATCGGTATGTTATATCCATATGTCTGTTGTAGCCAGGTCTGTTGTAACGAGCTTAGACTGTATAAGCATTCGGTAATGCAATAATGCAAAGGTGCAAGCGAGCTGGACAAGAATGATGAAAAGGATCCCTAGAGAAGGGGAACAAGGGGGACAAAGGACAATTATTAAAGGACAAACACAAATCTCCAAACATGGCTAGCTGACTAGCGCATGACCGAAAAGATTCGCCTGGTTCAAAGCTTTCTTTTGTTTGTTTGTTTTTTCTTCTTTCTTTTTTTTTGCCTCCGAGCGTGTGAAAGCGCGCCTCCTGGCACGAGTTCTTAGCACTGATGGTGCTACGATGACATTTTGTTATGGGCTATATGTTTTTCCAGAGAACATGTGCAGTGGGCATCAGGTAGTACAAAAACCTTAAGTATAGAGCAGGTTTTTAACGCTGCAGCATAGCTTATTGTGAACAACCCCGCTTCGCATGCAGCGGACCCGGATTCGATTCCTGCGAACTGCGGGCAATCTTTTTTTAAGGATTTGGCAACATTGAAGGCAGACGTCTAACAACGCCAGCTACAACATAAACAATGACAACAGCTACAACTACAACCTACTGCAACTACAACATCAACAACGAACATCATTTCCAGTGGTGGGAAGGACCCATAACAAGTATCACTGTAGAAAGTGCTTCTGTACCTGCTGTTTTTTCAGCAGGTTTTGAACAGATGTGAGATCTTTCCCGTGATCCTCTGACTGGAGCTGCGTCTCAACGTCGTCCATCCACGTCTGCAGGTCGTCCAGCATCCAGTTGAACAGCAGTGCCTGTGGAGAGGCCCTCTGTTGAAGCGGTTCAACCTCTGGTTCACTTTTCTGACAGCTGTGCCAACCTAAACATTCACCTGTGGCCATAACCCACCGCTAAGTACGAATTTCTTTGGGAACACAGTGAGTGCAGGGACATGCCAATGTAAATCATCCCCCCATGAAAATTTAATGACAGATTATTGAAGGTTCAATAATCAATAACCTCAGAATGAAAAATCATCACTGAGAAACAAAACTTACATTCCAGTAGGCTTCAAAGCAATAAAACAAAACCTAATGCAAATCAGCAGAGTAGAGCCCAGGAATAATGACAGAACTATTATTTATAAGGGACGTGGAAATATTCAGAATTTAGAATGGAAATATAAATATGTTTAAACCAGTGTGTCGAACCGAAAAATATACGGGTTCGGTTACGGTTCAGGTAAATTTATTTTGTTCCGGTTCAGTTCCGGTTCGATGAATTCGATCCGCGAACCGGTTCGCGAACCAGTTCGGGGCGCTGAACCAGTTCGGAAATTGTAAATGACAAATTGCAACATCAAAATAAATTACAAATAAAACATCTGAAATCAGCACATACGAAACGGGATACATCGTAGTGTAAGGCTCAGGGATTTCTACCAGGAATGGTTTCTTTATGTGCACTCGAAGGTTACCTCACCGACGTTTATGCATTCGGACTTCATCTAATTGGGTCCGACGCAGTAGCTGTAAAATCCGCGACCTCCTTACAAACCCACTAACAAGTAGAACTCGCTAACTATCCCGCCACCTCGGCGTGTAAGCAATTGAAGGAACAGTGGGGAGAAAATACAGCTTTCCTTATTTGAACTAGCCTTCGGTAACTCAAATTAGACCCTTAAAGAAGTTTTCATTAAACAAGATACGGAATATGAAAAACACTTCACCGAACGCAACGCCAGAAGGACGTAATAGGATAAATGTTAAAATAGAAGAGTTCGCTGTCTCACAAATATGTTAGCTTCTAAGTGCCTATACGAAACCGGATGCATCATGGTGCTGGCTTTCGTCAGCGGCCGCCACTCGCACAAAACTAACTACACCGCACACTATATTACCTGGACGTCTAAAGGATGCAGCGTTTTTCAAGATTCATGGATGCAGCGTTTATATTCCTAAGACTGAGTGGAGAAGAAAAATATGTAAGCGAGGTGTGTGTCAGTTGACGGCACTTAAAAAACAAATGGCATTGATAGCACATCCATTGTCAACAGCGCGTGGCCGAACCATTTTGACATGAGCCGGTAACCATTATTTTTTTTCCGGTTCAGTTCCGGTTCGGGTTCATCGCGATAACAATATAACGGTTCAGGTTCGGGTTCAGTTCCGGAAAAAATACCGGTTCAGTTCCGGTTTTCGGTTCGGTTCCGTTCCAGTTCGACACCCTGGTTTAAACGAGACTCGAATCGCTGCTGCTCCGTTTCTTGTTAGGTAACCACCCCCATCTCCGACTAAAGGTCAAAATACACTGTGGGTACCAAATAAACAAACATAATTACAACCTATCAATTAAAGTAATGCAAAGCGACACCAATGACATAATATTGACCCAGACTGCAGTAAGAATTACAGTAAAATACTGAACAGGTGCCCATCCTAAAGTTAGAGATAATTGCAAAAAAATTACAATAGGGCTCATTCGACATCAGGAAAAAAAAAAGGGGGCACACGGTGGGGTCGGCCCTCGTTCAACCCTACAGAATAGTATGCAAGCAGTGGAGGAATCTGGCAGAACTCTTAATTTCTAAAGCACCCGCACCGCTTTCCTCGAGCCTGCTTCTCATCGATGCTCTCGCATCGAGCATCACCGCCTTGCACTGGCGCATGCATGTGAAGCATGGTCACTTTGCACCGGCTTCCTGGAAAAGCAGCAGACATGGAGGAGTACCTCCATTAGCCCTGCGGGCCGAAAAGTTAGCCGGGGTGCTCGACACATCCCTCGCTTCTCTTTCGATTGTTTCCAAAGATTGGGGTGGGCACTCGCCGCGACACGAGAGCACGTTCAGTATTTTACGGCCAACCCGGGAAGTTTGAGCCCAACCTGATAGGAGTCCTGCAGGCGCTCCTTCTTGAGCCGTGTCTGCTCCAGCAGCTGCGCCCAGAGCTTCTCGGTAGACTCGAGGCGTGTCGCGATCTGCGGGGCTGCGTAGTGGTCCCCCTGCAGCAGGCGCTGGCCCTCCTCGGCCACGGCCTCCACGCGGCCCCGGTTGGCCTGCACCTCCGCCTCGAAGGCCGCGTGCTTCTTGGTCTTGCTCGGCAGGTTCACGGGGTCTCGGTAGTTCTCGTCGCACGCCACCTGCAGCTTCTCGTTCAGCCACGCCTCGACCTGCACAGAGGGCTCAGGTTAGGCCCCACTGTGGGCAATGCAAACCTCTATCTTCCTGGACGGCACGCTGGACCGGTGTCGGTCCAAGCTGCACGTGAGGGAAGTTAGAGAAGCGAGAAGAATGAAGCGTAGGCGAGGCGACGTGTTGTTGCCTGCGTGGCCGACTTGGTGTTGCATGTGGCTCGCGCGCAAAGCTGCAAAGTTCAAACCGCGCCAAAGGGTCTTCGTTTTACCTTTGACGCCCTTCTAGAATGTTTTAGAGTAGAATCTCGGAACATACCATGTGTTCCTGTTCAGAAACTTCTAGACAACATTACATACGTATAAAAGAAGTCGCGACTGGCAACATCGGAGTGGAAATAAATTTCACGAGTGGTGCTTCCAGTCTTATCTCGGGCCTCCCGAGAGCATTATCAGCTCTCAAGCTTTCCAGGATTGTACATCATTTTTAGCGCGGTCCTTAGAAGTATGTAACACCGAGTTTCTACAGTACTCAAATCAGTATTTCAATGTCTCAAATAGTGTAACCAGCTTTATTTCGGCGGTCTAAATATTTTGAGAATTTTCTGAAGTGTGAAGTGTGTGTTTTGGGAATATCGCACAGGCATAAAATTTTTCAATTGGCAGTAGTACACAATGCATTAGTTACCCCCCCCCCCCCCCGAGGGGGTAATATATTCGCGCGATAATTTTGTGCAATATTTTTAGACCCCGAAAATTAGGCAATGGCGAAAACTAAGTCATTTACGGTACTCACACGTGTCAAAATTTAGTGTATCAGCCGGAGCCATAAACTCCATTCTCACTGGGTTGTGCCTTCCTTTGGCCACCCTCGGAAGAAAGGCGCTCACCTCGTAGACGTTGCGCAGGAAACGCTGGAGCTGGCGCGACTCGCCGAGGCGCTTGTGCTTGAGGCGGGCGTTTTCCCTGAGCCGCTCTCTCCTGGAGCACAGGGCCTGGCACTGGGCCTGGATGGCGGGCCCGTCGTAGTGGCCGCCCTCCACCAGGCTCCGGGAAAACTCTTCCAGCTGGCTGAGCCGCTCTCCCTGAGCCTTCATCGTCTGCTCAAACTGGGCGTGCTTCTTCATCAGGGCGTCCACGCTCGACACGGAGTCCTGCGCAAGGAGAGGCCGCCAAGGGGCCCAAGGAGCGGGCTAGGGTTGGATGTCCATGCACATGACAGGCGAAGGCGGATGGCACGCCAAAATCAAGAGCCTCATAAGGCACAAGCATCAAAATGTGATCCGAATACATTTTCTAAATCCCAAATCAAAGAAATGGTTACATGTCAAACCTATTTAAAAGAAAAAATTGAGCAGTCCTGCGTTGATTCACGGCAGAGTCACGGCACAATCGTTAGGTATCGGCGTCGCCTTCACGCACCGTGGGGTGCATGAACAAAAGTGTTCGGAACAAAACAGATATTGGTTTTGCCCCCACCACTTTTGTTTCTTTTTGTCCTGGAGTGTGTGAAAGTGCGTCTCCTGGCAAAAGCTCTTGGCATTGACAGTGCTACTATGACATTTTGCTATGGACTATTTGTTTTTCCATAGAGTGCGTGCAGCGAGCTTTGGGTATTACAGAAACCCCAAGTTTAGAGCGGGTTGTTAACGCTGTGGTGTAGCTTAGTGCTAACGCCTACGCTTCGCACGCAGCAGAACCCGATTGGATTCCTGTGGGTGGCGGGCAAACTTTTTCAAGGATTTCGGAACGTCGACGACGAATGCCCTACATCGCCAACTACAACATCAACAACTACAACATCAACAACGAATGTCATTTCCAGAGGTGGGAAGAGCTCATAATGGCTATCGCTGTAAAAAACAGATAAATGATTACCGGAGGTACGACCCTATCGAAGATGTCAAGTGCATTAATTAAAAACACAGTACAGGCCGAGTTCAGTCGATCTTTCAAGAAAGATGTGGGTCACTGTCCTTCGAGGTAGCATGCGTGACAGTACACCCATTTTTCCTACAGTATTTTTATCTAAAAACAAAAATGAGACGCCAGAAGAGACGAAGGAGCGTTAGGCAAGCGAAAGAGAAGCAGGGCGCGTTTGGTACGACTGAGGGCCGAGGGAGAAAACAAGGTTCGTATCCATTTATTTGGTGGAATGTCGCCTTCATAAAAGAAACATGTCCGTGCCGCTGCATGACGATGCAGTCTGCAGCGAGGCACTGCAAAAATGTAACCTTTTTTATTTTAAGTTTCGAAATAGTGGGAAGATAGCAAAATTAAACTTCAAATTTAGGGAAATTGGGAATCTAGGAAAAATAAACTCTGACAAAACCCAAATTTTTGGCGAAAAGAAAGCACCAAAAAGTATCCTCCGAATAAACAAGAAAAAATAAACTCAGAAATTGCGAAACCCAACCTACACCGCGTTTTATTAAAAAAATTCAGAATCTTTTTGTCCTATGTAAGGTACCATTCCCCCATTGCTCTCCAACGACGTGAAAGACAACCTTCGGCGACGTCTCAATGCTCCAACGACACCGAAACATGGCTGTACACCGGAGTGCAGAGATGACCGAGGGCGAGCAGAGCGTGTAGGTGTACTCACGCCCAGGTCCTCGTTGTTGAGCACGGCCTCCTTGGCGGAGAGCCAGGCCTCAGCCTGCTTGGCCTGCTCCCGGAAGAGCTGCAGGTCCCGGCCCTGGCGCAGCAGCCGAGCCCTCTCCTGCCAGGCCGCCCCCAGGGCCCGCCGCAGGGCCGCCAGGCGCCCCAAGCCCTCCTCCACCACGTCCGAGGCCCCGTGCTTCTCCCGCAGCAGCTTGGCCCCGAATGCCTGCAGCCGCTCAAAGGCCTCCTGGCGCCCCTCCATCTCCGCCTGCGCACCCCAAGCAGGCCATCGGGCCACTTCTGTCTCCGCAGTTTCTGAACCATGGTCCACGAACCGTACATGTTTAAAAGTTCAAATATTACACTGTGCAAACTCTCTACCGGTGCAGACTACGAGAATCTCAAACTAGCTTCTGGACATGCTGCACGGCGGTGTTTTCGAAAACTATGAAATCCAACGTAGGTGAGCCACCTGCTCACACAACTCGGAAGCCCCAACGATATTCTCGCTCTTGCCCCCCGCCCTTTGACCTTCCACCCTGCATGCGCTTGCGAAATTGCCCTTGACGACGGCGACAATGGCAAGTTAGTCTGCGACTCGTCGTTACTGGAAGCTAGTCGTCAGCGGGTCGCACTCAAAATGAACAACTTCCAACATCTCTGGATAACAATCACTCTCACCGCTGCTGCGATCAGTGTTGAAGACTTCGACAAAGTGAGCGATGCCGTAGACGTAATCGTTACGAACCGGATGCTCGAAATGCGGAAGGTAAACGAGGAAGCCGAAGCTCAAGATGTTGAGAAAGCGAAGTCTGCGAGTGCATGCAACGGGACGCCATGCAGTGGGCTGGCGACATCACCAGCCCACCAGCCACAGCAGTCTTTCCAAATGGGGCAAATCCGAGGGTCCCGCATATGAATCGATTTATGCACGAAACTATTGTGCCATTTTCAAAACAAATTTAGCAGGATTATAGGAACATACATTGGGTGCTAGCAGTAGTTATCTTACATTTTACTTGTGGCGCATTTTTAAAGCCCTTGTTGCCAGCGTTGAGTCAATTTTCGGCTAAATCTTGAAATTAACCACATCTTTTGCGCCATCTTTTGACAGCACGTAACACTAGACCCATGTCGACTAGCCTAGTTCGTCTTTGGTGAGGGATATGTGTTTTATTCACCGTGGACGAACCCAACTAGTCTTCGGGAGGAGCAGTACAGAGCGGATGAACCTAGCACATCCGTGCTAGGGTAAGGGTTAAGGGCTGAGGTGTGAACTGGAAATTCAGAGAGCGCATTGAAAAACACCCAAATAAGGTGCTTGCTATCTGATGCGCTTTGCGTGCTTCTTTTTATTAGCCTAAAAAAAAAACGCAAAATATAAAAAAATTGTGGTGGCTTAGCTCGGCTATGCCAGGATATGCGTAGCGTGAGCTTAGGTGCACAAAATGAAAGGCACAATCAAGCGGCTCCGGTGCAGCGTCAGATTTGGCTACTGCGCAACGGAGGCGCACAGCTGGGCACGCGGCGGCGCCAGTGCGTCTGCCGCGGCTATGACGTCCCTCCTCTGGAATGCGCAGACCGGCCAGGCGTGTGCGGCAGCGGCTCCGGCGCGCCAGCTGTTCGCCGTGCAACGTCACAGCTCCTTGCGCATGCACAGTACGGAGCACAGCTCATTATGCGAGCCACGCGAAACTGCTCAACCTCGGCCAGTGTAGCTCACGCTAAAAAAGATTTCGTGACAATGTGCCTGTGCTTCGTGCTTGCAGCGCTCTAGGACATGCTTTGAAGGAACGAAGTCCACCTTATCACTGGCATGCTGTCCGAGACAAGGCTTAGCAGCACCAGGTGCTTGTGCTTATTCTTGGGGACTGCATCCCAAAACAAAGCCCTGTCTCGGACAGGGTGCCAGTGATAAAATCTAATTTGTTCCTTCAGAGCATGTCTTAAAGCTCTGCAAGCACGAAGCGCGGGCGTATTGTCACGTGGTCTTTTATAATAATTTGCGGGCTTTCTTTTAAGGCTGATAAAAAGAAGAATGCAAAGTGTATCACGTAGCAAACACCTTATCTGGGTGTTTCTCAATGCACTCTACAAATTTTCAATTCACACCTCGGCCCTTAAACAAATAATTAAAAAGTTAGCTCATTAGTCTTAATTAAATAAATAACAAGGCACACTAAAAACATTTCGTGCACTTTTTTATAATGCTTTCTAACGACATACCGTTGGTTCCATTCCCACAGAGCACTTCGTTTTTGTGTAAAGTTATCTGGGACACCCTGTATATGATACATATAAAAAGAAAAGATATACATATTGGCAAAACACTGTTTAGGTAAAGGAGTATAATTGCAGGCAGAACATGAGCTTCCGCTTTTCTTCCAGAGCCGTCTCGTGACCTAGCTTTTGACAGGAGATGCAAAGGATGAGGCCTATCTGTAGTCCCACACATAACAAAAGAGAAGTTTTTAGGGGCCACGCAGTTTAGTGACAGGGCTCAAATGGCCACCAATCTCAGTTGAGTGAGCCCAATGGCTCCATAGCTGCTCATCAAAGCGGGAAGGGAACAGACCTTGTGCTCTTGATGCAACTCCAGAAGGGACTCGGCCTCTTGCATGTTGGAACCCAGTCCTCCAGACTTCATCCGCTCAATCAGGTCATTCACCCATGCCTCCTGCAACATTGGCAACAAACATCAGGCTCACTCAGACGGGTTTGTAGGAATGCAGTGACAACGCAACTGCAAATATGCACCAATATGCCTTTCGCTTCTGACTGCTCTTTTTTTGACGCAACTGCGTGTACATGTATGCGCAACTGCGTGTACACGCAAATACGGCCCAAGGCCGCTGCCATCTTGCTCAGTTGGGGTGCACTTGGGCGTGGCCAAAATCTGATTACGACGTTTTGCAAAGGCGTCGTAATCAGATTATGGCCACGCCCAAGTGCACCCCAACTGAGCAAGATGATCAGCGGCTTTAGGCCTTACTTGCAAAAGTGTATACAATACAATATACAGATCAAAAGACCTGAAGGTCGACTGAAAAACATATCAACAAGGATGCACTTTACCGCTTCAATAAAACACCCCTCTGTGCTTATAACAGTGCATCAATCCTTGGTTTGTTTTTCAATGCACAAGATCACCCACATTTCCTAAGTGTGTCGAAAAATTTTCAAACACTAACTGCCAAGATTGAAGTGTTGCAGCTGCAGATTAGCCTTAAAAAAAGAAAAACTTACAAGAGCCTTGAGTTCTGTCAGGAACTTGTGCAACTGGTAGGCACTGTCCAGGGTTTGCTTCCTGAGCAAGCAAGCAGGAGAGAAACACGCCATGAATCTGCGCTCCTTCGGAAAACCTCTTGGCAAGAGAACATGCTCTACAGTATAAACATAGTGACATTGACTCTGAGGCTGGGATGAAAAGGGAGCAGTGACAAAGAGATTTACATTAGCTTGAACATGCCGACAAAGATCGGGGTCACAAAATGTGCTGAGCTACCATACACATGAAGTGTGTGGTTGTACTAGCCTTACACACATCAGCCCCATCACACACACAGACAGCATGCGCAACCCACGCACTTCATACGTAGCTCGGCCCATTCTGTCTCTTGGTCTTTGTCAGCACGAGCAAGCTAGTGTAATTTTTTTACCTTATAAACCAACCGTTAGCTGTCCTCACGCACCTGCTCTGATTAGATTAGTCAGTATAGAAGTATCTGGCTGGGAATCACTTGGTCCCTGTTCAATCTTCATCGGGAGTATTCTTGCATCTGTGTATTAAAGTGCCTCCATGACTTCAATCTATGCGTAACAGTCCAGAGTTACAGTTGAGTGTGGCAATCGAGTGACAGTTCCTCGTGAAAAACCAACAGATACATATACGCATTCTGCATTAGTAGGTGTACAACACAGAAGTGTCGTGATGCAATGTTCAAGCCATCTACCTCTATCGTTTCTCCTTTCCACTACAGTTTCACGGTCAATGTCGCACTGGTACGGGAGAGCCGTCACCTTTCGCTACATAGCGTCATGAGCCGCTTCCAGTTCTCCTGGACGTCCGACACCTTGGAACGAATTGGCGCCGCCAGTTCTCCGTGCTTCTTCATCAGGCGTTCGCAATTGGCTTCGTGGTCCTGCCAAAACAGCAAACCCCCCAATCAGTCACGACGCAACACTAGCGAGGTTTTAGAAACCCAAAAGATAATTACACTCCTAAACGACGAACATCCCATTGCAATGTGCAAATTGTAATACAACAAAGCCTCCAACAAATTTATATAAATCCGTCCCGTCGAGGTTAATAGTACGAAAGTTAAACCTCAGTGTAACGAAGCCAGTAAGGTTCACAGTTTACTTCGTTACATTCAACTTTTGTTACGACTAAGTTTCGTACCTAGCACAAAAAGAATATTTTAAAAGCAGCCTGATCCTCATTGTATTGTGATATGTGCTTCGAAAATCTAAACGCCCAAGATTTGCTACGAAACTTGCTCTTGGATGTTTCGTAGCACATTGTTCCCGATGAAATCCTTGATTTCTCATTTTCGTTGCTGCGACCATCACTTCAGCCTCCTCCACGAACACCCGTGGAGGCAGTTGATGTTTTCGAGATTGCAGGAAACGAGCGGTCGGGTGTTCTAAGCATCTAAATCAAAGCAGTATTTTCACTTTCTCAATGCATGAAAGAACTTTCTGTTACCACTATCCATGACTGCGGCAGCCGCAAATGCCTCGAAGCGTGCACAAACTCGTCTCGTCGACGCTCTCCGGCTTCTCTAGATGACGAAGTCTGCAACTGGCATGGCTACGGTTGGCTGCACTAGTGACTTGAGCAATGTGCAAAATTATTGCTCCGAGTTTTCAAGACGCGAATGGGGCGAACGAACGGCAAACTCTCGCCGCGAGCTGGCCAAGCCGGAGCCGGGAGGCCCGTCTCCGTGATGTAACCCGGCAGCAGTTGCGGTCGTCGCAAAAATTTATCTAAAATAACTATATTTGATCATGATTTATAGTTTATTTCGTTACGTTGAGTTTCATTACATCGAGGTTCAATTGTATTACGATTTCTAAAGTACTAGAGTAGGAAGTCAAGAAGGTACAATAATCATTTATTATTGATCTCGTAATAGTTAACTTGGACAAAAAAGTGACAGCAAGTGAGAGTAAAGTAGACAAACCTTGAGTTTAGCATCGATGGTGGTCATCTCCCGCTCGACCGCGTCTTGTCTGCGCTGGAGAGATTCCACAGCCCGCAAGCTCTTGCTTTCTTCTTTGGTCGACATGACAATCGCCTGCGGCACACCGGGGGCAAATATTACATCCCTGGCCTGCCACTTGACAAAGATACCCTCGGATATTTCTAAACCTAAGATTAATACAACTTATACCCCACTATCAGTCTTAATTTTTTATTTATTTCCACACAACCTTTCCAGGTGTAAAGAAATGAACACTCAAGCATTATTGGTGCTCCTGATCAATACAGTAAATTAAGCATAACCAAGCATGAAATGACATCATATAAGGTGTAGCAAGAGTAGTACAAGCAAGAGGGAAACGTGACACCGAGTTACTGTTGGGCTCTGTTGCATCAAACAATTAAGCTCTCGGAAAATACCGACGCGACTTAGATAAATGATTGATTTGTGATTATCTGAGGCGACTAGCTTGAGGCTCAATAGCTTCAGATGCCACTGAGCAAAGTCTAACTGTAACAAAAAGTTTTGATTGCCTCGAAATGAGTCGCTTCACAAACAAGTAAATCCAATATCTTTTATAAATGAGACTGGCAGACAATAATTCTCAATAGCTGCGGAAAAAAAATCGTAATGGCTGAAACGACTAAAATATAAAGCAAGTGCCCACCAAAATTTGTTGGCGTTTGTTATATCCCGGAGCAAAAATGCAGAAGGGGTACCACAGTAGTGTAAGCTTCACCACTTTTCGCGTGGGTGCCTTGATCTGGAGGTGCATCCCTGTTAACGAGGTGGGTCCTTCGTTCGTCCCTTGCTTACATTTCATACGTTTCAAAAGTGGCTTGTGGGCAACGTATTGTGACACGGTTGCATGCCGGGTATTTTATGGTTGAAGGCTATCATAGTTATTATTCGATACAGGTAAAAGATTGTGACAATCAAAGTGGCACCCACCTTCTCATTGATCCGGTCATATGTGTCATCGACATCACGATTGAAGGCGTGCACCTCAAGTGCAGCCGACAGCTTAGCTCTGTAGCTGTCGAGTGCGCCTTGAAGAGCTTTCCACCTGCCCAAAACACAAAATATAAACGTTCAGTGTTGGCACGGCGAAATGAAGTACAGATCTGAACTTTAAGAAGATTAGTGTGAAGTTGATATCTTCACAAAAATGCAGACTGAGGTGTCGTATGCTTCTGCGTAGACTGGTGCCTTTCTTTTTCTCTTAGGTGTTTTGTTGTTGCTTTGTGCTGGCTGTGCCGCATAATATGCTACATCTTTTTACCTTACTATAAGGAGTAAAAAAGTGCCATTAATTTAATTGACTATGTACCTGTCCTGCTTGAACTGCCCTGGGGTTTGCTGTATCGCTATATAATAAAAATAAATATAATAAAGGTGTTTCAACAAGCTGACAGCCGATCTAGAAAAATATACCTTTGGACTAATGCTGAATTTACTTTGGGTCTTTTTAGGCAGGCTACAGCATTACACAGCATGATTAAGCCTGAGACACAGAACACCGTCACATGCTCCAGTTAAAGACTGACAAGCAGCCAGAAAGGAGAAAACATTTCCCCGATTCCTCGTTCCCATTCCAGAAAGAGGGAGACCCTTTCTGCAGGGAGTAGCTCAGAGACCCGCTTCTGCGTGGAGAGGAGAATTTGAGAGGGAAGCAAGAAAAAAAAATTGGGGCCATCAAAGCAACAGAAAATTGACCTAAACATCACCCGTCAATGCAAACCGAGCATAGGGGAATCCACTCACTTGCGGTTTAGTTTCTCCCTCCGCTGCTGGGTGGCGCTGGTGTTGGGCCTGCCCTCGCGGATCAGCTTGTCTGCCAAGGTGTTGATGTTCTTGATGCGGCCGTCGTCGACTCTCATGTCCTGCAGGATCACCGATACCGCGAGCTAAGGCTAAAGGTCCGTGCACACACAAATGGTTTTCTTAGGACCTTGCACCCCTTTCAAAAACTCTTAGGACGAGAGAACACAGAGAACACACTGGCACGCTGGTGCCATCTAAGAGGCGACCCTAAAATTTTGCGAGAACGAAGGTTTTGCGTCATTTGCGAGATGTATGTACTAATATCTATGAGATCTGGTCATTCGTAACATTGTCAAAAGTTATTTGAGCAAAAGAAAAAAATGAAAGGAAGAAGGAAATAGGCAGACACTGAAAGTGTTTCATGACTACGCGATAGATGGCGCCAATGTAAGAGGTTTTTGGTCGCACAGTCCTAGGTCCTTCTCAACGTTTATATAAAAAATTGCAAAAATCAAAGGATGCATGAAGAACCACAGCAAGCAGATGCAAACATTTCAAAGAGAGCATCACGAAGGATTATAGATGTGCAATTGTGGTAGAGCCTCGCAGACAACTTACCCTGGCTGGCACGATCAACGGCCCTGTGCAATGCCTGTAGGGATCATTTCCCGTATGTGGCGCTTGCTTTTTTGACTGCCCACTAGATTCATTTCTATGAAGTTTGCTATTCATAATCGTGCGTTGAACTTTACCTTTTTGAACAATGTGCTGCAACCGACACGGGGGAGGATTTAGGCCAGCTCCCTGGGCTTTCCAATTTTGCTCCCTCTTATAAGTGGACATTCTCTGGTTCCGATTATAGATAGGCTAATAATTTCATATAACGGTTTAAAAAAGAAAGTCGACCGGTATATGATTTGATATAGTAGTTACTGCTCAAAAAGTGCAGGGAGTGGTGAACAGATTTCATTGCAGTCAATGAGATTGTGGCATTAACCAATCAGACAGAACCGATTGCAAGAAGACAAAAGAAGCCACACTTTGCATTTGGAAGGAGTCCACAGTCGTCCGAGTCCATGCAAAATAAAATGCCATACGAGAGAGAGCCCCCAAAAGCGTTAACGATTGCTAGGCTTTCACAGATCGCTCCCTTTTGCTCCCCCGAAAAACAAATAAACGAGGTTCAACTGTAATGGACTATTAACAGGCTATGGTGTGCGTCGAGCCATACTGTCACTGAAATATTGTTTTCTGTAAAACATGTACTACCTATAGTCTGCTTAAGAAATCAGGGGAAGCTCCTCTCCCCACTTTAGCAGAGCAAATGCTGGAGAGGAGGCCACCTCCTCTCCAGCAACTGAAGTGGGAAGAGGAGTTTCCCCCCAACTCTTAACCTGTCGCTGACTAGAAATGCTAAGTTAAGAAATGCATCCTCCAACGTGGGAGACTGACCCCTCGCAACACCTCTCCGGAGTTCCGCGCCACTCACGTCGGCACTTCTCGACTGATCGTGCACCTTTCCCTCTTTGTTTTCCAGCGTAAGAAAATGGTGTCGCCCAGATAAATTATATGCGCATATTACTTAAACTACGATACATTTTAGACAATAATATAACCGATTATTTTTGCAGCTCCTCTACGGCACATTGTTTCCAGGATATTGGAATACCATCACGCACCGAATCGACGTCGTCCAGTTTCCTGCGCAGCGCTTGGCAGTGCTCGTAGTCTTCCCCGGTGTCCCCTGCCTGGACCATCAGTTCCTGAAAAGGTAGGTTGACACTTAATTCGGCTGCAGGATAATTATACAACCAAAGACGTATATGTTGCCTAATGTTTAAGTGCCTCTATGCCTGGCACAATATTTGAGTACAGCTATACTCTGCACAATGTTCGAGCGCATTATTTTCATACGTTTGAGGTATACTATTACAGACCCGATAAGCAAGGTCTTTCGATGCACTATGACACAAACATACTGCGCTTAGGGGTGGTGACTTCGTATGAAGAAGTAAGTGTTACAACAAATCTGTCGAGAGAAGACAACAATACAATTTTGATTCCTAATAAATTCCCCTTCGTTCCCTGCTTTCCAACAACGGGTCTCATTTAAACTTGTATTGTTTTTGAGACCCTGTGGCCGATTATAATATAGTTTTCAATATGAACGTGAAAAGTATGTAGATTTAAACTCGTCATATTATCCGAGTACATTTACAATTTCCGCAAGGGCTAAACAAATGTACACTGCACACAATAGTACACTATTTTTGCCAGACATGCTAGCCTTTGTGACAACAACAACGCTAGCCTTTGTGGCAATAGAAGCTCACAATGTCTACTTGTCTCGCGTTTCACACATATTGCATAATGCGATGTCTCGTCAAAAGAAGCTGGAATGTCTGCTGCGCGACACACACAAAAACTGGTTCGCACATTTGCTTTTGGCTTTGACTGAGCGCATCGCTACCCCTTATGACCATTTACGACGAGGGAACATACCAGACATCAGGAGAACGCACCTGTAGCCCGTCATGCGTGTATAATTAGACTGAAGGTTTTGCGGTATCTGCAAGATTGAATCAACGCGCACTTTATATCACTTAGAGTCAACGGCGAAGAAACAGTGTGTAAAAGATCTGCAAATAAAGGCATATCGGAAGTATTCCAAGGCTACTCAACGTGCCCGTGCGGTCTCTTGTCGTCCGCGGTAGCGAGATCACAATGCACGCGATCGCAGTCAAAGGCAAATGCAGTGGAACCTCGTCGATACATTCTCGGATTTCCGGTTTTACCCGCTCATACGTTCAGAAGCGCCGGACCTGCCGAGCTCCCGCAGGAACGCAGATATTTTATTTCGTGCCTAGTGCGATTGCTATCCAGATTCTTACGTCCAAAAAACTGCCGGCATGGCGCCAACGATGCCACTTGATTCCCTTGACAAACCGGTTCGCGGACAGATTGATCGTGTGACGATACATCTGCAGGTCGTCCACCTCCCAAGCGCATTCGCACGGAGATGAGGGACAGCGAGCATCAATCACTTAACGACTGTGCAGTGGAACTGTCGTCCAAGAGCTATTTGTCGTGACGGTTATGGCGCCACTGCGCTAACACGAAAAATAATTGTGCGCTGTTGTTACGTGGACGACAGACGGAACACCGTGAGAGGCTTAGGGCCACTAGCTTTACTAACCTGAGGCATAACACGAGCACGATGTGGCTCGAGGAGGGTCGGAGTAGAAGCGACAGAGTCTCGCGCTTGCAAAGGGGTATTTGCCAGTGTCTTCGTCTCTGTGCACAACATTTCGATGCACCACTGGTGCAAAAAGGCCTGGCCCAACCTCGTATAGTCTTTGTCTTGTTGGACAAGAGACTGGATGGACGTACGGGAAAGAGCGCGTCGTGCTAGACGAGTTTTGGCGGAAGCTTTCCGACGCAGTCATGGGGGATTGTACTGGAACCTGCACTATGTCGGCCGGAAACGGTTGCTGCAGCTTTCTTCAAGCGTGGAACCAAGGATCGCGCAACAAAACAAACCAGCAAACGGATGGAACAGACGAAATGAAACGGTTCACCACCTCTGTTTTGCTCATGTAAAAAAGGTACATTCTTGCCGGACAGAACACTTTTCGAGTCAATCCCTGCCAAAAATTTGTGAAAAGGGTGGACTGAAAAAGCCGAGTGCCTTTCCACTTGCACATGTTTTACTTCAAACATAATAACCTAACACCAAAAAAAAAATAAAAAACTTTTTTTGTTTTTTACTGAGCAACACGAAGATGGTGCATCATTGTGCTTTGTTTTGTTTTTGTTCGTTTACTGGTCTGTGCACTCCGTGTTGTCGAGGGCTCTTGGTTCCACACGAGAAAAACTGAGAGAACTTTGCCCGGTTGATGCGCCGCAGGTTCTGGCACTCCTACCAATCCGTGGAAAGAAGCTTCTGTCAAAACTCGTCTAGCGCGCTGCAATCTTTCCTGCACGTGCACTCCTGTAATCCAGCAAGACCTTTGGGTGTACTGAAGTGCCGTGCCCGATTGCGCGGGGGAGAACCAACAAGGACATCGGCAAATGTTCCTCTGCAAGCCCAAAGGCTCCTTCGTTCGCCCGCGTTCCTGTACCCGAAAGCGCCAGGTGGAAATTACGAGCGTTTTCTGAACATATTTGAGTTCCCACCGACGAATGTCTACAAACATATTTTGAATGTATTTGAGATCGCACCTATGAACTTCTACAGCACGCTTATATCAGTTCATACCCACGAATGTTTACAAACCTTTCCTGAACCAATTTGAGTTCACACCTACGAATGTTTGCATACAATAAATTGTTTCGTGACAGTTGCTATCTGTCTCATCTCTTGCACCCCCTGAATGGCGTTCTTGTTCCTTACGTTTTCTCAAATCGTACGTTTAATTTTTCCGGTCTCCTGAAAAACGTATCAAGAAAGTGTTACCGTATGCTAAACGGCTTTACGAAGCCTGAAACAGACAGAGCGAGAGGCACGAGACGACGCCAATGTGGCAAAGCCACCTGTTGACCGGAGGACAAAGCGCCGCACCTTGTCTCGGATCCAGGCCTCGACCTTGTCCACCTGGCTCTCAAAGTCAAGCATGTCCTGAGCCTCCTCGAGGCCCCTCCCCCTCCGGCGGAGCGCCGCGAGCAGCTCCTGCCAGAGGCCCAGCAGCCGCTCCAGCTGCTCACGCACTTCGCCTGAGGCCGGGTGTCGCTTCTCCAGCAGGGTCTCCCCTTTCTGCAATCAAAGCATTCTTCAGAGAACTCAAAGGGGGCCACACATGGCACTGAAGGAAGGCCTTCCTTCAGGGCAACCACGCGCTAAAATCCGACAAGTCAAAATAGTTGCCGAAATGGCTGCGCGAACTGTCACTGAAATGCGATAGCATTTTGCGCCCTCTTCTAGCACAAAAACATTTTTACAGCGAAGCTGTTAAGGGCTAGTTTCCCCAGCATCATGTCCGTCCACAAATGACCTGATGACACAGAGCTCTGGACAGCTACCGCCATCTATAAGTGACGGCGGCAACCTTTCGAGCCTTTCCACTCTGGCTTGCCGACTTGCGGCCGGCCATTACTTCATTCCCACCATAGTACAGTGCGCTGCACAAATTGCTCGGTCGCATTAGCGTGTCTATCATTAGCTCTGTGACATTCTCTCCTATGTGCCGCTTCACATTCGTGCATAGCGCAATCAGGACGTTGAATGAGTTCCATCCGAACAGTCAGTGTGAGACTGTCGGTGCCTACATGTCAAAAACTTTCTTTCTCAAAGGCACATTATGCCGTCGAGCAGGCGCCACTTGCTTCGGCGTACACTTCGGCCACCCCATTCTTGCGTGCAAAGGCTCCGAGCACCAAGAGAATGGGCAACCAAAGGCGAGAAAGATCAAGTGGTGAGGAGCGCAATTGCACGATCCCCAGTGCAATCACAATCGACCGAATGCACCGCGCCTCAACCGTGATCTTTATCAGCGAATGGGCAAAGGTATCACTACTGTAATCACTCTCTCCCGGCACCAAAGACAGCCGCAATGAACGCACGCATGCGCAGTTTGTTTTTACAAAGACAACACCTGCCCAGTACAAGCCCAGCGCAGCCGACACTACAAAACTGTGCAAGACCCCCCAAAAAAAAAAAAAATCAATGATGTGTTTAGGGAAGTCAATTCCTGGTACATAGCCTCAATAACGGCCTACTTGGAAACACAACAATGCAAAGGAACTCTAACACCATGATTCCGTAAAAGGGCCGCCATAACGTGAACTTAGACATCTAGCGGCACGTTTTACTGACAAAGTCCTAAAGCCCAAACTTACCGAGATTAGCTTGCAACACGACCCTCAAACATAGCCCCCGAGAATTCCTGACACGGCATCGTGCCATCGCCCCGGGCGTCATGATCTCGGATCGTGAAATCTATTGGAAACGATGCCTTATAATGCAAACATGAAACAGAGCGGCCTCGCGACGGGCCTTGACAGGAGAACGTTGAGGGCTTCTGCCCGTAAGGAAGACCGAACCACGGAGGCCCCTCGGCAGCCTCGAAAAGAGAACTCGCCTGCCGTATGGCCACGATGTTTCCCTCGTGGGCGGCCAGCTCCGCCTGGAAGGCCTGGTGCTTCTGGAGCTGCTTGACCTTCTCCTCCAGGGAGCTGGGCAGCTCGGCCTGCAGAGAGGCCTCCTGGGCCTCCAGCTGCTTGCGACGGGAGCCCACCCAGGCCTCCGCTTCTGCGGCGTCTCGCCGGAACTGGGCCAGCAGCAGGCCCTCCCCGAGCTTGCCTCGCTTGGCTGCGCTCAGGGCCTTCACGTGGGCGCGCCTGCAACCGGGTGCGGGTGAGCTCCGCCGTTCGAACCAAACTCTGTTTCCCCTTACGACGGACCGCAAAGGTTGCTAGGAGCTGTGCAGGCCCATCCAATGACGCACAAGTGTCGTTTTCCCTCGAGAAAGGTGCGGCAACATGCCAGGTGCTTAGTCGCCCGATACACTCGTGGTGCTGTGTCTACCTTCATCCGGTCCGTAGTTTTTGTGCTGTTTTCATCTTCTGAAGTATTTCGTACAAACCTGCCGAAGTTTGAACTTTAGTGTCCGATAAACTCATGGTGCTGGATGGGTTGGGATGGCTCGTAACGTCCGCAGAAGTTTGTCGTAAGGTGAAACGAGATATAATCGGGTTTCCTCACTCGAGGAGTTGCGGCCCAACTACTGCATCCGTGCTCCCATGCATTTCAGCTTGACGCCAATATTTTTTGTGCTACATCGTCGAGGCTAAGACAGTTTCCGCGCCGCCGCTGTCAAAGGTTCTCGTGCAAGGGTGCGTGAATGAGGCGAGAGGCGAAGCCAAGTACAGTGTAGACCGCATATAACGTATGTCGCGGGAGTCGCGAAAATCCGCACTATAAGCGGTACCGCGCTATAACCAAAACATCAATTTTTCAGGCCAAAATACATGCCGTCAGACAACTTACCTTTGTAAAAGAATTTATTTCTATGTTAGATGAAAAATAAAGCTTAGTTTGAGGAAAGTCTTTATTTCACCAGACTAGTACACTCCTCTCTCAAGTGTGTCACACATTTTGAAAGAAATGAGCGACTTTAGCCTGGCGCAGCCTTTTAACGGCATCGCGCGCAGCGGACGGACGTTGCGAGTGTTCGGGAATGCTAACCCTAATCACTTTTCTTTGGCGATGAAAACGCGTGAAAATTTGCATCCTTTATACGGTACGCGCCAGTAATACCTTCAAAACTTGAGCACAGGCACGAAATGCTCCAAATAAGAAATCCGGGCGATGGTCGAAAACACAAATGTTTAGAAAGCACCACTGTAGTCGAAGTAAACAAACACGACGACACAGGCGTTTCTGCCGTCTTGAGAGTGCCACCACAACATCGCCGCACGAGTAGGTGGATCCTCCCTTCTAGTACGTGCTGGGTTATCATAGCGACACACAACGAAAATTCACAGTCAAGGATAGCGCTTTTACGCGGAATGATGAACTTCCACCATGCCGTCTACGACGACGATCACAACCGACGCCATTTTCGCGGATAGAAGCCGGCCCGCGACCGGCATGCAACGCGCAGGAGCACTTCTCCTCGACCTGTGATTGGTCTGTCGTTGCGGTTGTTGGTCGTGTGGGACGCCCCACACACGCACGCACGCACGTGAACGACACGTGCATGCGTCCCTCCGTCGCTATGGCAACTGAAGCCTCCCTCTTCGCTTCTCCCCAATTCTTCGAGCAACCTCCTTGCCCCGCAAGTGCCGCTCGCGGCTAGCGCCGTTATCTAGTGTCGGCGCGGTCGGCGGGCTGTTCGAGAAACCGCACTATAACCGGTATTTCCCTTCGCGCGCCTGCATTTTAAGCGGTATGTAATTACATGAAGTTCTATGGGAGGCGAACCAGTGGTTTAAAAAAGCCGCATTATACCCGGTCCTGCACTATAAGCGGTTACGTTGTAAGTGGTCTATACTGTACTCGTACAGCAGCACGGGGCTGTGGCACCAAGGAAACTACACTAGGGTCGACAACCAAGGCACAGGAAGTCGACATCGAGCGTAGACAGGCTCCCCGCTAGTGCTCTTCGCCGGCATGTTAAAATAATATACAACAGTGCGCCTTATTTTTCTTTCTGAATGAGTTCCGACCCAGCGGACATGGAGGGGGAGACCGCAACTCCGACGGGGGGCCAGCTGTGTTTATACCTCTGGCAAGGAGGGGTGCTTAGACAAGAGAGGAGGACGATCGTTCGCTGAGCGTCTGCTGCCGCGGGGCCTCGACCACCCCCGCGGGCTCTGGGCGTTGGCCGGGAAGGTGAAAGAGGACACTCAGCTTCCAGGCACCGATGGAAGACGTTCGCGTCGGAAACCTTTCAATGTACCCTTTGTGTAATTGTTTTAACCCTATCTGACCGTAATAAAGTCTTTGTTTTATTCTTACTTTAAAAACGGTGACTTCTTGGACCATCAAGTTAACAGGCAGGACCACTGATGTGAATTCAGTAAAGTTAATTTCCTTTATTCTGAGCAGTTGTATCTTATCCACTTTTTCTCTCTCGCTTTCAAATTCGGTACCCCCCTGTGCTAGGCCTGAGTGTTTAGAATGCACAGCCAAACTACGACGAAATCCCGATAAGTCTTATTAGTGACGTCCAATGATGTCAGTTTGCCAGTACAACAGCAATTAATGGACTGTTTCACTTATGTACTAAAAGCCCCAGTTATAGCTTTCAATTCTTTAGTGGCACTTATCTTAGAAAGCTGCAAAACAGTTATGGTCGCAAACACCCGAAGGATAAATATCTCTCGAGTCTGAAGTAATAGTGCTGCAGCAGACACGCACGCTATTCTTGAATAAATAGAGCAAGCTACACTCGAGTACGCACGGTACAATCAGTGGCACATTTTGACCAATCTTTCTTTACAAAGCACATCCCTCGCCCATTGCCTTAAAATTTTACAAAAACATACCCAAAATTGGGTGCCCTTCACGTTCACCACATACAGAGGGGGCGGAAAAATTTATTCCAACGCCCAAATCTCTTTTCTCTGAAAAGGTATTCATAGTCAGCACAAAAGTAAAAGTAGCATGTTGTGGTTGTTTACTTCAGGAACCTCGTTGCTCCTTCCTTATCTGGTTAAAGTAACCTTGCAGTGAAATACCCCCCGAACAAACTTTGAGGGACCCTGAGGAAAAGTTTGCTTAAGTGAAAGTTCACACAACTGAATGCATTGGACACAGCGGGTTTTTTCATTTGAACAATTTGTCCAACTGGAGTTTGTTTGAGTGGTATTTCACTGTATTGAGGGACGACAGTCAACTAGCCCCCCACTGCAGACGTCAACCTCGAGGAGCAGAGAGGCGTCTCACCTGGCCGCAACTTCCTCCATCCTCTTGCGAATGGTGGGGCTGTCGAAGTGGTTCTGCTGAACCAGCTTTGCGCCATGCTGCTCCAGTGTCTGGAGCTGGAAACAAAGGGGAGGCAACTGTCGGCTTACCCGGCTTACCTCGGTAATGCAGAAAGGAGTAATCAGTCGGTTTATTTTACCGTCAGGGCCAAGACATTGAAAGATGAGCATGCACAGTGTGAACACAGGAGAGTATGGTGACATACCGGCTTAACTTGGGAGAAGTTTGGTACGACAAGGCTGGGTTACAGCTGCGTCTCGTTTTGCAAACTGGAGCTGTTGCGTAGGATGGAAAGCTTCGACAAAAATTTCATATCCTGCTGGACTACATCTGCCACACTCGGGCAACCCTACCATTAACACCTTCGCAACTACTAGCGCCAAGATATGGCAGTATGCAGCTCAGAGTTTTCTCCTGGTCATGCACGGTGGCTTCGTCGAGACGACTGTTCTTTCGTCTCAAAATTTAGGGAATAATGGTCCGCATGCTGTAGGGAATAATGGTCCGCATGCTGCAAGTGCCAGCGTCTGTAGCAGTAAGTGTTCTAAAGCAAAAGCCTAAAACAAATGTCATCTTGCACGCTAGCTCGTCAACGCTTCACTTTTGGCTATTTATACTTAGAATCTTTTATACGGGGAAGGCATGCGCATGCGGCAGTGTGAGCGTAAAGCTTTTAGTCACTGCATTTGAAAAATCCATGAAACCCTAGCCATAAACAGGTTCGCAGTGAAACAATCGCAACCTTCAACAGTCTGCGTGGCAGTTGATACTTGCATCAGCAGCTCACACATCGGCCATTGATAGTTAACAGTAAAAACCCGCAACTTTCCACCATATTGTGCAAAAGAAGATACGGCTCAGTGAGCAGACGCATTCTGCTTGGACACCGCAAGTCTCATATTCCCTCTCATCGGAAGTCTCCCTAACATTCTGCGGCCCTGTGCTCACGCTGAAATCCAGAGGGGAACTGGCAAGAGGTGCTCCTCCCTTATAAACATCCCGAGGCAAGTGCCGCAGCGCTGCCACTGACGACTGATGATTTGTGGTTCTTCTAATTGGGTGGTCCCGCAGTGCTAGGTACCTAGTCTGTGGGGTTATCTTTGTTGTGCCAGCAGCCACCAGCTTTAGCCTCGCCTCAATAGTTTCCACTGTTCCCCTCCATCTTCCGTTGGCCATTAGCATTGAGCCGGTGGTTAGAACGGGCCCGAAGCAGAGTGCCCCTGCCAACATGCGCTCATGGTTCCCTCGAATGAGAGATGATGGGCGCACAGGTGCGTCCACCATCTCTCGGCCGACGGGTGAACTGTAGTTTTCTGCCTAGTGCAATGCCAACGCTGCAAATGCAGCTGGGAGGTTTCCATAATAGTTATTGCTCTAAAAAAATGGCAGCATACGTGGCATGTATTGGGTGGCAGCTTGTGCCACCTAGCCGACAACAGTGGCGGAACAAAGACCAATGGGCCACACACACGTCTCTGCCACCATCAGCTAAGTGGTGCAACCCATTGCCCAAAAAGTGGACCACTCATACGTATGTTGCCACCATTTCTTTTGTTTTTAGTATTATAAAAATTGCTGGGCACGCACTGCTGAAAGCAGTGGTGCCGGTAAATAAAATACTAATCCAGAAAAGTTGCTCGCTGCAGTTTTAGTATGTTTACCATGTTTATAGCTATGCCGCATTGCGGTAAAACACAGTGCATTTATTCCTCTCGGAAGCACAGTCAGCCTCATAGTCTGGTCAGTTTGGGATCCTAGTCTAATTTAACCAGTAGCTGGAGAGAGTCCCACTGGAGACCACATGAATTTGAGGCAGTAATCAAGCTTTTGACCAATGCAGAGCCAAAAACACAGAATACGTGACAAGGTCCGCATTCAATCGGGATTATGCGGTAAATACCAAACAGTTAACTAAACTTTCAGTGCCACTTTTTTTTTTTTTTTTAGCATTTCCCCCTAATTGGTTTTGATTCAAGAAACCTTGTTCGTGAGAGTGATAGAGGGTGCTCATAGAGCGATAGAGGTTCCCCATAGAGCAACTATAAACGGCGAGTTGCGCAAGGACAGTTCCCAGGAGTGCCCAGAGACCTTTTCGTCCTGGGTGGCCATGAGCTTCTCGAAGGCCTCGTGCTTCTTCACGTTGGCATCCACCTCCTCCACCGTGGTGCCCACCTCGGTGCCAGAGAGGTACACCTGCACAGCCACAAGTTTCTCGAGCGACCTGGAACAACTGCAATGCCTAAATCACTATGCAAAAAGAGCTGACAAGGCACGTTTAACCGGGGAAGATGTCACTGAACCAAACTGAAAAGATTGGCTGAAGAACACAAAATATAATGTCCAAGTCTTTTGGTTTCCTTTCAGGACTCACGTTTAAAGAGAGTCAAATATGTAAGGTGTCCACAATAGATCCTAAAGCTGTGGAACGAGCCATCGAGCTATCAAGAGATGGCATCACAAGTTACAACCATTGTGAACTCAGAAGTCCACGAACACGTCTGTCACTGACCCTGGCAAGTTTGTTGGCCTAATTTTTCGCAAGAAAGCTACGCCAGCAGTTTTCATCAGATAAAATGTGCCACTAAATACACATCCGGTTTGAGCTTTTTATTTTCAGGCGCCAATTTTTACGACTCATTCTGCAGTGCTAGGATCCATTACAGACACCCTATGTGCTTCGTACTTACCTGTACAGTAGCCGACCCATTTATTGGACGCCAAAATTTCAGACAGGCTTCATTATTCAGACAATTTTCCAGAACCGTCACTCACCCCCATAGAGTTAATGTAGGGGGAGTTCCCCAGAAAAAAGACCCGTGTTTTTCAGCCCAGGTAAATAAACCATGCATCACACAACGCTCAAACTCCGTGAGAATGTGACACTACCGGTATGGGCAGAATGGAAAAGTTTGAGAACATGACGTTACCTAAATCAAAAGATAACTGAGAAAAACAAACTTTCTTTATGAACCGACGCCTGCCTAAACCTAATTTCATAAAAAAAAAAAGACATTGGTGGTGCCTGTAACATCTATTAAAGTGAAACAAATTTGTTAGTGTTTTTCACTGATATAAATCCCACGAGCGTTCACAATATAATTTCTTCCTCCAACAATATTAGCGCTTAGGTGGACGTCGGCTCAGAAAAATTTTGTTCTTCTCAATTATCTTTTGTTCCAGGCAACGTCATCTTCTCAAACTTTCGTGTTCTATCCCAACCACTAGCTTCACATTCTCACGAAGTTTGATTTTTCTGCGATGCATAGTTTACTTATCCGAGCCGAAAAACACCATTTTTTTTCTTGAGAACTCCCTGTATAATAGCGGCAGGAAATCCGGACAGTGTATGCCTTGTTGCTCGCTTTTTTGGACGTTTTGAGCAGCCACCATACTACCACCACGAACCGAACAGCCACCATTTTTGTTTGTTTCGGTTTATCCTGTAGTCTCGACACTGCGTTCTACATATGTACTTTGCCAGGGGGCGCCGTCCATGCAATACAGAAGCTTGATTAAGCCTATAACCGGAATCATTGCCTCTTTTTCTCGAAATTAGGATGGACTTGATCGGTGCTTTTTTTTTTTTCTTTTTTTCAGATGTTCACAGAGGGTCATTTAAATGTCTGGGTACCGCTTTGACATCAATTGCTGCTCTTCGTTTATAGTTTCGTTTATGAACAACTTGACCGACACTGTCGTGCCATTCAAATGCACTCCTACGGGCCGTTGTGCGACCGTCCAATGCGGACCACTGAAATGCAAAAAGATCTGATCACAAAGAGGTGAAGCACCGTCCAACAAGCTACCGACCTGTTTTTCCAACGATTTAGTATATAAAGTGCCAATACAGAGGGTTTCTTTCTGGACTGCTCAATTATTCGGACTTGTTCGCGATCCCAATCGAATCCAAATATTGGTTGGAGATTGTATCGAGTTCATTCCTGGTGCCATGCATAGTGAAGTCACAATAAAAAAATGTAAGCTTACACGTATAATGCCACTAATGTGAACTAAAATTTCAAGCTCACAAAATAGGGCTGGAGCTACAGTCAGGACGCTGCAGAGCCCAGAAACACCACTCATACAGCAATATCCCTAATGAATGGTCGTATTTTCGGAAAAGAATTGCACGATTGAAGACGGCCGACGAGACATGTGACATCACGATTCTCATTCCCTCTCCTCCTCGCTTCGTCCCGTCAAGCTGGTGAACCGAAGCGAGGAGGAGAGAAGCGAGGCCGCTTCCTCTCATTCTCCACTTTTCCAGGAGGATTGTGATGTCAGAGGTCTTTGCTTGACCACGCCTTTCTTTTGCAGAAATACAGCCATTTGTTTGAGATATCGATGCATGAGTGAGGTATTGGAATTCGTAGCGTCTTTAACACTTCTGCGCCCTCATTTTGCGAAATCCAAATTTTGATGCAGTATCCCTTTCAATACCCTCGAGTAACAATCATCCAAATACACGTTCGTACAACATCCATCGATACTGAAACATGCAGGAGTGAGTTTTAATGCACGATAACCCCACAGCTCCGATGTTGCGAAGCGTTTGGTACGTTACCCAGTTTTGCCGTCGAATGCAGCGATCTCTAAATGATGCATTAATCACGCTACAATTACATTTAGCATTTCGGAAATAAGAAGTTAGAAGGCAAAGCAAGATTATCATCTATGAAGCAGTCACAGTAAAACGAATGTGGCACCAGGCCGACAACTCCAAAAGTGGTTGGTCTATTTTGCTTTTAAAAATAAGTATGTATGAAAATTCGTCCTCTAAAACACGGATTACCAAACCGGGTTCCTAGGAACAGTCCCAGAACACTCTCAAGGATTCCTTCAGCTCCCAAACTTTGGAGACAGCCCCAGCTTAAGCACTATATTTAGCGAATCTAGGCCACCTATCGATCGACGCACGTCTAGAGTCGCACATTCCCCGGTACATTCATCATTGTTTCCTAGCTCCGTAGGCTCCCCAACTGCTTTAGCACATCGATTCTGAGGCCGGGAGGGGTTCCTTGGCTGTGGGTCGAGGCAGGTCCTCGAAATATAGAAGTTTGAGAGCCCCCTACCCAATGTCCCTCTGCGTCGAGTTACGGGTCCTCTCATCCATCTCGGGGCCAGGCTGTCCACCAAATTACTCTTTTCAAATTCCCCGACCTTTCCGGGGTTTCCCCGGAAAAGTCCAAGTTTTCCGGATCAATGGATGCCCTGCAGGGCTGATCCGATAGAAGGTACGGATGCATGGCGGAGCATGAGAGGGGTCCCCACCTCCTGCTGAGCGCTGAGGGTGTCCAGCTGCTTGGCGTCCCTGAGGAAGAAGTGCAGGTCCAGCAGCTGGTCCAGGTAGACCTTCTTCCGCTGCCAGGACAGATGCAGGGCGTCCCGGGCCTGCAACAGCTGCGCCAGTCGCTCCTGGATCTGCGCACCCGGGTTTGGAGGCAAACGGCTTAGCTGGGCTGTGCCCCTGCCAGCATGTGCCTTCGAGCACCCAGTGATAAGATTGCTTTGAGTCGTTTTGCAGCAGCTCTTGGAGCAGCGGAAAGAGCTTTTGAAGCATAAGCGCGCACTAATTTTAATTCCTAACGCTGCAAATACCGTAAAAACCCGCATATAATACGAGGTTTTTTTCAAATTTTGTTATGTAAAATTTGCGGTTCGTATTATACGTGGGTCCCAACAATTTTCAGCTTCTATGAGGCGTGATCTGACGCAGTTTGACGTGGTTTTGGTTTCGTAGCAATTTTAGCGTTCAAAACAGCTATCATCATCATTAAAATCACAATGTCCGAGAAGCCACCATGTGTCCGCGGTCAGGCTAGGCAATGGCGTCGGTGCGAATCGCCGAAAACGATGCTCGGCCGCCTTCAAAAGAAAAGTAATTTTGGTTGCGGAAGACATCGGCGACAGTGCTGCCGGGCGACAATTCGCCGAAAATGAAGGCGGCATCCGCGGATGGAGACGACGAAATCAAGCTCTGTTCCCGTGCAACGGAACGAGAAGAAGCTTTGGAGGCCCAAAAAATGGACTGCTCGCCGACATCGAGGCAAGTCTCGGCGACTTTGTAAAAGAGCAGTCGCCATAGACATCAAGCTGCTGTAAGAGAGGGCCAGAGAACTTTGATGAGCCGACATTGGGTACACTGGGTTGTTCGCTTTACACGCCGCGCCGGGCTTTCACTGCGTCGGTGCACGCCCGTCGCTCGCTCTTTCAAGAAGTACGGAATTTCAAATGTGCTCGACGGCACTAAAGACGACTGCCTTAGGGAGGAGGCATCGGACAAGGAGTCTGATGGAAGTGATGACAGTGATTAAGGTTCAGTTACGACACAAATATATGTTTTTCTTAAGACTTCCTGGGTTGCATTTTACGCAGAATATTTTCGCGGTCCTTAAATTGTTTCATATTATACGCGGATAAAAATTTTTTTTTTTCATCGCGGTCCTCAAATTATGCCTCGTATTATACACGGATTCATATTATATGCGGGTTTTTACGGTATTATGTTAAGATTCATGTGTTGACCTGTTCAACTAGGCAGTGTCTACTTTGCCTTGTCAAATGTGCAACCTTTTCTTAGCACCGATCGCGCAGCAGGATCGATTCTCCCAAAGACAGAACTAGCCGTTTAGTTGCTGTGGTTAATGGTTATTTTAGGTACAGAATCCCAGTGAAATATTGTTAGAATACAATAATTTTAGTACCTAAATTTGTTTCCTTTCAGTTAAAATGGTAAAAAAAATGTGCATGGTAGGAAGCACACAATCCATTGCAAACTAAAAGTAAAGATTTTTTCTTGATTAATATAAGCATATGCTTTGCTATTGAACAGAAGCATTAAACTGAAATCAGTATAATAATGTCTCCTTTTGCTATATCTACATTAGAGGGCCAAGTGAGCAAAGGTGAAGCACTTGTAAGCTCCGGTGTTACCATTCAGTGGCTGCGGATGCTGGTAACCCACGAACGTACTACTACAGCTTACAGCAAATGGGGAGCCCCTTGGGAGCATGTGCTTCCTGATCATTTTACCCTTTCGCATCTCTACAACTCGTCAGTGCACCGAAATGCCACTATGATGTCCCAAGTGCAAATAAACTGCAAAGGCGTCTTCAGTGCCGACACGGCTGCAAGCGAGACGCTTTGGAAAGTCTTCCCTGCGTGAGTTCTCGTGCAAAGAGTGCATTCAGCAGAGCCATGCACTCAAACCCGTGCCCTCGCGTGCACTTAACGCAATTTGCGAGATGACATATACGGTGAAAAGTTGGTGACGTGCCCGCAAAGTAAATGTGGCGACTCAATCTGAAGTAGGGTGCTCCCGATTTCTGACGAGAGCGCGTACGAGCGACCTGTTTCTAGACTGTGCGTTGTTTATAAAATAGCATTCTTAGTAAATGGAACCACTTTGGTCCACGTTCATATGCAAGAGTATCCATGTACCTTGCTTGTCGACACCGATGAGGGCAGCGTGTATGCTTCGACGGCGAACGTGTATGATTTGCACTGCTGGCAAGACGACATCACTGTCGACGCGCTCGAGTTTGCGATTGTGCCATCGGAAAGGACAGGCAAAGCTTCCAGATTGTTTCGCCACATGCTATGGTCCGACGTCAAAAAATGCAATCGTTGCGTCGTTTCTCTGGTGGGCTACACGCTGGATCGACGCGCTGGCATGGCTCTCCGAGTTCAACCTAAGAAAGATGACCGACCGGATGTATGCGCTCACTGTTGCCAGATGTCCGAGCAATTTTGTGTATCTCCTATACCTGCACTCTCGTGACACACTCCGCATGGCACTTATTCATTATTCACCCGAATATTTGTAAATTAATAGAATGCTTGACTACGGACACGAAATATATATACGAGTATGAATCAAATATTAAAAATATTCTATTCGCATTCAAAATTTGGAGTCTTCACGAGCCCGCTAAAGGTGATTGAACAACGATTATCGTTTTTCTTCTTCATAATTCTCACTTTCCAAGGCCCAAACAACGGTGAAATCCCAGCTGGGGGTACGTACCTCTGCGGCGGCGTAGTGCCGCTCGTCCATCATCATCTTGCCAAACTTGAGGACGTCACCGAAGGTCTCCTCCCGGGCCTCGATCTCCGCCATGACCTGGTCGTGCTCCGACTTGAGCGTCTGGGCCCCCGTGGCGCTCCGTACCGTCTCCTGGGCACCCAGCTCCGAGCAGAGCCCGCGAGACCAGGTCTCCAGGTCGCGGACCTGCAGTGAGCATCGGACGCCAGAGTTCGGATCTGCGACGAATGCATCTGACGAAGCCTACGGCATTACAGCCAAGGACCGGGCCTGCGCCTCTGCCCCAAACGTTCTCGCTAGAGAATCCACGCAATGCCGCCTAGCTAGCGTCGACGTCGCCGCCGGCGTGTTTTGCAGCGTCTTGCAACGAGCAGGATGCTAGCAAGCGGCGACGTCGAGACAGACGTGCCTGCCACTTTGCGGCGACTCCCATCGAGCTTCGGTGCATCTGCCGTTTGAAGCGGGTCAGAGATCTGCTAACAATGGCGTTGTGCGCAGACCTGTTCTTCTAGCTGGTATTGCCTACAGTTCATTGCAGGACCCAAACAGCGGCCCCGGCCACTAAACTCTCTGCTCGCCACGATTGGTGTCTTCATCCAGTATTCCCTCTGCTAAAGTGTAGAGAGGGCTTTGTGAGAGGAGCTTGTGTTGCTATTCTTAACCCGCAACAAATTCAATAACGCAAGGCTCTCGAGACAAGGCAATTTCCTCGAGGTGCGTCGCTTTAAGATATCGAGCATGCACCCACCGTCGCAATAAGCGCTCACCTCGGATTTTTGAGCCCATTTAGCCGACCGAGATGCTCCTCAAAGTCGGCCGCTTCTCCGAGCACGCCGATGGACGCAATGAAGCTCAATGCACGCGTGCCGGTGCTAAGCTGTGAAGCCTACCCTACTGTGTGCCTCTTCTGCACTTTCGCTTTTGGACCTTACAAGTGCCTGTGCCCCCGTTTTTTTATCATTATCGCCGACTTTTGGGAGGCCACCTGCCTGGGATATTACACCACATCGTTATGCTGTGTTTTAGAACTTTTCCTCTCGCCATCTTTTTCAGCGTCCTTGCTTTTGTCACTATCCAACATTTCTCTTTACATTTTTTGTATTTGTATTTAACTCTGTAGTACCGGGCCATTGGTCCCAACACCTTGGTTGGGACCAATGGGTTTACTGAATACTTCAAAATTTACTTGTCTGCCCCAATCCTCTGTATTCCATGTCCTAACAAAAAGCTTACCAACGTTTGTTTGCTGAAGTATCCCTACAAACAAAATCATAGCACCCATGGCCACAGCTATGTATAGCGTGGCACTCCAAACTAATACAACCAATAAATTTGTAAACAAGTTCCATTACATGAAACTGAACAAAGAAAACGAGGAATTCTTTTGGCTTTTGGAAAAAATGGCTGTGGATCCCTAGAGATTCAAAATGATTGAAAAGCCCCGATCGACATCACCCAATGCATCACACTACAAAGATTCAGGCTGAGGCCCGGAGCGCTCTAGACAACAAAACGAGCGCACCATGGAGAGGAACTTCTGGAACTGGAGAGACTCCTTGAGCTGCTCCTTGCGCCTGGCCACCTTGTCCTGGAGTGCGGACCACTGGTCCACCACCAGGCGCTGCTGCTCCGCAATGTGCTCCGCATTGCCTCCCGGGTAGGCCGCCTGTAGCCGCACACTGTCGTCCACCAGCACCTGCATTGGGGGGACAAGGATGACTCTGGGCACATGAAGCAGAAAGAGGGGGTTTCAGAGTGCTACTGAGGATGCATACAACAAATGAGCCAATGAATGGGGGGCAAGGAAGCTTTTCACAAAACTGTATCTTAGGCGGTCCATTTAACCCACTCTCAAACTACATGAGCGTAGGTGTCTGGAAAAAAAAAATGCCCCAAAACTCCAGTTATTTCCAGGAATGACAATGGAAACAAATGGTCTGGTTCATGACTCACAAAGGGCACTACATGGAATCTTGAAAGCTTCTTTGAGACCCAAAAGTAGATTCATCTAAGAGTAGCAGCATACACCGTCTGTCTTTCTCACTGTGCATGATATATTTTTCTTTTGCATAATGTTTTTTTAAAATAAAACCTACATTCACAAATTTTGAGTACAAAAATGAAAGGACGATCCATTGGTGGATCCTTAGAAAATGTGTTAGCATAACCCTTAAGGAATTTGCTACACATGTCCCCCCTTGAGAAACACTAACGCTGACCCCTTCACTTTTCTTGTTTGCTTCCTCTATTTTTTGCAGCCTTTTTTTTCGCTTTGTTACAAGGTCAGCGTTACATTTCCCAGAGAAAGACATGAGGGTTTGCGTAGCACAACGCAGGTATTTTTTGTTTCTGGATGAGGCTCAAAGTACATGAATGTGTAATTGTAAGAGATTGGTGGAAAAGAGGAGTTTCAAGGTGCTGAGTGCGTTTACTGAGCCAGGTAAGGTGACATTGACGAGAAAAATTTCCTGAAATAACATGAAGCAAAACTGCAAATGTGCGTTGCGAGTTCAAGGTCCACTCTGTCGTGGTCGCGGAAGCGGCCGCGACTGCCATTGAAGGAAAGATTGAATTCATTCAGAATGTTGCCTCGACGACAATGTCATGTGCGTTGCCCTTTCAATTACAAAGAGTGGCAAATTTCAACTGCAGCGTGCTGAAATGAAATACTTGAATATATCCTTACCTAGAAATGGTGATTGGAAGGTACTTGTTAAGCTCATTGCATCCGCTAAAGGAATATTTGTTACTAGTCGTTGGTCACAAAAGCTATCAATCATTGAAATGGACGGAGACTCGTTTTAAGCACCACGTTCCCGGCAAGCCCCCTGCGCGAGAAAAAGCGGCCCCCGCACCTGCAGCTGTGCCTCGAGCGCCACAAGGTCGTTCTCGAAGCCCTCCTGGCGCCGCACCATGCCCTGGGTGGCGTCCAGGTCCTTGCCGGTCTCTTCTGGGATGGCGGCGTACTTCTCCTGGATGCGGCTCAGGGCGTCTCCCACGTCCCGGTTAAAGCGGTGGATCTCCCCCGCAGCCTGCAGCTTCTGGTCTCGGGACGCCAGCGCCTCGCTCAGGCCACGCCACAGCTCCCTGGAAGGGAGCGTCGCTCCATCCTCAACCCATCCGTCCTCCTCGTTTTGCAACAATCGCGCGCACTATGGAAACAAACTAGTTACAACGTGTAGCCGAAAAAATTTAGAGTGATTTTTCGGCTCAAATATAAACCATGCGCCGCCAAATGCTCAGTCTCCACCTAAACGAAGCACTAGCAGTTTCGATCTAGTGCCACATTTTTAGAACTAGACGTTATCCAAAGGTCATGGAGGAACCTTGGCTACCCTTAACGATAAACACAAGGGGCACCTGCTACAAACCTTGTGACACGGGAGCTGATAACATGAATCACGGACACAGCAAATGAGCGTCTAACAAAGCGATAAACACTCGGGAATTCGCAACAAACTTCTGTGTCAAGGGGAAAGGATCTTGCAGACTGCAGATGCAGCAGATTTGTGCTTCGTAGTGCAATAAACACGCAAAAACCGAAAACTTGCGCGGCACAAGAACCGATATCGTGCGTGCAAATCATGGACAAATTATGCGGGAACCTGCTATGAACTCGCATGTCAAGGAAACCGATAATGCGCAAAATGTTTGGTTGGACTAGTTGGTTTATGACTAAATAGAAGCGCCGAAGGACAGATATCGCAAGCAAAGATTGCGGACGAACACGGGGGAACCTGCTGTGAACCCGCTTGTCACACGTACCAGTACCGCAAACCGAGCAGTTGACGTGCTTTCCATCGGACATTGTGTGATGTCTGACAGGAATCGGGGGATGGGCGATGTTTAGGTATTTTTACGTTATGGATATTTAGCCAGAAAAACGGGATGGGTGATCTCTCGGGGAAGGGTGCCCTTACGGGGTTTTACGGTGTGCATCCCTGGCTTATGCGACGTCCCACATTTTATGACGACTGAAAACATTTGAAAGTGGAACGGACAGGCATAACAAGATAGACAAACAATGTTTGAATTTAGACATTGTCCTTTATGCCTATCTTTCCAACTTGAATGTTTCCGGGTTCTTTGCCCCTGTCTCACATCGTTATGATAAACTTCCACCACTGCACTTTCCCCCACTCTGTTTTTCTCAAAGAAAAGTGCACAAATTTTCCTTTAATATCAGTCAAAGATATTTATCGAGCAAAGCACTATTGGCGGGTTACGTTAGTGGATTTTGTGGGCTAGTTTACTGGGATATTAAATTTGCCTCAAACTTGCTTATATAGCACAATATCCTACGTCAACTAAGAATTTTCCAAGGAATATTCTTGACTGGACAGTTTTTTTAATGGGCCAGCTTCCTCCCATTCATTTCCTATAACCCAGCTGAAGCTAGACACAAAAAAAAGGACTGTATCAGAAAGTTTTGAACTTTCACATTGAAAGCTAAATCAATAAAAAGGCAAAATTAAAAAGTCCTGCCTTTTCAATTTTGCAGAACTTGAGAAACACTCCTAAAGTGCATTCAAAGTTTTCAAACTGAAGCACACGGGAGAAGCAACGAGTTGGAGAAAGTGCCGCGCAGAGGAGAGCGAGGGAAAACGAGAGACGAAAGAACGATGGAATGAGCGAAAACGCCGAGGCATTTCACAACCCGAGGAGGAGAAGGGAAAGCGCTGTCTCCTGCTCCTTCCCGGCACGGTGGCTGTCTAGGGCTGCCGGCGACGTATTTTTGGATCCTCTGAAACACCGCGCAGAACTCTTCCGCGTTACCACACCGCCGCCCCCTTCCTGATGTAGCCATTGAATTCATCACACGTTTCCCGCCGAACGTCATATGATGCAAGACGCGTAGAATCATGTCGCGTAAACCAAACTTTTAATACATTACTTCTATGGAGAGTTTGTCCGGACCAGGCAAATTCGTCACAAAATGCGGGATACCGCATAAACTGGAGACGCATAATCAAGTACATAAAATTGAAAGAATAAAACACGGAGGACAAGCACAGGACAACCACCTGTGCTTGTCCTCCGTGTTTTATTCTTTCAATTTTATGTATCCATGTTCAACCCGCTCGCCTTCACCAGCATAATCGAGGTTCCACTGTATTTTGATTTTCATTTCTGTACCCCTTTAAAGTATGTGTCACGTTTTAAACAACCCCAAAAAAAAAGACATTCACAAACTTGCCCCTGAATCCCTTAGAGATCCAGCATACAGATTGTCATTAGGAAGGAGCTTTTTTTCTCTTTGTTGACACGGATTCAGCGGCAAAGACTTGCTCATTGTGTTGACACCGTGAAACAAGTTATTATGGCTGCCTTTTGATGCTTCCCAAGTTACGCTAGATGAACCCACGTGGGTTCTTGGCAGGTTGCCCGCTTTGTGCTGCCTGGGAAGCACATTGCACGTAACGGAAAGTCACGTGCAATATGCACTCAGACAAAACTTTCTGTTGCACGCAACTTTTCGTTTCACGCAAGGTGCAACTCGGCGCGCGCTCGTGCCTGAAAACAGAGAGAGACGAGGGTGCTCACTCCAGACGATCTAGGCGCCTCTCGATCTCGCCTGAACGGGCCACCTCTGCCGTGATGAGGCGCCTCCCGAGGTCGGCACACTGCTCCAGCCGCTTCTCCCCCGTGTCCACCACCAGCTTCCGGTCTTCAAACTTGGCTTGCAAGACCTGGCAACAATTAACAAAGCCACAAGCGACACGTTACGACAAACAAAGTACTACCATAGCTTCCAGAACATGGTCTGTAGACAATGCAAGTTCCGAAGTCGACTACAAATCCGGTACAGACAAGACTATACAAAGAGGTGTTTTGTAAATCATACTAGCTACTCTTTCGAAGTGAGTACTATTCATAAAGGGGACAAAATGCCAATGCGCGATAGACATGCAACGAACTCATACCGACTTTGAGGATGACCTTCAGTGAACGACATCGTCCATAACCAGAAACTTGTTTGCTTCCCCAGTCAAACGTTTGACGATGGTACAAACAACCATTTCGCATAGATATAGTACAGTCGAATCTCGTTGATTCAAACTCGAGGGGGACCAGAAATTTGTTTGAATAAATCAAAGTTTGAATTACCGGGAGTTCCCTCCCATAGAGATGCATAGAATGGGACCTGCATGATAGTTTAAATTATCTGCAAGTTTGAATTAACGAGATTCCATTGTACTTATATGTGATCTCCCAAATACTGCAGAACCTTCGCGCTAGTGAAGTGCTGTTCCAGGGTCACCTCATAAGTGGCACCAGCATGCCAATGAGAGAGCCTGTATTACAGAGTGTCCAACCGCTCGACCTATGGGCCGCGTTTGCGATACGAGCTGCAAGGAATGCATGGATCGTTCGCAAACGTCTACACTTCCCTCCTTGCCCCGCTATGATGCAGCGTATGTGCACTCATGACCAATCTTTATGAGAGGCATCCGCTGTTCACTAAAAAACGCTCCCCACGGTTTGAGACGAACCATGCCTCCAATCTTAAGGGGGGACACTACCCAGAAAAAAAATTTTCCGCAAAAAAAGTTGATTTTGAAAAATGGCATATTTACATCCACCAGCACCTGGAGAGTACTTCCAGAAAGTTTCATTAGTTTACACCGCATAGTTAATTTTTTATAAATTATTTTCGGTCCATTGAAGCTAAAGAAAAGGTAGGGGTTGGAACACTTTGAACACATTTTTCTCCGTTCCACATTTTGGCATAAATTTCATTTAAGGAAAACTATCGTTTGTTAATGGGACAAGAGGGAAGACTCGCTTATTGTTTTTCCTAAGTGGAATTTTATGGGCAGTGCAACTATGGAATTGCTTTTTGACTTGGTGGATGTCTTTTATAAAAGATGTTAAGATCTTGTGCTTGACATAAAAGGCAAGAAAATTTATTTGATTTTTCACTGTGATGTTAGCATAAAGTAAATTCCTTATTGGAAATTTTCTTTTCACAGCTGCACTCTCTAGGCATTCTACTGCAGATCCAGAGTAGAAAAATGTTCGGTATTACATTAGTTTCCTAATGATAGTTTTCCTAAACAAAGTCGGTGTGTTCCTGATAAAAATTACTACAAGTTATTTTACAACTCATGTACACTGATGCAACTTTGCACTGCATTCTGCCTTACAACTTCCAGTATATACTCTAAATTTCATTGATATTAAGCCATAGGTTAAAAAGTTAACTCTATTGGGTAGTGTCCCCCCTTAAGGGCCTCAATTGAGCTAGGTGGTACATACTTCGTATTGGTCTCCTTTTAATTCTTTCCCTCAACACAAGTTCAAGCTTTTGGAAACAAAGCGCAGCAATAAACACTCGTCTCGACACAAGACTATCTCGGAGTTGTAACGCTCGAAGTAAGCGAGGACCAGCTTCGAGTTCTCTCACCAAGAGGTGTTCGTAGTCCTTGCCGTAGTCTTCGGATAGAGCAGCTTGGGTCTGTTCGCTGATCCAGTCTTCGAGCTCGTCGCTCTCCCGGAAGAACTCGTGGGTGTGCTTGGCCTCCATCAGCCGCTGCCTGCGGGCATTCGACAGCCTCTGCAGGTTCTTCATCTCCTGGTTCACCGTGTGCTGAAGGAGAGACACGCATCTGAGCAGAGGGCCACCCATGTACAAGCTAGTGTACCCTCATCCCACCTCAAGGGGGACAGCACTTGTCTTGCAAAAAGAATGCTAAGATAAAGGAGTGCTAAAGCAACCTGACTGAATTAAGACCCAGAAGAATCTTATTCAAGCTCACCTAAGCTAGCTCAAGCAACGCTGTCTCCCTTACTTAAAAACAGAAACAAGAGTGATTGTTAAGGGCCTACTATATATCAGCCTAAGGTGATTTGATCTGATTCTTTTAGTACAGTAGAAAATCAATGATACAATCACGGTTAATTCATATTTCAAGATGATACAAATTTTTTACAAGTCCCGCCCAGTGTGTTGTGTACAATATATGTTACATTTCAGGATAGTATGAATGCTTTCTCAGGCCACGGTGGACGATACAGACAATTGTTCCGTCTGCGCTGTCTGCGCAGACGAAACAATGCAGCGCCCACCCCATGCCTTGCGCCGTGTGCCTGGCAATCCTACGTCACTCAGTTGCTGGTATCTCATTAGTCTACAAAAATATTAAGAAACTGCTGCTTTTTTTTTTTTTTTTTTTCTTGCTTTGCCGTTAGCGGTTAGTCATTCTGTCATCACCGCATTAGTGCAGGTCGTTTTAAAGTGTACTCCTATGGAAGAGAAAATGCATCTGCCAGAGCCAACAAACGAATCACTTTTGGTCGACGAATCATGTCATGTAAGCGGAAAGCACCTTCATTTAATAAGAAGCTTGAAATCCTCAAGTCGACGAAGAACCGAAGAGGAAGTACACCGACCTAGTAAGGGAGCTAGGCTTAGCACCATCGACACAGTGTGCCATTGTTGGAAAACAGAATGTTATCATAAAAAATGCACAATGCTTTCGGTGTAAACGTCATGCAAGCAAAGATTGCTCAACATGTGACGCTATAGGAAATCCTGTTGAGATGCTTTAAAGAAATTATCGCCATCGATGGGCGAACCTCTGCATGCACTCGACATTCTACAGCGGCCCGTGAGCCCGGTAAATGTCAGTGAGGACACCAGTGTGCGATTTTACTCGTTTCAAAAAAGTCAGAGGAGTGATATCGAGGGGAAAAAATGCCAGAAAAGAGTAACAACCTTCTTCACCCAAAGTAAAAAAAAAAAAAAAAAAAAATTTGGTCGGTGCATAGGTATGCTGCATAAATTTCTGCACAACTGTGTGTGGGTGGCACAAGAAATGAGAGGGGTTAATGCTTTGCCAAGCCGCGCTTGAGACTCGCGTGAATTGCCCGTATTGCACAGGACGCTAGCTTGGCTACTCGGCAGCTGTCCAGAGCGATGAGCGAAGATAGTGGAATCACGGCTGCTGGTGTGGCATCTATCGCCATTTCAATCAGACAGGAGCGTGTCACATTGAAGTGAGCAAACGTGCAAGCCAGAAGACAAGAAATTGCTGCAGAGACCTCTAGTGTTGGTTGTCTATGATTTGTGATAGCATTTGCCAGGACACCTCAGGGGTGTCTAAGACAACATTGAGGACGACATCAAAGATGACCTCTAGGACGACCTCTAGGATGACCTCTAGGACGACCTCTAGGACGACCTCAAGGACGACGTCTGGAACGACTTCTAGGACAACCTCTAGGACGATGTCAAGGTACTCAGTCCTTCAAAGAGGGTGCAAACGTGAAGGAGTCTGAAAACGTGGACTGAAATGTTCTACTGCGCGTATCTAACTGCACGGTTCTCGGCGGCAGGCACGGCGCGCCGTCAGAAAGCGCGCTGATGCAAATCGGTTGGTGCTCCAATGTTATCTGTATGACATCACTTCCATGACCAAGTTTTTGTGACATCGAGCTCCCAACTTTGCACCCCCTTCCAAGCACGGAGAAACACATAGTTCTTTGTAAAAAAAATAAACAAGAATGCATGACAAGATTTGGTTGTTTTGGATCAACCAAATCTTGTAAACAAAATTTGGCTGTTTTAGATAATACGAATTTCGGATGCTGCTAATATTTTCTGCAATCCTGAAAGAATTGCATCATCAAGATTCTACTGTATTTGATTCATTTGGATATACTACCAATCACAAAGAGAAAGCAGGAGGATAAACTCATGGCTAGCCCCAATAAACTCGAACACAAAAGATTTCTGACAAAGAGCAAACCCGCTCGCACTAACAACATCCTTTGACAGGCAGTTCAATTTATTGATGGATTTAACGAAAGTTCCTAAAATATTCTGTGCTAAAGCAATATGAAGTAATTTGTGGTTGTTGTGTTTTGTTCTAGAAATAGCATTTAAGTTTGTACACATAATATATTTAGAGATATCAAATGAATACAATTCACGCAAAACAGGGAAAAAATTTGTTTTGTCCAAGTCGGCATAATTTTAGTGCCACTAACGAAAGAAGGTTTGTACAGAAGACATCTATTGCCTTTGAAAATAAATGTCACAGCTTATACTTGATGCCCCTGATGCCAACTGCCAAAAAAGTCTAGAGAGGTGTAGAAAAAACTTAATAAAAAGCATCTAACTGTTTTAGTTTAAGGGGGGACATGGCCTGGGAGGGTCAACTTTTGAACCATTGTCTCAAAGTGATTCAAACTTTCAGGGTGAATTGAACCCCATTAGGATTGATGACATCTAAAGTTTCAGCCTTATAGGCCAATTCTACCGCATACTATGCTTAGCAAGCTCCAGAAAAAAGTTACTTTATTAGGAAATGTATTTAAAAAAAATAATAATTGAAATCCACAAAATGTTTAGTTTAATGTGAAGTAGAATACCCATAGTGCAAGTTAAGGTAAAAATTAACCGTAGAAAATGTCATTCTAGAGAAAAACAATAACACCCAAAAAGAGCGAATGATTTTAACAAATTTGTGAGTTTTAAAATATTCAGTTTTTGTCATGAAGAATTTAGCATTTTCAGATTATGAGTACCTTAACTTGTTCCTCGGTAAATTTCAGTCAAGGACAACACTGAATGAAATCTTTACACTTTCAAAATGTCCAATGATACATTTCCTCATACCACATTTCCTGCCAAAAAGTGAAACTGAGAAAAATGCATTTGAAGTTTCAACTTTAGGTTTCTTTATTTTTTATGAGTCCGAGGTAGGCAAAATTCACCTAAAGCATTGTTAGCCCCTTCGTCTTTGAGCATCTGTTGTTCCCCTGGCAATAGCTACCAGTTTGTGTTGTTTGTAGGCATGATAACTTTTGTAGCAGGCATTCCCTGACAGATAAGCTGACAGGAACTAAGAGGCAAATCACACTGAGAAAGAGCAGCAAAGCAGGAATAGGATCTGAAGTGGAAGATACTGTAAAGGGGCGTAAATGAAGGCGACAAAATATGACGTCACTGGGAGGGACCAACCGTAAACCCTGTTTCAGGTGTCAACCAATAAAATTGCTCATACCAAATTTTCAGAATTTTTTCTTTTTGGATGTATTGGGTCCTCCTGGCCCTTGATACTTGTAAACTTCGAAAGCTTCTACGAGCTAAATCTAGAGTAAATGGCACTTCCAATGAGGGTGAGATGTTCTGGCTAAGTTAAACGAGTATGAAACAGTGCTAAATAAAAAACACAAAAAAATTCCTTCCTGCTGACTTGGAGGGCTGCCGACATGTCGAAAATAATTTATTCTGAGATAAATCCTGCATGTTTTTAAATGAAACTTTCTGAAACCATTCTTTGGAAGTTAATAAGCATAAACATATCATTTTTGAAAAAAACGTTTTTTCCTGAAAATTTTGAATTCCGAGGCCATGTCCCCCCTTAATGAACATGCTGACTGCAAAGAAAGTATTTCAAGTCTCACCATCTGGTTTGCAATGATTTTAGAATCGGGATGGCTCTGGTCAATCATTGTCTGTCCCTGGTGCGTCATCTCCACAATGAGGCCGGAGTAAGTATCAATCTCCAGCTCCAGTGCCTGAAAAATGCCACAAGTCGCCAAGTTGCTCAAACAAAGTCATCAAAATCAAATGGACAACACAAAGAATGCCAAACACACAACAAGTAGAATCTGTAGGTAGAACAACTGGAGGTATGAGGACACTGCAAGGGTCAGGAACATTCTTTAGCAGCCTCAATACCTGGCAGTCAGGAAAGCTTGTGACAGCCACCACCATAAAGGCATGTGCAAATAGTGGATTTTAAATTCGAAACAAATTAGAAGTAAATTTGAAGCAAATTCGAAGTGATATCGAAGCAAATAGTTGTTTGGGCCGAGTATTTTCTAATCAAATATCAGTTTTTCCAAGCCTCTCAGTAGTGCACCATGCCTAAACGAAAATCCAGCTGAACTTATGAGGTTGCTCCCAAGCTTCCACTTGTCCATTTCTGAGACAGTCTATATCTATAGACTGTGGCCTCAGAAAGTACAATGCCTACTTTGGGATGATAAGTAATTGACGCATCTAGCATAAAATTAAACCTATAGAAATTTCCAGCTATATCTAATCGAGGGGATTTCTAAATCTACTTGCTATATATGCAATGATCTTTTCTTAAACGGCGGAACGGCGAAAAATATGAATAACTGTTTTTCTCTTGCCGTTAATATTTTATGATAGATGACCATTTTACTTAACGCTATCGTAAGCGCAGATATTATTGACATTTTATAGTGATCCACAGAGGTTATGCAAGGGAGCCATTTTAAGACTTTTGCCGAATGTTTCATTGTTCTAGACAAGAAATGCTCGTGAAACAATGCTTTACTATCGCAAAGTTCGTAGCTTCCATACGCGCCACAAACACCACTGATTGACGCTTTTCAAAATGATGCAAAGTGTAAACGCTTGTTCCGTGGAAGCACATTTCAATGCTGCAATGTTATGGGCTCAAAAGTAAACAGAATAGAAAATAAGAGACAAAAGAAGATACGAGCATGCAGCGAGGGAGTGGACAAACGAAGCCGGGGAAGCGGAAGAGAAGTGTCAGGCACTTCGTCAATCACAAGGTGTTTGTTTGGTGCATACCAACGTGCGCCCATGTGCGGCAAGTGAGCAGCAGAGGCAATTACGAAGTTGCTGCACGGCGTAGATGCCGCAAGCGAGGTCAACCCCTTCAAAAAATCCCACTGGGACAAATTCTGGGCATTTGTGCGTGCACCCGAAGGATGGCAGGCAAAAAAGAAGCGCACCTTCTGCTTGGTGAGAAGCTTGACTGCGGCGTCTTCGTCCCGGCCAAAGTCGGAGCTGGTCAGCACTGCCTTCTTCTCGTTCATCCAGGCCTCGATCTCGTTCACTTCAGAGTAGAACTGCATCAGGAGCAACAGGCCCCACAACGAGAAGCTCAAATGACTAGCCCCTGCTAGCTCTGTTTCCTCAAATTCAAGTCAACCAAATTTATGAACTAAAAATTAACTGAGAAATTCTCACTCGCTGAATGTGCTGACAAAGAGCAGGCAGTTTAAAATGTGTTCGGGCGTTGCACAGGATCACGGGACACTAGCAAACTGTGTGGTTCGTGGCAGTTTTTTTTTATTGTGCGCCACTCAAGTGCCACCTTATATGGCTCTTGCGTGATGCGTGAAGTCAATGAGGCAAGCGGTCGCACGGCACGACGTCGCACTGCTCCCTGGCACGTTTTGCCGGGAGCTCGATACTGCGAGAGCAGCTGTGCTATGTAGCTCAGTGGCTATAATATCAGACTGCCACCACATCCACCCAAGTTTAAGACCCACTGGGGCATGCACTTTACATATAAGCTTTATATATAACCTTAAGGACTGTGACGCTCTGAGACTGTCACTCGTTCATGACGCTCATTCCTGACGCCCATTCATGATGCTCATTCAAGACACTCATTCAGGATGATTTTCTCATAGAAAAGAGCTCATAAGACAAATTATGCGTTAAAGTCGCTAGCAGCGATAGCAGAAAATGTATAGCGCGTCGATTCATGGCAACCTTTCACGCGTGAGCTTGGTACGGATTTTGTGAAATGTTGTCGTGGTAGAGTCTCTGAAACAAACAAAATCTGCCGAAGCTAGTGCTCCAGCGAGAGATAAATGTAAAGTTTGTGCCCCTCGAGGTTACACATCCCAGCTTTGAGCCTGCTCTATCACATCTCCTTCAAAGAGGTGCTTGTTCTCTTCCCCATCACCGAAGATCTGAGCTTGAAAAGGAGGCATTTACAACAATAAAGGCTGTAAAGAAAGATTAAAGATGCACCAAAGCAGCATACTTGAAAATAAAAAGCGCGAAAGACAAGGACAAAAGGAAGACTACACAGGACAAGCACTTACACAAGAAGGCGCTTGTCCTGTGTAGTCCTCCTCTTGTCCTTGTCTTTTGCGCTTTTTATTTTCGTAATGTTAAACCAACTAGGCCAACAAATTATTCTGCAGCATATTTGACTGTCTTTTTTCCACCTTTTCGTAACCCACCCACTTCCAGAGTTTGAAAATCCCCAAATTCTAGGCGTATACATCCTGCCTCGATGCAAAACACGCCATCTAAATCGCATCCTTTGCACCAAGAAAGAGAACGTAATGAATCCTTCCTTCCAGTGATTTGGAGGAGAAAAAAAGGTATGGCCTTAGAGAAAGGGAATGTAACACTCTCTGGACCGGTAGACTCGACAAAAAGAGCAGATTGCGTCAGGCCCCGAAAAGACGCAGTCCAAAGCAGCGCCCCCCAAAGTGACCCCCGATTTCGGATGCCCCACCGTCTGTGCCTTGAGCTGCAGCTCCAGCTTCTTGCGGCGCTTGGCGCACTCTGACCCGAGCAGGTTCCAGCAGGCCAGCAGCTCGTGGCACTTGTCCTTGACCGAGGCCGAGGCAAAGTGGCGCTGATCCACGAGCGCCCGGCCGGCCGCCAGCGTCTTGTCCACCATCCCCTGGTGGCCCTGCACCTCACGCTCCAGTTTCTGCAAGCAGCGTGCCCTTAGGTCAGACCCACTCCGGTTCACTCCAGATCGCTCCGCGGCGCTGCCACGGTGCCTGAGACCTATCTTCCCCCGGCGCATTTAGCCCCCATCCCGCCCACGAACTGCGTCGCGGAAACCCGCGCATCGTGCTATCAGACGTCGTGAGAAGTGCTGGCAAAAAAGGTGAGCAGACGCGAGGGTCACCGTATCTTGTCTCGTATCTACTCCCGTTTCTGTCGAATGTCTGGCTGCAGAAGAAAATGCAGCAAGACGAGGGTCTGCCACAATTATCTGTGCCGCCGTGCCACCACCAAGATCGTGACGGGCAACGTTGCGGCACTTTTACGACTTCGTCGGTAGGAAATCGAGGGATCACTTTTGAGGATGCGGTAAACTTGCCAGTCGGAGATGCACTCGAGGCGCCGCACTACTTAGTTTCTCAGAAACCGACGCCTCCGAGACGAGAAGCCCCAACCTGGTGTTTCTTGAAGAGGTTCTGGGCGTCGATGAGGTTCTGGCCCAGGTCAAGGGACGAGGCGGCCGGCAGGTGCTCCGTGATCCACTGCTTCTCCGTGTCCACGTCGAAGTTGAACTGGTGCAGCTTCAGGGACTCTTCGAGCTGCCGACGCCTCTCCTCAGCCGGCTCTCGCAGGCGCCCAAACCTGCCGGAAGGGCACGCGCCCAGCCGAGGTCGGTTCACGGATACCTCGCAGCGCTAAGCACTTATTGCCTCATGCCGGGAATTCGCTGTACATGCGACAAAGTGTCATCAAAGGCAGACGGCTCACGCCAGAGGTGGAGGATTTACCCAATTCTTAACCCGTGAAGAGAGTGCCAATGCGGCACTTACTTCAACGTACTCGGCGCCATATTTAGCACCGAGTAATAGCACTTGGATAGCACTGTGACGCCTTCACAATCAGTCAGGGTCAGACTCAAATGTGCAAAGCAGCCCTCATTTGATTGTCGTTTGTAACGTCAATCACATTAAGTCTACTTTACACATTTCCGTTTGACTGTGACCGAGTGCGTTGTAATCTCTCTGCCTAGCACACTGGCACCATCTATTGGCTAACCTCCAAACACTTCCGACCTGCCTGCATATTTTTTTTTTTTTGTTATGCTTGATCTTTTTATTGTGAACCTGAACTTGACACTGTTATAAGCAACTATTTTTCATAGACAGTGTGGAGATTTTATCTCACAAATACTGCAAAGCTTCAGTCTAGTCTCTAGTCACGCAGGTCAGAAATGGAGGCTACCCAATGGATGGTGCTAATGTTCCAGCGTGTTAAGCAGTCACAAAAGAGCCACAGATGATGCGGAAAAGAAAGTAAAGCCCACGAAAAGTGAGTTTTGGGTGCGAGCACAGTTCCGGAGTGCCTTACCTGTCATTGAGGGTCCGTGTGGCCTTGAGGATGTTTGGTGCGTCGAAATGACCTTTGTCTGCCATGTCTTTTCCGTACAAGACAAGGTCTTGGACCTTTGTCTCCCACGTGATCAATTCCGCCTCGAGAGCCTGACGAGCAAAACATTTTCGGCATTAGTTTCCCAACTGGTTGTTTTACTAGCCGCAACTCATTCGAGCGTACGAGGGATTAAACCTTCGCTTAAAAATTCGAGTGCTGCTCGCATAAATCACTATCATTGCGGCATCGTTGTCATTTCTGCGCCGCATCCCAAGCGTGGTTCCAAGAATTTTCGCACCATCTTTGCTTCCGCTCTCGATTCCACTCCCGCACTTCGTCCGTGCTCTGTCTACGACGAGCTTCCCAAATGCGCTGCGACTGAAATTCGCGCTCTCCAGATCTGCTATAGACTTCCCGAGGTCTAGCCACATGGTGTGCAAGTTGGTATGCCCAGGTGGTCGTGCGCCGGCACAACGGAGTGGTTAACGGCCTCTAGAAGACGAGGTCCGCGCGTGACACCGTCGCCGGTGAATCCGCGCTCCAAGCGGCAAACACGCCAAAGCTCCACAAAAGCTGCCGCGACACGGCAGACGCCTCCGTCTTGGCGTCACCGCATGCCGAGGTTGCGCTCGTTGTGATATGCTGCAAGACGCGATATGCCGTTCGCGGAAGTGTACCCGAGGCTCACCAGACGCCCAAGCACTATCGAAGGTAGAAAGAAATAAAATGAATGCAGCCTTTAATTCCCCGGAATATGTCTCGTCGGTAGCTCGGTTGGTAGGGCTGTCGATTGTAGAGGAAACAATAGCTGGCATCCATAGGTAGCCGGTTCGAATCCGGCTTGGCAGATGCAAATTTCTGTTTTCGTACAATTCGCCGGAGGCGGCTGAGGGCAGTCGCGTAATTGACGACGTCACCAGGAGTTTCCACGAAGGATACCCGCGCATTTTCCCCAGGAGGTCTCCATTAACGGCTGTCCCTGTAAAAACTGAGGCACCGCACACTAGTTCACAATGAGCTAAGGGGAGATAGTTTTAGCTCAACGGGGACTGAGTGAAGGTACGAATAATTGAGGAGTAAAGAAAACAATTTAAGCCAAAATAATACGGCATTTACAGGATAAAGAATTTGAGAAAACATTCAGTTGGCCTCCAGATATTGTTTGCTGCTTTTATTATTAAATCCTGGCCATGCTATTTGTCCATTCAGCAGTCCTTAACTGCGTGCTGCCGTTGTAAACGTTTGGGAAGGTAAAGTGGAACAAACAACATCTGAACGCCAACTGATAGTTTCCCTTAATTTTCGTGCAAGTTGCCGATTTTGAACAAAGTTTCCGAATTATCAGAGAGGTGGAATGACTAGTCACCAGAAATTGTGGAGTACTCGTCAGTTTCAACTAAAAGGTTCCGTATTTCTTCATCGGCTAAAGTGGACCTCACAACTAAGGCCACCTTGCCTTTCCCCATGGTTGCTTGCAGACGTGAAATTGTTTTTTCCTGGGACGTTGAAGCTTTTTCTGTGTGAAAATCAAGAACAAACTACAAAATAACCCAAAAAGGGGCACAGCAATAGTGCTAGCACCGCCATCTGCTATACAGAGCACAAAAAAACTCTCCGAAACACGATTCGCATTTGAGCTTTCCGGTTCATAATTGACTGCACGAATGATGCAATTCTCTAGTCGCCGACAAGATGAGAACAGTGGGGCGTTTGAATGTTTCCAGCATGAGCTCGTTGCCTTCCGCTGCACCCGACTGCGCATGCAGACTCTAGTCTCGCGAGACGTCGCCACAGAAGGTAGGACACTCGAGCCGGAGGTGGGCGACCAAAACCCCGCCGTTTTCATTCTGTCGGCAACTAGAGCGGTCGAGGGGCCTGAGAGCCCACCTGGTGCCTCTTGAGGAGGTCCTTGACGCTGCGGAGGTCGTGTCCGAGGTCCTTTGACGCGAGGGCGGCCTCCAGCTCGTCCAGCTTGACCCGAGCGTCCTCCAGCGCCCGGTTGTGTGCCCTCTGGTTGGCCGCCTGCCGCAGGCACCGGCCCCGCTCGTTGGAGCGCCGGCACAGCTCCGCCCACTGCGCCTCCAGCCGGGACAGGTCACGGGCAACGTCCTCCGATGCATAGTGCTGCCCCGCTATGAGGCTGCGGCCATTCTGGGCGACAATGCGGGTTTTCCCCATTCAGTCACTAAAATTATTGCGGCTCTCGGGTGTCTCTGGTCTGCAACCTCTGCCGCTTTCTACCCTAGTAAGTTTCTACAGCACTGGCATACCCCCCTGGTGTAGAACAAAAGTTTTCTTTAAAACAAATAGACAAAAATTTATTTGTAACAGTTTGAAATCATACTGCTCGTGTGTTTTGACAAAAAACCTTTTAATACTATAAATAGTTGCTGCAATAAATTAAACCGTTGGTTTTCTGTTCTTGCTGTCGGTGTGCGCTTACACGAATTGGTAGGCATTGTCTCTTTCTTGCAACAGCATCTGGTAGTAACGACTCATGCACGTTGATAACTTTAAACACATTTCTGGGAGTGCCGAAAAAGGTGCCAACTATCTACGACGTCTCTCAAAATAATTGAAAAACCGTAAATGTGTTTCGAATGCTATGAAACTTTGAGATGAGCACGTACATCTCTCTAGCTTTCTCGGCAAACCATTGCCCAATCAGATAGTCCTCCTGGGGCTGACGGCATACCCACTTCGTCTTTCGGAAAAGCTCTCCCACAGCGAGACAGGGGAGTTCCAGTTGAAGGTAATCTAAGGGCAGTGTTGTTATGAAGCTAAAAAAAACTAATGAGGAAAATGTTTACATTGTACAGTGGTACACCCGGGTAGTGGACTTCCATACAGGAATTTCTTTTGACTGTGTTGCTGATTGGGCTGTACAAGTCAGTTACTTCCCCGAGTGTGCTGCAATCTTCAACAAGGATGGAACCAGTCTTGGGCAGTAACTAGTTACTAGTAACGCGTTACTTTTTAATACTGGTAACTTGTAGCTGTAGCACTGTAACTTTTTTATTGGTAACTGTAATTATTTAGGCCGTTACAGTTACTTTTTTAAATGAGAAGCGTTGCCACTCATTTAACAAACAAACAATCGCCTGGTTTAGCCCACGACCAAGAATGGACGAGGGACGAGTCAGCACGAAACCGGGAGATGAAGGAAGCAGCGCCCGCGGTGGTAGGGGCAGCAAACACTGTCTGTTTCACCGACTTTGGCTCACTCTTCTCTTGCAGGGACCACCTGCGGGTGTCGGTGGTCGTGCGATGTCTCGGAGTATTTCGTCTGGGCTGTGTCTTGGATATGTCCGTGCTGTCATTTTTACACCCAGCCATTTGCCGTTTCCTCAAACTTATTAGTTTTCAAGGAAGTCGTCCCCATATTGTGCAGAAAGCCAGCGCTTATTTAACTTAATCATTCTCTTCGAAGCCAGTCTATTGAACACAACTTCCACAGTTGGCGTTCCGGACACAGATGCCGCAGTGGTCGTTGTACACTTGTAGAGCAACAGAAGCTAATTGTCTCATTTTCCCCCTTTATTCTTTGGAAGCTGTTTGACCTGCTATGTTTAGGCTTGCTTCCGAGTATATGACATAAGGTAATTATGTGGCCATCTCTGTCCTTATTCGTTTCGGAGTGAAAAATACACCAAAACGTTCACCGACGCGGGCCGATGAACATTTTGGAAAACAGTTGATTCTAAGTTATAACAATCATTGCAAATAAATTTTGCACATTAAAATTCTAAAACGGCGAAAGACGCAAAAAGAAACACCCTTTGGGTTTAAATTTTTCTTATTTCTTAGTTTACCTTTCTTCTAACTATAGTGTAGCAAATAAAATAATATTGTTTTGGTTTGTGATTCCTTGAGTCCAATTTTTGTATGGTAACGAGAAAGTAACGGCATTACTGTTTTTACAGTAACAGGGTAACTGTAACCGTAACACATTACTTTTTGAAACCGGTAACTGTAACTGTAACAGAGTTACTTTTCCCCCTAAGTAAACTGTAACACTATTACCTTTTACTGGTAACATGCCCATGACTGGATGAAACTTGGTAGTAGATACACTTTTTCCAAATCTCCCCCCGTGTGATCACCCAGTTCTAGACCAGCATAAATATGGAGAGCTTGCAAGACTTTACAAGAAGGACAAGGATGCACTCGAACCGAGTCAATGTCGTGCAGACGAGCTTCGTTGGCTTTCAGCTCGGCCTCAAATGCCTCGTGCTTCTGCAGCTTCCGTTCCAAGTTCGTCAAGTCGCGGTAAGAGTCGTCTGTCGCCATCTTCAACTTGTCTTGGATCCATGTTGACATCTGCAGATAGCAATATTGCAATCAAGTTAATGAGACATGTATGCAAAGCACAAAACAGCTGCAGACAAAGAGCAGATGCCATAATGTAGTGTTATGCATAAATTCAGTATTTCGAATAGTAGTTTTGAATATTACACAATTCGATATTCGCTTCGAGATGAACTGCATTAGTCGCATTTTTCGAAATGTTGACCACAGCGAGTTAGCCCCGTTGAGTGCGCTTCTTGCCTAGCACGGGTGCACTGCGGAAAAGCAACACCCGCGAAAGCGACGTCAGCGGGTGTTGCTTCTCCGCAGTGCACCAGTGCTCGGTAAGAAGCGCACTCAACGGGACAACCCGCCGCAATCAAAAATGCCATTTTTATAACTTTAGCAGCGTCTTATAAAAATTTATCATGTTACAAATATTTCACTGATCATTGAAAACGAGTCAATAAAGTCTTTATTAAAAAAATCCTGTACCTAACATTTATAGAAAGCTTAGACTCATTGCACTGTCTGATATATGAGGTATTCAAACCTCAAAAAAAGCATTCCAGTGAAAATAGTAGATCCAAAGGTATTAGGGCCAAACTTCGTGTTGTCACTAAAAAAGTTAATTTTGAAAAAACAAGATATAAGTTATGAAAACATGCTTGTAAACAGCATAGGTATGGACCTTTGGATCAATGTAACTAAGTAAATGTGCACTTCGTAAGTGCAGTAATTGCAACCTATGCTACAGGAGAGTGATAAGTTGAAACACTGAGAAGAGCAAAATTCCAAATGTCTCCCCAGAACCAAATTTGTGGCAGTCCGTCAACCCAATGTTGCCGACGAAGGCAACAGCAATGCCACTCCCTGGCACGAGCCCGACGGTGCGAGATTAGACGCAACTTTTTCACCTAACCTGGGAGTCGGTCGCACCGTCTCTTCTGTCCTCAACACTGGAAACGCTACAAAACCCATGACCCCGAGATTGTGAGCACGACGCTCAACCACTGCACAAGAAAGAAACTTGTAAAGTGTTATTTAACTTCTATTTCTCTTGCCAACTGACACCGTGGAACGTGCAAGTAGCGAGAGTCGGCAGCTTCGAGCTTTGCCTCCGCAATCAAACGCAAGGGGCTCGAGCTTGTGTCCGCCACTGTGCAGGGATTCCAGAGCTTCCAACGGAGGACACGCTTCCAAAAAGGGTCTACGATAAAATTTATACGCTTGCTGGAAGTGCTATGGTAGTCTACAATGTATCGAAGGGAACGAAGCGGACTGAAAAAGACACTGCCGAACAGAGGTGGCAGCCCTCTGAGGCTCGGCGTGTTCATTATGCCAATGAGACGCCGGAAAAGAGAAGCAACAGCATCAGGCTGGGGCCCAAAAGAAGCGAGGTGGGCTCGTTCCGCTACAACCCCGGGCCGAGTCTGAAAACGAGGATCGTTTCATTTTAATCGGCAAAATACACTCGCCAACTGATTTCTCAGATTTCGCAGGGACCAAAAAAGCGTCTAAAAAAATAGAGCAGTTAGAAAAATCGGCAGATTACAAAAACTTCCCTTTTTTACGTGTAAGCAGGCTTATCAATAGTGCCTTGCTTCCGGTTATGCCTCAGCTTGCATATGGCCACTTTCTATCAACTTGAAAGTTGCTGCATTCTTTTCTAGCGTTCTGCTACTTCGTGACGGCAGAAGAACAGACGGGGCCATGACATCCAAGCCAGTGTAGTCCAAAACACAATTCACCGAGACGAGATGAGAGGTGCAAGTCCACAACTGCAGGATGGCAAATTAACAAAGCAAAATGGTAACAATGATGATGGTAATGACGTGCAGCTAGAAAAAAAAAAAAGTGGTAGCATAGCGCCACCTAACGTTAGGACTAAGCAGTACTCATGTAGCACTGCCAAACCAGGCCAATCCATGTGCAGACAACATAGAATCGAAAATGGCAGTTTCTCAGTGGCGTTTCCCGCTGATTCCTCGCAACAATTTGGTCAGAAAAATCAGACTTTCGTACTTCAAGTTGTCTCAAACATTGGTCGTGAATATGCACTATTTCTATTGGGTAGGTCACAGTTCCTCTTTACGCCCAAAATATCGAACAAGTCTGAATTATCGGCGTAAGAAAGATCACTCGGCGACTATATTCCCTTAAAAAAAAAGACACGTCAAAATGCTTTCGCATTTCCCCTTAGTCTGCAAAGAAGCACCACAAAAAGGCAGCGCAGTTTTTGTTTTGCGTAATTTTTACTCCCCAGGACCAGAGTCTCCCCTTAACTTCCTAGAGTACACTGCTGTACCCTGTGGCAACCCCATAGAGACGAACAATAACACGGCAGTATCTACAGAGTATGCAGATACTCTGAAAAGACATGGGCAAGCGTGAGAATACAGTCAGCACCACAATATGTAACATACACAGACGCTCTAGCAGCCTAGATAATACACACATGACCAAAACAATTAAAGATGAAGGAAGTCTATACACGTAGCTAAAGTTGTTTCACCAAACTAGCTGTGGCTTGGTGATAGCGAAAGTTACGAGCGGAGAAGAGATTCCCGTCTCACCTCTTCCGATTCAGCCTTGAACTCGTGGTACGCTCGAGACTCCTCCAAGAGCTCCTTTCGCTTCTGTGCCTTGTCCTTCACCGCCTGCCGGTTGGCTACCACCTGGTCCCGGCGCTTGTCAATCCTGCAGAAAGTCAGGTTTTCCTCCCTCTGTTGCCACTCTCTTCCAAGCATTCAGAAACACACAAATAATCTAGAACATTCTAACCCACCTGTACCAAACTCGCCAATAGTTAAATATTGTACGTAAGAAACTAATGTTTGTTTGAAGTGCATGGTTCAATACTTTCAGTGTAATTAGAATCTACTTTTAAACAAAATTCAAAAGACCACACCAATAGGTTCTATTGCAGTTTTTTACGTTTTTTTTCGTCTCCCAAGTTCAAGTTGGCCCTATTTTAGTTATGCACAGACTAGCTCAACTCAAGCCCATGACCACAAAAAGTGTGTTGCGATCAACAGCAGTAGCTGCTGCATTGTGGAAAGGCACGTCGAGAAGGTTTGCCTTCAGCCAGTGTGCTGTACAATGTTTGCAAAAAGTTCTTTGCTTTCAATGGAATCGACGTAGGAGACGTGTGTGAGCAGATGCGTGCTTTGGTGCAACGACCGTGCCAGATGTTGTATCTGTTAGAAAAAGACAGGAAGACGTGCTTTTTCTTTTTGGCTGGAACGCTCTTTCAGAACAGGGTGCCCTGTGGTGGAAGAAGCGAAAGTATGTACGCGAGCTGTTCTGTAGAGCCTCGCAGAGCATGCAAGAACGGAACCTGGGCGGCGGCAGTAGGGAGGCGAGGCAGCGTGTCTGCACGGCGCGACCACGTGGGTATTTTGCAACAACGGCTGCTGGAGGTGGGGTGGGGGAGGGAAGAAGGGAGAGCGCCACCGGAGCAAGAACAGCGGCGAGGTACAGGGGGGAAGTGAGGGGGGTGTGAGAGAGAGCCATGCAGTGCGCGAGGAATGACTGGGAGAGGGAGAGCAGAGCCTCCGCTGTAGAGTTGGGTTTTGTGTACATACATGAGCATTTCTTGCCGGAAAGGGGCACTACTGCCAGCTACTGCTGTAAAATAAACTACACAAGCTCAATGATAGGAGAAAAAAGTTTCAAAACCTAGAAGCTTCTTATTTCCGCAACACATAAAACGTCCCTGTTGACCAATTTTGCAGCGGTTAGGTTTTTTCCGCTTTATTTTTTGTTTCTTTTAGAAAGTTTGTTGTTTGAAGCTTGTTTGAACCAGACATGTTTGGCTTTGCCATACTGCACGTCATGGGTTCAGCATCCCCATGTTAGCCCTGGTGGCCCGGCGAAAGATTTTGTAGTACAGGTAGCTTCGCAGTAGTTGAGCATGAAAAATCGATCATGCAAAACCGAATTTGTGTTATCCCATATTGACGTACCGGCGCGGCATTCGAGGTGTCTTAGGAAAAAGAATAGTGTCAAATATAATATGAGCAACATCAGAAACGAGGTTTTGTAGATTGAAAATTTGTGGCCAAGTCTGCTAGCATATCACAGCTCGGAGCAAGTGGGGCGAAACCTTGCACTGTTGAATTCAAGCATCTTAAGCTCGATTACCACTTTTTAAAATAAAAATTGTACCGGCATGCAAACAAAAAGAGCGACCAGGAAACCTAAAGAGAAGGAGTAATGTGCTTCAAGGTTAAGGTGCGACCCGCCGAGAGTGCAATTCCCCACGGCATCCCCATGCACGCTTTCGTATGCAAGCGCTTGTAGCACAAAGAGTTTGTTTCTTTGCTCCTTGCCGGCCGAATGCCTACCCCTAACCCTGACGCTCAGCAGCTAAGCCAGCTCCTTAAACGAGTAGAGACCAAGGCCAAGCTCGAGAGAGATAAGACGTTTCCCTCCTCGCCAAACAACCTCCTTGGTTCAGCATGCACGCACACATCTGTTTCCTTGTTTACCGTATTTACTCGCATAATGAATGCACTCGCATAATAAATGCACCCCCCAAAACGGGTACCAATATTTTGAGTGTTCTTTTTTTCCCTCGCATAATGAATGCACTTCCAATTTTCGGCTTCTCAAGTCTCGAATTGCATCCAATTTAGCTAGCCACCAAGTCAATTTTCTTTTGCCGCCAAGCGGTCAGCCCAAGTCAAGCCAAGCCAAGCCAAGCCGCTCTTGTAATGGCTGCAAGCAACCGCAAGTGTGTAGCTGCAGAAGTGATCAACCATAAAACCAAGCGGCGCGCACATCTGACGAAGCTGGGGTCGAGGAATTGCCCAGCCCAGGACATTCACCTATCGGAAGCATTGATGTCAACTAACACGCCGTCGTCTAAGGTCCACTTTCGGACAGTGAGTGAAAGTGGTTAGGCCTAAGAACGGTCGCGTTGTTGCGTTGCTCTCCGTGCTGAGTGAGCTTCGTAGGGTGCTTTTTCTTTGCCAAAAGGCACGCCAAAACCGCCCTAAAAAAGGTTTGCAATTTATAGAGCATGATTACTGTGGCGCACGCACGACCAGCCGTAGGTGCGCCTACGTCACTGGAGACATGCCAGTACCCTGCCATGTCATATTGGCACCTGAAATGACATTTGTGCAAAGCATATGTGGGTACCAGTCAGGTGGCACTCAACATATTTTTATATACAATATTTACAAGAAAACCGAAACAGTAGAAAACATTGTCCGATCTAGCCGCCGGTCCGCTCGGTCGCCGAATCGCAAAGCTCGTGTCTCGTGGTCTCCTCTCGTGCGCCTCGGCTTCTTTTCTTTCGCTCCAGTGGTACAGCTGGCACGGCTGCTACACATGTAAATGCAAAGATTTTACCCCGCGTAATGCCCCCCCCCCCCCCCCCCCCCCCCATCAAATATGGAATTTTTCGGAAAAAAAGTGTGTTCATTATGCGAGTAAATACGATATTTACTGATGTTTTTTTACGGTGTTCACAAAGATGTACTTTATACCTGTACCAGCAAAATGCTGTGCATCGTGCATTTTTGTGGATCCTTCAGTTTCCTGCAGTGTGAAAATTTGCACAGAAAAGTGCAGCTCCAGGTGGGTTGCCTTGCATGTCTGTAAGATACCTTAACAAACACTAACATTGCCTTAAAAATACCAGGCTTGCGTAGCCGATTGGTTATCGTGCTTGGCTTTAGCGCAGTGGCATCAGGTTCGATTCCTGGGACAGCTGCTTCTTTTATTTATTCTTCACGGCACAAACTGGAACGAGTTTCCCCTTATCATCTGACATTAACAATACTGAATGTGTGGAAGCGTTGTAAAAGCTGAGCATCAACACGTGCTCAGCAGCCACAAGCCGAGCTAAAGTCAGCCCTACTGTTGAGAGGTAGCATGGCAACCCTGAACCGGCGAAAAATGCAACTTACTTTTTGCTTTCACAGTGACCAGCAGCAATCAGCTTGTCAGCCATCTCGCTGAATGCCGCAACACGTTGGTCCTGCACGGCCAACGTGTTGATGAGGTTTTCGTGCCGCTTCGACAAGGCCTCCACGTCGTCCAACGTTGTCTGGATGACACCGGAAAAGTAACGAGACGTGGGCATGAACAAACGCACTCGACAGGCAATGGCTACACTGGAAGTTCTAAGCAACACTCACTCCGAGGTCTTCGAAGTCGAGCAAAGCGTCGTGGCTGCTCGTGATGCTGTCAATCTGATCGGCCTCGCGGTTGAACATCTGAAATAAAAAGAGGAAAAATCATTGTCTTAAAGAAAAGCTATTCTATGCCTTCAATGCTACATACTACTGGGTATACTATATTTCTGAGGAGCAAGATTCATGCCTGCACGCGGCAATTTGGAAATTAAATTTAAAAAAACAAGTTGGCTATACACCAGTATTTCGAGGAAAAAAAGAATAATAATAATAATAATAATATTTATTTGCATACAGAAATCTGATCCTGGGTGGCGTGCACAGCTGTGCAGAAAGAATAATCTTAGACAATGAAATTCGGTTGGATCGTAGAAAATACAGTCTAAGCTCGTTATAACAGACCTTGGTTTTGACCAAGATTTTGGTCTGCTGTATGCAGATATGAAGTTGAGTCAATGGCGCATAGAGGAACACAAATCGAACTTCACAAATCGGTATGTTATATCCAAATGTCTGTTGTAACCAGGTCTGTTATAATGAGCTTAGACTGTAGCACTATAAATTTATATAGAAGCAATCTTTATTCTTTGCAGGTCACTATTATAATTCTATACAATCCAATCAATTTATCCAACTGCAGCCTTTCCATATAAACGAGTGAGAAGTCAGTGCCTAGTAAAGAAACACATACTGGTTCGATGAAACTAGAGAAATCTCTACAAAGTAAGAGTAAGCCCAGAGTGTTGCTAAATGCTAATGCACAAAATATTTGCCAATACAAGTTTCAAGGAATAGGATTTGACAAGGAAGTAGGCACATTTGTTGCATGTTAGAGAGATAGAACACGTCGGGGGCCAAGCAGATGACATGCTCTTTATTCGAGATGCCTGCTGCTAGAAAGGGAACATTCAGGAGCCGCAATAAGGGAAGTAATGCTTTGACACAGAAGAGTCAGTGCCTGATATGCGATATACAGTTGAAGTAATTCAGTCGCTTTATTCAAATTTTTGGTTAGTTTGAAGCAGAGGTGCAGTCCTGCCAATCACCCATACGAGTCTATGAAAAAAAAAATGTGCAGTTATTTGAAGTTTAACCACTGGGACTAGTTAATTCGAAGGAATAGCTTTTTTGCGTTTACAAGAAGTCCGATAACTCTGGGAGAACGAAAAAGTTTTGCGATAATACTGACCAAGCTGAATCCCACTCGTGCACACTTTGTCGCTTTTATTCACTGTGTGCACGGTCGGAAGAAAAGGTCAAGAGTGCGGCATGCAACTAGGCTGCCAGGCGGTTGAGTAGGTTAAGCTGCCAAGCCAGCTTCGCGGTCAAGCCAAGCCAAGTCAGCATGGCCACAGGCGCATGCATTACGCTGTCGTCCCCGTGGAAGTTACGAAGGCAAGCATGGCCGCGCATTACGTATGGCCAACAAAGCACAATTAGAGGCATACCTAGACCAGGAGATATTTCGTCCATTGAAATATAATGATGTCAACAAACATGCCATGATCTGTGGTCCACTTTCGGACAGTGAAATCGTACAAGTGGCTAACCCTAAAACCTTTGCTTTCCGTGCAAAGCGGCAGAGTGCCGCGAAAACTGTTTGTGGCACGATGGAGTACTTTCACATTTTCTTTGGATTTCTGAAGGGGCCCTAAGGAAGATTTGCAATTTGCAGAACACAGTTCAAGCAGTGCACCTCCATTAGCGGAGGCAAGCATAAAACTTTTCCCGGACGAGTCCCAAATAAATAAATGAAACTGCTCGTGGCACCATGAAGTACTTTTTCACATTTTCTTTGGACTTCCGAAGGGGCCCAAAGGAAGATATGCAATTTGCAAGAGCACAGTTCAAGTAGTGCATCTCCATTAATGGAGGCAGGAAAGAATTAGTTAAACTTGCAGTTTGACCATTTACAGTCGACTCTCGTTAATTCAAAATCTCTTAATTCAAACTTTCGGATAATTCAAACTAACGTGCAGGTCCCATCCTATGCATCTCTATGGGAAGAAACTCCTGATAATTCAAACTTTGCTTTATTCAAACAAATTTTCGGCCCCCCTCGAGTTTGAATTAATGAGAGTTGACTGTATTTTTATTTGAAGTGTTTTACAGGTCATGTGAGCTTCGAATTGCCAAAAGTTGACTGTAGATTTTTTTTTTTTTTTTTAAATCAAGAAAAAATTTTGCAAATTAAAAGTAATGCCAAGCGTGCCTTTAAGTATTCATCCGTAAAATGCTCCCAAACGCAGATTGTCTGAGGACTACAAGGTATAATTGAGAGAAATAAACAGGTAAGGGGCCAAACAGATGACACACTCTTTTTCTAGAAAAGAGCGGACACTGAAGAAGAGGTAAGCGATCCTGGCAAGCCTCGTGGCAAAGGCCTTTCCCGGTTTCCTTTGCCTGCCACAGACCGGCCAGAAAGGGAGCCTCAAGCAAGCGCCTTACCTGCAAGTCCACGCCCTGTCGGAGGTAGTCGAGCTTCTCCTGCCAGCCCCGATGGATGGCGCTCTGCTCCTCCTGCAGCTGGGCCAAAGTGGCCCGAATCTCCTCGCCGTCCTTGTTCTTCAGCAGCAGCTTCTGGCCAAGCTTCTGGATGTCGGAGAACCTGCAAGGGCAACGGCGGCTCAACCGGCGCAAAAGCGGGCGACGGACGTGCCTGTGCATATCTCTCCCCTCTCATCCAAAATGTTGAGGTGGGCTCGTTGGATAAGCATTACGAATGGGGTTCAGTGTTTCCGGTAAATACCAACAAACCCCAAAGATTAATTCTATCCACGGTTTTCTCAAAATCAGAAAAAAAGAGGAACCCTGAATTCAAGTTTTCAAGGTTCAATATGAAAAGCTCTAGCCTGGTAGGAAACCATCTTGAACTACAAATTTATTTTGGATCTACTTGGAACACAGCTGCACTGAACTAACCACGAGGCTATTTCTCTGTTAGGGAACCAGAACCCTCATGGACGTTTTCCAAGTCTGAATATTTAGGTCGCACACATGTTCTCTAGAGGTGGGGTGAGTCCTACGCTAATGACCTGTTAATATAAGGCCGGATAAACACCCATTTCTTGTCCGTGACTTTTGTCGTGAAACAAAAGTAGAATCACCCGTTGCCCTGACCGAACCTTGATCAGATAAGCGGTACATCCCCTTTGTCAATATTTCAAGATATGAAAAAAAAAAAAAAAAGAAGAAAGTTGGAGTGGTGCCGCTACAGAAGTGCTGCCATCATGCTCCGAACAAACTTACTTGCAGAATACCGTTTTTTGTTTTCTTTGACACCAAACGTTACGGAACTCCATAGAAATCGGCCGATAAAACACATTCTGCGTTAATAAAGGCCATTTCCCGTCCCATTTCACCGTTTCAAAATATGTGCTCGAAATATCATCCCGCATAATAGACATATCCCTCAAATTCTAATATATTTTTCGGAAAAACATTGCACTCATCATGAGAATACTGGACGCGGCACTTGATTGTACGCGTTTGGGCAACACGTGCGAGGATGTTGCGCCTTTGAAGCGACGGCGGGGACTCACTCGTCCTCGTGGCGCGTGATCTCGTCGCCCAGGTAGTGGTGCTTCTTGAGGTTGCTCTCAGCCGTGGCGACGTCTCGGGCCGGCTCAAAGCTGTTCAGTGCCACCTTCACCTCACTCACCCAGGCCAGCTGCAAAGGTGCAAGCACGCTCAGTCCACTTCAATCCAGAGACAAGGCCTCTGACTCAACCTCTTTGTTAAGCATAAATATCCCAATACATATTCGTAAAAGATAAACATTCTTAGCACCAATGCATACAACCGAGAGGAAAAAAAAAAAAGGGCCAAAATCGCCGCTGCAGCAACGCCGATTCTCGAAGAAATGCGCTAGTATTTCGTGCAACGGTTATATATAACTAAGCATGGTGAATGCAACCTCTCAGTTATTTTCTGCGGAATGAACGTTCCCAAAACTCCTCTTCTCACTGGTGCAGGTGGATCAGTCCCCTTAGCGTGTGCACGAAGGACGTCCGTGCAATGCATGTAAAACGACAGAGCCATTTCATTGCGCGTATTTCTTCACCGTGACCGTGTGCTTAATCCTGTGGTGGATAGATTGTGCAAATGAGTCGCCTGTGTGACGTGAAGTATGCCACCTTTGATGCCGTTTGAATGTTACATATGTACATGGCGACTGAAGATCATACCTATAGTGGTGCCGTCGCGAGACATGGCTTTGTTAGTGTCCATGCGCAGTGTCAGTTCGTACCGAGAGTGCATGTGCTCTAGCAGCCACCGGTTGTGTCCGCCTCTAACTTTATTGTTGAAGTTCCCCATCACAACGAGCGGCATCGTACGGTGCCCTACATCAGTTGGGCTCACACGCATGCGTTGGGCCGAATTGAGCAGAACCGCAGCACATGTGCCTCCACAGGTCTCCAAACCCGGCGGCACGAGCTACCGAGGGCTTCCAAAGCACGCACCCGCACCCTGCTTGCCATCTGTCGGAGTTTGCAGAAGGTGTTTCCTAGCCACCCAGGCGAAAATCAGTCCGCTTCCGGCTGGATTATGGAACTGGTCCCAGCTAGAAATGAGGCAGTCCAGCCGGATTCCAGCTGGACTTCCTCATTTCCAGCTGGGACCAGTTTCATAATTCAGCTGGAAGTGGGCTGATTTTTGCCTGGGCAGTATTCGCAGCCGGTGCGGCTGTGGTGCCATCCCGTGGCAATGGTTTGTCCAAATTAGCCCAAGGTCAGCGCATGTACCAGGGCACTTAAAAATTTCCCTGCTACCGAGTAGAGGCACTGTGACCTGCCCGGTGCTCCAAAATCAGTAAAAGTATGATGGCCAGTCAAACAGCAGTGATTGGCAAAGAGCCAATCACTGCCATTCATGGGAGATCCTTGGGTCCATTATGTCCTGACCCAAGAATCCCTGGAAAGATAAAAATTTAAGCCCCAATGCTACCGGTGTTTCATCCTTCATTGCCCTTCTTTCGGAAGTGGCAATGATTGGTCTACATTGGCTCTGTGGTAGAGTAAAGGCCCGTTCACACTCTTGCAACCTATAAAAAATGGGTTCCTTAAAACCTCTTACAACCAGAGGACACATTGGCGCCATCTATTGAATAGCAGTGTAAACTTGGAGGTCCGGCATATTTTCTATTTCTCTCACGCATTATCCTTTCTTCCTTTGCTCGAAAAACTTTCGTCAACATTTTAAACGAGCCTTTCTTATAGGTGTTACGCATATTTGACCTGTGAAATCCTGCGAAAGCTTCGCTCTTATGAAATGCAGTTCCAGGGTCACCGCCGAGATGGTGCCAAAGTGTCAGTGTGTTCTCTCATCCTAAGAAATTTTAAGAAGTTTTAACAAATTTCGTCTCTCTCGGTCGTACACGGTTGCAAGAGTGTGAACGGGCCTTAAGAGTGTGAGCTTCATTTATTAAAGATTGTACAGCGTGCAAAAAAAATTACATTTACTTATAGTGGTGCTAGGTTGATCAAATGCAAAAGTTTGCACGCCTAAATTACAGCAGTTAAAAAAAGTGTCGCAGGATCCAAAAGAAGAGACGGACTCACCAAACTCTTGGCACTGTTGGCGAGAATCTGAAGACCCATGGAATCCTCCAGCCTAGACCGACGCTCAGCTGCACGTTCCTGGTGAAAAATGTGCGAGACACGTTAATACGACACAGCCAAATCAGCATTGAGCAGCAGCAGGCGTTACGAGGAAGCCTCTGCCGAGCATTCCTCACCTTGACTTGGTCCCAGATACTTTGGAGCTCTGCTTGCCTCTTCGCAACATTTGAGCGTTCAGCTGGGTAAGAGGCTTTCACTCTGGAAGAGGCAGCGGGAACCTGAGCGCCAGTCTCTGTCTATACCCGTTGCACCATCGAGAAGTAACACTGCTCAAAGTAGTTCTTATAGGACTGGGATGAAATAAAAAAAAAAAAAACTTTTTTTTGTATTTGAAATGTGTATGTTTCGATAAAATAACCCAGTGATCTTGAAGCCCAACAAGCAGCCAGGAAAAAGAAAACTGCCCATGAAACCGTGCTGCTCGTCTCATTTCTTCCGACTACTCTCCATTTTTCAGTGTCACCGCATTAAAAAATCAAGCTGAGTTGCAAGACCTATCATGCTGCCATAAACATGCCCGTCTGTCATTATGACACAAGCTCAATCACCATGCATCGCTTCACGACAATTTTTTTCAAACACCCCCCATTATCTTTTCACGTCGTGATTATTCATACAAAGTAATGTACTTCACATGCCACTCGTATTTGCACGAATATAACGCGAGTTTTTTTCCGAAATTACGTGCTCCAAAACGCACCTCGCGTTATATTCGGAATCGAGTTCAGCCACGAGGCCCGCGAGTCTGGAGAAAGCCAGAAGAGAAAGCCATCCCTTCGGCTCAATGCAAAATATCCGGTGGGAAAAGAAGTGGGAGTGTGGAAGAGAATTTATTAGCTATTGGGCCACGTGAAAGGACGAATAGAAAACATAAAAAAGCATTTTTATCATTTTTGTGTTTGTACAACGCTCGCACGCCGCAGAAACTCAGCGCGCGGGCGCGCGCACAAACTATGCGAGAATGCGGGCACCGGCCAATTCGAGCCAAGCCAAGCCGGGCCAAGTCAAGTCAACACAAGCCAAGCCAACACCACTAACCGCGTTTACGCCAAGGTTTACGCAATCGTGCAACACGAGGCATTTGTTTATCCAGAGGGACCAGAACAAGAAGTATGATCGTGTATCGGATTCAGCAGTCTTTTTTCTGCTGCGCACTGTTTAGTTTCTGCTCCAGAGTGATCCGGTGTTTTTGTGTTGGTGCTTCTGCTTCGTGCCTTGTTTGGATTGTGGGCTGCCGAGGAGCTCGCAGGGAAGAAAAAGGAACTACCAGACAAGCAGGTGCCGTGCTGCTGCTTATCAGCGTAGTCGCCAAGTGGATTGTAAACGGAAGGACCTGAGCTGTGAGGATAAGTGCAGTCAAAACATAAACTGATATTTCTTCTATTTCCATTGACTTTTCACATCTGCTATGCCCCCGAGTGCGAGAAATTGACGCGGCCTCGGTTCGCGTTATAATAGTAATAATATTTTTTTTTTCTTTTTGAGGGCATCAAAACCTGCCCTCGCGTTATATTCGTGGTCGCGTTATATTCGTGCAAATACGGTAGTTCTTATAGGACTGGGATGAAATAAAAAAAAAAAAAAACTTTTTTTTGTATTTGAAATGTGTATGTTTCGATAAAATAACCCAGTGATCTTGAAGCCCAACAAGCAGCCAGGAAAAAGAAAACTGCCCATGAAACCGTGCTGCTCGTCTCATTTCTTCCGACTACTCTCCATTTTTCAGTGTCACCGCATTAAAAAATCAAGCTGAGTTGCAAGACCTATCATGCTGCCATAAACATGCCCGTCTGTCATTATGACACAAGCTCAATCACCATGCATCGCTTCACGACAATTTTTTTCAAACACCCCCCATTATCTTTTCACGTCGTGATTATTCATACAAAGTAATGTACTTCACATGCCACTCATCTAGTTATGCACGATTATTCATACCACGAACCATAACTGATTCGAACAACCTACCGGCTCAAGTTGCAACTGAACTAGATAACTTCCAAGAACTCGTGCGCAGTTATACTAATACTTAGCATTCGATTTTATTCCTTGTTTTTATATTGCCTTTGAATGCTTGTGTTTTTTTTTTTGTGTGTAGTACGATGCATTTGCACGACCCCCGCCCCCCCCCCCAAAGGCCCTCCTAAATACCTAGCTAAATACCTAAATACAGAGGGGCCTTTAGGGGTACTATTTTGAATAAATAAATAAATAAATCGCTTCTTTCCACTAAAAAGGGAACACCCCTTCCCTTCTGTAAAGAGTAGCTCAGAGAAAGAAGGAAAGACTGTGAAGGAGAAAGGAGAGAAGAACATTGGGAAAGGATTTTCACCATCGCGGAAGAGAATTCTATATGTCGGCCTTTAATGCCCATATTTCAATTCAGCACATACAGGAGGAAATGAGTATTGCTCCACGAGGAGCAAAGCTTTCTTTATTACAATTCTTAGACAAGTGAACTGTAGGTTCTCTTAGGTGCACAGACAGTCTCTAAATATTTACAAAACAAAGCAACTTCCTGAGATAAAACAGTGCTAAAACATACTAAAACAAATAGGAACCAACTCTGCTGTTACTTTCTTCACCAAAGCACCTCTGTACTACGTTCAGGCCTAAGCAATCTCTATGAGTGAGCGTACTTCCCATTGTGGCACTGCTCTTGCTAACCTGTCGTCGTCAAAACATTTCATCGAAGCTTCACAGACATCCACAAGGTGGTTTTTGTTTATCGTTCCATTCAGTTTAAAATATGTTTTCTCGTGTTATCCTACGAAATATTGGTGTTTGTGAAGTTCTACTTTAACCCACTTGATGCTTAAGCAAAGAGCTGAGCTCCAGAATTTGGTCTCCGTACCCCCTTAAGGAGTGTTGCCTCGTCACCAGAAAAAAATTATCAACACTCATAAAATGATAATTGCAATTACCAGAGCTCTAAAAATAACAAAACATGGGCGTTTATACTAAGCAGTCTATGAGCATTCCATTTCAAGAATAATCTACCCATTTAATTTTCATGTCCTAACCTCTTTAAATACATCCCAACACCTAAAACAACTTCATTAATGCGGCGATATAGGCAACCATTAAGACTCGGCTTCATTTCTGGCCCTCAACGAATGTCGTATAACCCGACGCTCTTGACACATTCAGTGGCTAACGGACAACTCAAAGAAGCAAGAATTGACGCCGGTACTATGGCTTCAACTTACGAATCAGCCAGGAGGTTAACTCTGTTGAACTTCTCCTCGAGGGGCGCCAATTCTCTTTCGAGATTCTGCGAGGAAACAGAGCACTCTTTAGCCACCAGAGGACAATCCCAGCCGTGCCAGCGTACCTCGTGCCTCCTCTGCAACGCCTGCACGGTCTTCATGTCGCGGCCCACTTCGTCCGTGTCAATTTTCTGCATCTTCTCCGACATCCAGTCTCGAGCATCGTCGCAAGTGCGGTGGAAGAGTTCCACGCTGCAGAGAAGTTATGTTCCCACATGCACATACTGCTCCGGTCCGTCGCAAAAATACCGAAGAAGCACCCTTCCAAAATACACGAGGTGTAATGGACCCTTTACCAGTAACGAGCGCCGTCTGAGGAGTTGTCTTTGAACTACGAACGAAGGGCAGCCCAACTTGCCTGCGCCCATCAAAACACACTGGCATCGTGCTGTTGTATTGATCGTCGTTGCCTTTTGTGACCCATACTAGCGTACACTCAAACAAGAATGGCCAAAAAGGATGAAATACGCGCTACGATAGGTAATATGTTGGTCGACCGGAACTTTGCCCCGCAAAAATGCTGACAGTGGGAAGCAAGGCCAGTAGGGGGGGTGTACGCATGTGCGGAAGCTTACTGGGAAAAGGTCCATTACGGGCAAGTTTGGGGATGGCTACCTGCTGTTGTCACCAATACTAGGCAACCACAAAAAGCGGAGTCTAAGTTTGAGGGGAATTTTGGGCAAAACGTTTTAGTCAAAAATGGAATAGGCTGTGCAAGAAACTTGGGCTCACTTGAAAAAAAAGTGAATTTAATGCTTGCATTGAATTTCTCATCCACGGCGTAATTCCACGTCGCCACGCCCAAAAGCCAAACCGCAAGACCGGTCTGCATTTGAGATGTGGCGACGCTGGTTTACACCTTAGATGAGCAATTTAGCCAGTGCAGTACAACCGCTAGCCTGGGGTCTTTAAAGTGCATCATGCAGTACTGATATATAACCCCACACCGGTACAGTGCTCATCCAGATCGGGCAGGGGTACAAATTGAAGCCCTCTGCAGTGCGAGCTTTCACTCCCCGTGCTCCGAGCTGGTGTACGCTAACACACTTGGTCACCGATTCCCCCCTTGAGCAACTGGTGGACGAATTTGGGCCCTGAAGTGATATGGAGAGTAGCCAATAGATGACAATACTTTTGTAGAGAAACCGGGATGCCTAGAGGTCCCAGGCATCGCTAAACTTTCATACAGCCAAATCTAGTGCTTTAGCAGATTTATAACACCCTCAATCTCACTTGAAAACATGGTTGCATCTTAACATTCTCCTTACCAATGAATAAAATTATATTCCAACAAGATTATAATCATAATTTCTTAATTTTTAAACTACTAAATTAAAAGAGAATTCTCCAACCACAAAACCGTAAAAAAAAGTAATCGACGTTTCGAAGCCTACTTGGCTCCTTTTTCGGGGGTGGCCATAGATCGTACGGGGCAGTTGCAGCTTCAACCTCTTTGTCTTCGTAAATAAGGAAACATTGTATCCTCTTTTTGACTAGGCGGTGTTTTAGTCACTGTTCTTTTAACGTGACATAGACCTTTTGCATATGCAGACGGTAAGGCACCTAGGGATCTGTTCATGTTTCCTGGCATCTGTTGGATGTGCCAAGATTCCAAGAGAAGCCTTTATCGGAAATTTGGCTCCATGTCAATCGCGCAGCCAAATTTTTCGGCACCTTTTGCAAGTGCACACTTACGTCCTTTGCCAAGATGGGCCAGTTGCTACATATCTTGATGCATGCTGCAATCTCATTGTGACATGGACTATCTAAAGGAGCGTCGACGCTTTGTGCGGCTACGACAGTACAAACACAGCGATGTGGCCGCGCTGCAAGCACGTGTGCGACTTGCGCTACACTTCTCTCTCTAAGACGAACCAGAAACGAACGCCAAGCATTGGCCCATTATGACCATCATTTGCCGACACTTTTAAAGGGTCACTGTTGCGATGCAAGATGAACATCAAAAGGCACATTATTTGAAGCTATGGTGCCGTCGGAAAAAATTAATATTTGCACAACACACTCGGTATATGTATCTACTAGGGCTGGGCAATTGATCAATTAACCAATTTCAATTAGTCAATTAAGGCATTAATCATGATACATTTTTTTAACCATTTAGGAAAATGTGTTTAGACCAAGACATACTGTGGGAGAAGTGAAGTCCAAGGTACTTCCATTCAAATACTCCTTGCAGGAAGGAACCGTCATTAAATGAATAAGTGAACAAGAAAGGGGATGAACTCTTAGAAAAAGACGGGAGGACGGTTCTAGAGAAATTTACACTCATTCGCCGGATGTTACACCGTGTGCAGAAGCTCGCATTGTTGCGGATTCATCCACTTTAAGAGGCAGCACCGCTGTATTTAATGGTAGAACATTTTAGTATTCCCTACCATTGTCATCCAGAGTGGTAACATGGTTGAAATACGAATGTAAAAATATTTCATTTTTAAAACTGCTTGACCGTGTCCTTTTTGTGGGCAGTGCCAAGTTTCAAATCAGGCTATGCATTCTGCCAATGATTACATAGCGAGTAATCTTACAAACAAAATTTGTAGTTTGATGCCTCAACTAATTAATTAATATGTAGCAAATAATTGAGTAAAAAGCTTTAACTGATGCCCAGATGTTTTTGCAAAACTATACAAAGCGAGTTCTCAAACACGGTTTCATGATAATGTAGTGATTGCGCAGGCGAGCTGGTGGATGTTAACCATTTTGTTCTTAGCCCGAGACTGCGGCAGGAAAAGAAAAAAGTTTCGAAGTAGAAGGAAAAAAATGAACAGTCAAAGACACGTCTCTAACACAGCTAGAGACAAGTTTATTTGGTCACCTTCTTATATACACTCCACAAACTTCACCACAGAACCTTCCCGATCTCGAAAGCCAAAAGATAACAAAGGTCTCACATCTTTCCACCACAATTGTCAAACGACCTTGACGTTTTCCACAAAGCAATGAACAAGCAATGGACGTTTTCCACAAAGCAATGTTCATTGCTTTGTGGAAAACGTCAAGGTCGTTTGACAATTGTGGTGGAAAGATGTGAGACCTTTGTTATCTTTTGGCTTTCGAGATCGGGAAGGTTCTGTGGTGAAGTTTGTGGAGTGTATATAAGAAGGTGACCAAATAAACTTGCCTTTAGCTGTGTTAGAGACGTGTCTTCGACTGTTCATTTTTCTTCTACTTCGAAACTTTCCTCTTTTCCTGCCTCAGTCTCGGGCTAAGAACAAAACGGTTTCATGCTCGCTGGTTCAGAGTATGTCAGTAAAAGTAACCTATATTGTAAAATATTGCAGAAGCGCCCACTTTATTCAAACACCCACTATCAACATTTTTCGAACTTGAGAATTCTGCAAATTATACGCTTGGTTTGATTGGACATGCACCCATGTCTTGATTAACCTATAGTTTTCAGTGAAAGTGGTATGGGCACTCCCCTGCTATTTTATGGTAAATATATTTGTTTGTCCAAAAGAGCCATGAAAAAATTTACATCTATAAGAAGTCGCAAAAGTTTGCCACAACATATTCATTGGCAAAGCAAGCATGATACATTTTGTCCATTAAATAAGCTCACCAACGACTAGCATGTCTTTTGTGCATATTGTCAATTATTACTGCTGTTTAGCTCGATAATATTGAGTTCATTTTTAAGAAATAATATCCTAAGATTTTTATAGTAATTTAGGCTCACTGAAAACCCTGAATGTACCGAAATCAACCCTGAATATACTGAAATCAGAAGCTATAAGTGGCATCTAAATAGCCACTTATTTTTACCATTATCACCCAAACCTGACTGCAATAATATGAACCCCATTCTAATGGGTTGCTCACAGATTGAGAATTTGCACAAAAATTATAATGGCCTGAAACATTTCCAAATATTTACCGAGCAAAAACTCCCGAGGAGAAACTCGCACTAATAGAACTGTCTGGGTAAGCGAAACCTTTGCCAAAACACAGTCATGGTTTCCCATGCTTTCAAAGCAGAGCGTTTTCCAACCTTCTTGGATAGTTGAACGTATGATAAAGCAAACTTCTACCAAGTGGAGCAATCTTGCCTGGACCCTAAAAGTTCCATTTAAAAAATCAATCAAAAATCAACTTGGAAGCTAGTTTCACGTGCCAAACCAATAGAGGGCATCTGGCACGCCCCAGTGTATGACTGACGATTCATTTTGACCACCCGGGGCCTTTCCGTGTGGAGGCGAAATCTCTCCGCAACATCCCTCTTATGAGATTCCACTCTAAATACTGTGAGCTCAGAAACAATCTAAAGTGAACTGGCATTAGGCAAGCACCAACCTGGTAGCCCCTTCCAAGCTCCTCTCTTTCTGTTGCTTGAGTTGGTTAAGCCTATCCCATCTGAAAATGCAGAGAGAAAGAGTGAGACACATGTAAGTAAAATGCCGCTTCACTGCACGCTCGAGTTAATGTGATTGAGTAAAGAGCAGAGTCCGACTGCAAGCGCCAAACTCACCGTCCATGGATCTGTCTGCTTCGAGTACGGATCGCATCCAGCTGACTGTGCTTGTTCTCCACAAACTCTCCCACCTTACGATCAATCTCGTCCAGCCTAACCTTGCTTGCAGAAAGATCCGTCACAAAGTTCTGCAAAGGGAAAGTTCCGCACAGCTCTAAAGGAAAGACACTACTAACTTTGAAAAGTACAAATTACGAGAAAAAAGAAGCCATATTTTTTGCCCACAATGTGCGAAGTAGTAAAAGTGATAGCTGTAGGAAGGTTGCGCAATGCGGGCAAAATGGTGTTGTCTTGTACCTGAGGACGGAGGCGCAATGTAGTTAGTCCTCATTGTTGTTGTGGTTGGCATCATGGATGCCACTCGCAATTGCCACAAGCACTCGGCGACCCGTAAAGTAAGTGGGTAAGCGCAGTGGAGGTTTCTAAAACCATGCAACATCACGCGTAGCAACTGGATGCTGCCAAAGTGGGATTTTGTATAACGCAAGTAATCTTTGGAAACAAGTGTTTCATGCAGACGAAAGGAAGGCCCTTCTTTCGCCACGCAGTTACAGCCGGGACTCTGGGGCTCCCCTCTTTTCCCACCTTGCGCAGCGCGACCAAAGGGAAGACCCGACTTCCCTGACTTCTCGCCAAGAGAGGAGAGAAGGGCTTTTCCATAGAGGCGATAGTCACTGACGGCCTCGAAATCTCTGCAACATGTTGCCTGTACGCTTTAAAATATTGTTTTCTTGTTTTACAAGTGACAGAATATACATCCTTCGTAGCCGTCAGAAAATTCACATTTAATTATCTACAGTCCTTCTAAGTCGCATGTCCAGGTTGTTTACAATCATAGTATTTCCAAATTTTGTTTCCTCGGAATATTTATTTAAATATTTTTTACCCATAAGCTGAAACACCCGGTCCGACCTTTTTCTGCGTCTGCAATCCCCTCTACATCTCTCAATTTGTAATTCAGTCCGAAGGATGGGACTCCAACTTCCGATGCAAATCACAGCTCTCTCAAAAAGCTAGGCCAAAGAAGCGCCAAGGACTGTTTCAGCTCATGTTGTCTGCAATAGTACCTTAGTTGCAACTCCAGTAAAGAGAAAGAGGTAGGAGGTTTCTCCTTCAGCAGCCTCTTTTAAGAGGTTTGATTTTTGTTATTTGTACAAAAAGTAAAAATTTAAAAAATTTTTTAATGAATTTATTGAGAAAAAGTGTGGAAGAGGTGTCTGCCATGAAGCTGCAATTTTCTTTAAAAGTAAAATGGCAATAATAAGCTTAATATACATGCTTAATACATGAAACTAGAAGATATCATAATTTTATTTAAATTAAAATAAAAATGACCGAAATTGTGTAAATAAAAAGCTTTGTTTTTCTGGAGAGGGAGAACAAGAGGGACAAAGGACAAACACAAATCACCAAACACAGCTAGCTGACTGGTGCACGACCGAAAAAATCCGCCTGGTCTTTATTACAGGTGGAGCGCTCTACCAACTGAGCTAACCAGGGGTTAGACGTCAATAGAGCAAACGGGTTTTATCAGTTGCCACCAATCTAACACCAACAAGGGTGAAGCTTGCAATTTAAGGTTATGGTTATAATGTAATTCAATGCAAAGGTGCAAGCGAGCTGGACAAGAATGATGAATATAATCCCCGGAAAAGGGGAACAAGAGGGACAAAGGACAAACACAAATCCCCAAACACGGCTAGGTGACTGGTGCGCGACCCGTTTGCTCTACTGACGTCTAACCCCTGGTTAGCTCAGTTGGTAGAGCACTCCACCTGTAATGGAGAGGTCCCGGATTCGATACCTGGACCAGGTGGATTTTTTCGGCCATGCACCAGTCACCTAGCTGTGTTTCGAGATTTGTGTTTGTCCTTTGTCCCTCTTGTTCCCCTTCTCCAGGGATTATTTTCGTCATTCTTGTTCAGCTCGCTTGCACCTTTGCATTATAATCTTTTTTTTTTTAGCAAAATAATAAACACACTTGTACAGAATTCTGATCATGTCACCAAAATTTCAACCAAAAATAGAAAACATTTAAATCCAAATCACCCTCTGAATATGATCATTTGTGCAATTAATCTAGAAATCCAGATTCTTCCATGTAAAAAGGAAGCATAAAAATGCAATTCCTGCTCCTACTTTTCTACATATTGCTAATCTTTCGTAAAAGATTTTATACAAAGTTGGGCAGTGTAAACTTTTCAGTTCATAAACGAAATAATAGAGCCTTTTCTTGGCTGAACTGGTCCTTGAGGAAACTTTTCTGCACTACCGATAGTCACTTATTGTGAGAAAGCTTTTACAAACAATACAAGCAAGTTAAGGTTAAAGCCCAACCTACAAAAAGGTTTTCTGCAAGGCAAAAAAATTTCCCTTGCCACCCTTCTTGTTTTCTCCTCTCCCCCCGCTATCTTGTTGCGGGGGGAGGCGGGTACTCCTCTTGTTGCTGAATCTTGGGGCTGGATAAGCCGGGCTAAGCTCCCGAGCAAAAGGTTTCCCCCTTCGCCCAGATACCAGTGGGAGAGAAGAAAACAAGTGGCAAGAAGTATTTTCCCACCCTGCAGTAAATTATCTTGTAAGTCGCTCTTTAAGCACCGTGTTTAAGAAAAAAAAAGCAGCTTTCAAGCTAATAAATTTGACAAAATTACACTTACCTCGAACTTCTTTTTGCGCACTTCGACGTTCTCGGCTGGATCTTCGACGGTGAGAAGTTTCTCCTGCACATATCCGGATGTTACAGAATAAAGCCACAAACGCTCGGCTGAGAATGACTTGCAAACAAGAAAAGCTTAAAATGTAGCCGTTTTTTGTTCAATCGAATCACTGCAGGCAACCGTCACTCGAGAGACAACGAGAGCTGTGATACCTTGTCGACCATCCACGCTTCGAAGTCGCTGCATTCCCTGAAGAACCCGAACAGGCAAATGGCGTCCTCCAGGTAACTTCTTCGCTCCTGAACATTCGGCGGAGAAGATCGCAATTAAAGAATGTCTCCGCATTTCCTAACGCCCACGCAAACAGACAAATTCGCGGCAGAGTCGCGAGCAGGTAAGCGTGCAGACCTTTGACATCTGTAGCAAGTTCTGGTAAGAAGCGTCGATGGAGGCCTGCCGCTGCTGCACACCTCTTCCGTCCTTCGGGGTAGTGCTCGCTGTCATCGTCACTTTCTCTGCAAATAAGAGAAAAGTTTGCCACGGTTCAAGGGAGGCCGAACCAAGTCGACTACGGGTTGTCCAACCGGCGTTTCGAGAGAAGAAGCTTGGCAGTGTCCTGATTCGAGGTTAGGATATTCGCGCTCCATTGCGGTCTCCCAAACACACTAAAAACCGGCAGAGTGTGACAGCGAGAGATAGGTGGTATGGGGCGAGTAGTTGGGCGAATCGGTGCATGATGAAAATAAATAAGAAAACGCTAAAAAAAAAAGACAGGGACAAGAGGAAGACAGGCAAATGTGGCGCTGACTCTCGATTGTCATTTTCTTTGAATGCAGCGCATGTTACGTGGCTGGTACCTAACCATACTCCGTTAGGTGCCAGTTACAAAAGTTGATAGGCCGAAAGTCAGTCGAACGCTGACGGACTGACCGTCTCCTCATTGATTGGACTACAGTGCCAGCCAAACCCCTTCCTCGAGTGCCTCTGCGTTGCTCCCGGTGGGGGTAAAACATCACGTGTTCAGACGTACAGCGGCGCCCTACTCCGTAAAACGAGCGCACTCTGGGTTTCCCCGGAGAAAGAGTGCTAGGGAGAGCGACAGAAAAGCAGAGAAAACAAAGCACACTCCTTTGCCGCAATAGATTGAGGTAGTTCCGAACGTTTGGTTCTCGTTTACCACAAACTGGAGCCAGGGCTTTGCTCAGCACTGCCACATTCCAACTGTTCTGTTTTCCGCACACTCCGTCTACTGCGTCTCGCGCTTCAACAGGCTCCACGAAAGTCGCATTCAGTGTGCAACCACAGAAAATGGCAGCCAAAAGTAAGACAACCACCCAGCACTTGCAGAGGTAACACACATTGCATTTTGTGTTACCACTGCCTTTGCCACGCTAATACGGCAAAGGGGCGACTTTTTTTTTTTTTAACACTGTGTTTGTGCATGATTTCCTATACACCTTTCCAAAAAACACTCGACCCCAGGGGCAACAAACCGCTTGTGAGCCCAGTCACTGAGTTTGAGGCTAGACTCTCACCGGCGTCCCTCCTAACCCTAACCGAGTGGACTGTGATTTCTATAGGCGCAGCCTGCGTAGGTGCAGTTTCAAACGCTGCTGGCGGCTAAATTCTCGACTTTTCCCGCTATATTTTGTGTTTCATGGTACATGTATTTTCCCGAGGACATTGAGAAAGCATTCTGCCACATTTAATAAAACAAAAAAAGTAAAAAAAAAAATCTAAACTATTTTTGTTGGGTACACGCGCGACAGAACGAATGCGACAGGAATGAATAGTTCTAGTTATTTGTTTTTTTCTTGCGATAAGTTTTGACGGCACCGCGGGATTCGCCGCATGTGAAACGACAAAGGGCTTTGCTGTCAAAAATAAATTGCAACAGAAGAGGGCCGAAAGGCATGCATTTTTCACGCTCACAAATAACGTGTTTACCGATGGACAGGACACGGACATACAATTGAGGAAGTGTTAACATTCGTACGTACCACACGATGCAGCGTTACCCGAAAAGAATTTATTTGAGAAAGATCTCAAATAACACAGTCACAGTCGACGACAGTCACATCTTGACGATCGGACGGAATCCGGGATGACTTCGTTTTGGGGCACGTTTTGAGGAGAGCTTCCTTTTTTCACAACCGCACCAAGGCAAAGAAACAAACGTGACTGACCCGTTTCTCACCCCAACCCGGACAACTGTTTTTGGAGATGGCTGAGGATCTTACGCAGATTATCTCTGGGAGGGGGGAGAACAATGTTCGCAAAATCGCGTCGAGGGTCGTTCGACGTCCTTCACCTTTTTCGTTGCCCGTGAATGTCGAGCAGAAAAGCTTGAATGGCAGGCACTTACCAGCCTTATTTCTCACAATGGAAGATAGCACAGAAAGGGTACGCAGCACGCATAAAAAAAATAAGTGGAAAACTTCAAGAGGGGCGAGAAATCATTGAATGCAAAACCGCAAAAACGTAGGTAGAGAACCGCGCTGAGCGGGTCTTCACAGTCCCAGAGAGTGGCAGAAAATTTCTAGCTGATAGAGGGCGCGAGAGTCGCACCAGCCGCATCAGCATCAACAACATGGCGGCGGCCTAGGAGCGGTTTTTGGAAAGGTGTATAGTCCTTGTGTTTTTTTTTTTTTTTCTTTTTTTTAATTTTTTTTTTAAGGCTCTGCTATACTTTGAGGTTCAGCGCAGCGAATTCAGCGTAGCGCAGAATGTGCACATTCGATTTGCTGGAGGGCAGGAACTCGAAATATGCAACCAATCAGTATCTGTGTGCGCTGAGCTATGCCGTTTGCTACGCTCGACTTCGGAGTATAACAGAGCCTTAAGTTGTCAATGTAGCGATGCAACTTTGTAGTGCAACTTTACCTTTGGACACTTTCAGAAAGCATTTCACCACCTCCCCAATTTCCTGTTTGCCAAAAGAAGCATAAAGCCTCGGCATTACTATAACTGGGGTTTCTGAAATTTAATTGTCACTCCTGGATATTTGTGCGGACATATAATAGCGTCAATTTATAATTGCAATGGTCAGCGATTATCCCCGTCTCTGCTGACTTGCGCTTTCATCTCGAGTTCTCGAATGTGCCTGTACTGCCACCTGCTCCTTCGAGATAGTGAGTTTTTTTGGAGAAGGAAAGCTCACGAGGTGAAAGTGGCTTCTCCTTCTTCTTTGGCTTCATGACAACTTTCTTGACGCGCTGCCGTTCAGTGATGACCACCGGTTTCTTGACCGTCTTCTTGACCAGCTTGGGCTCCACCTCCCGCACGTAGTTGGCCGGCACAAAGCCCTCCTCGCCGTTCTGCTGCCGGACGTTCCACCAGTCCGAGTTGGTGCGGTTCAGCAAAGTCATCACCTACGCAGAATACAAAAAACATGTCAGCAAATCAGCAAAAGCTCCCAAAACATTTCCTGATGAGGCTAAGAAAGTGGCTGAAACAAGGGTCCCGATTTTATCCATAAATAGTCTCACCAGTCAGCGGTGAAATTTAAGAGGCGCTCAGCAGCCCCCTACTCCATTAAAAAGCCTCTGACACGCCAAAAAAAAATTATTTTTTTTCATGCTAGGCGTTTAAACGGCATGTCAGGACATTACAAAAAAATTGTTTCACTATAGAGGTGCGTAGTTTCTTTTATAAAAAGATAGAAATACGAGGCCCGATTCAAAGTTCCCGCCAGTACACTGTGACGTAACAGTGTACCGCAAGGTGTCGGGGCGGTCAGAAGGGAGGCGTCGCCGGAAGTCACGTGAGTTGTATCCCTTCTCGTGCTTACCGCGAGCGCGTGTAATATTTTTAAAATATTTTTGTTCTCCGCACCTCCACGAGCGACCCAAGCAGACAAGGTTTCTTTTATTTGCTTTTCATCGCTTAATGTTGCTGTAAAGGTAGAAGAAGAGGAGTCAGTGAATTGACGTGATCAACTACAATGCCTATACTCTGTTTCACCTTATAATGTACCGCAGGAAAGGCTACAAGCGCGAGCTCCTTGCTCAGGGCACATCTCGGCGGCACAAGCTCTCGTGCGTTAGGAGTAGCTCCCAATGCTATGAGCTCGCGCTTCTAGCCTTGTCTGCGGTACAACATAAGGTGAAACGGAGTATAGAAGGTGCTGCGTGAGGCACTGTCCCGGTATTTCAGCAACTGAAGAAGAGATCACACTGCATGCATTTCCGAGAGACGGCAGGCATCTTCAGCCTGGATATATTCGACGACCTCGGTGTCCGAACGTTCAGCAATGTGATCGGACTAGCAATCCTAATTTCTGCGAGCATTCTAAAAAATTTTTTTCTTCAAAACTTGATAGCTTCTTTTGTACCCAGTATAGCTCTGTATCATCGGACTGACGGCATGCACTCGTACACTGGCTTGTACTCGCAACGCTTTCATCATTGACCTCCATCACGTCGATCCACTGAGTCTTCGTCTTCAACTTTACAGCACGCAAACTAACCAACGGTGCAGCGATAAAGAGCTAGAGGAACTGAAACTTTGTTTCCTACAATCGCTCGTACAACGAGCAGAAAAAAGAAAAAAGAAAAAAAAAGTCTTAGGCACGGTCGCGGAGAGCACGAGGAGTGAAACTCACGTGACTTCCTGCGAACCCACCTTTAATGTCGTAGGACGATGCCTCCCTTCTGACCGCCCCGACACCTTGCAGTACACTGTTACGTCACAGTGCACTGGCGGGAACTTTGAATTGGGCCTCCTATTTCTATTTTTATGAAAAAAACTATGCAACTCTATAGTGAAAATATTTTTTTGTAATGTCCTGACATGCCATTTTAACGCCTAGCATGAAAAAAAAAAATTTTTTTTTTTGGCGTGCCAGAGTTAACTTTTTTATGTCTCTGAACAATGTGAAAAGGGCTTCATTATTTTCCATTTTATTTAGTTTCACGGTAGTACTTTGTATGCTACTTTCGTGCTCATCATAATTTATTTTGGGATTGAAAAAAAACCGGCTGATAAAATCAGTAAGAGGAATTCTATAAAGAAAAAAGCAAATGAAGGAAGACAAAAGTGAGGGAAGTTCATTGGTATTAAAGAAAACTTATATCAGATTCACCTAATCTTGGGAAGCTCGGAATAATGAATAAATGCTCAGAAAAGTGAGGTTCACTCTAAATCTGCTGTTTTCCAACAGTATGAAACATAACCCATAAAACAAAGTGAACATTAGATCGTCTATAGGTGTTGTGGTGTTTTTATCTTGCACTTATCCATCGGAACCTGTTCCCATGTGTAAAGAAAATGAGTGAACACTTCATTATAAAAAAATATGACTCTACAGTCAGTGACAGGGTAAAGAGTTCCGGGGAGGCTCCTCCCGCCCATTTCCACCTTAGCAAAACAAATTTTGGAGAGGAAGTCGCCTCCTATCCGTCTTTCGCTCTGTTAAAGTAAGAACAGGTGAGAGGAGCTTCCCCTAAATTCTTACCTGTCACAAACTACAGGTACACTTATAAAAGACGCTCAGTCATCTTAGAAAAAAATGACTGCATCTCCACGTGGTGAATGATGTTGATTGGGGCGAAGCTCTGGTGGTGCTTGTCTGCATAGATGCTGAGCCGCAGCATGCCGAGCCTTTCGTTCGTTTTCATCCATGTCAGAAAGAGAATGTGTGGTATGGAACGTGGTTACATACGCATTTGACCGCAGTGCCCTCTCGTCTATAAACGTTGAGCCAATGCAGTGCCCTCTCCTGTATAGACGTTGAGCGGCTACATGCAACGTTTTATCCATGACAACCCCAGCTCTTGAGTTACTACCACATCTCGGAGCCCCCTACTCGTTCCGCAGTCGTGGCCGAGTGGTTAAGGCAATGGACTAAAAATCCATTGAGGTCTCCCCACACAGGTTCAAATCCGGTCAACTGCGCAAACATTTTTTTTTTTTTACCCTACACGAGCACGTGAGCACGTGAGCTCACGAGCACGAGCACCGGCAAGATCTATGTGAGCACGGACGCTGGACGGACAAGGCTAGACCCTAAGGAGCTTCGCCCCTAAAAAAATTATACAAGCTCGATCATGCTGACAAAGACAGGTAAGCCCAGAATGTGTGATAGGCATTCTTATTGGCGTTCGTCTACGGGGCCCCCTGGTGAAGGCTCTCCCTGCTGCCCCTGCCGTTTCTTAAGTCTTAAGAGAGAGGCATCTGAACGGCACGGCATCACTACAGAGAAAGTGTGTCGAAGATTCGCTCCCATCTCTGACAAAGGTTGTGAGATGGTACAGCGCAACATACCCACATGCTTTCAAAGCCGCAGGGCGCGCAACCTTCGAACGTTGCACAAAAGGATTTTTTTTGGCGTCGAGAATAAACGCCATCCCTCGTTAGCTCAGTCTGTAAAGCACGACTCACAATTTTAAGGTGGTGAGTTCAAATCCTGCCAGGTGATTGAAGTTTGTTTATGTGGTTCTCTATGTACGTAACGCTTTCAGTGCCGGCCTTTTGTTCCAGTCAACGTTACACCCAAAACCTTACGAATCTCCATGAAAGTCGGCTGATAAAACACATTCTGCGTTAATATGTATAGCTAGATTACACGTGGGTCTACACCAGCTTTGATATGCTAAGAGGCCCCATCTACCAAACATGTTCCGTGTTTCACCCTTACATGCAACTAGAAGCTGCACCTATGCCTAGAACCAATAGCTTTTAGGTTCTCCTAAAATTGCTATGATGGGAAAGTAAACAACAAATAAATACATACTAAAAATACAATATAAGTTGTAACAGGCATCTCACGGATTCATTTTGGCAGTCACTAATGGTGTGCCTGGCAAACACAAAGAAGGCAACTTGCGGAGATAATGGAACCTTATTTACTGCTTAAACTTCTAGCATGCTCTTTCCCTCTCTGCCACATATTCCACAAGCAAACAGGTCTGCAAACTAAATATAGGTCAACAGATGGCGCCCTATGATTTCTAACATAAAAGGAAACAAAGAAATGCTGTTTGCAAACAGAAGAGAACCAGATTGCATCTCCCTGAACAAGAGCAGGTTATCTCCTCAGAAGAGCCAGTCCAGGGGTCAGTCTTCTGACGCAAATCCCCAAAAGTGATAAGCAGTCTTTCTACAGAGATTTTGGCAGCCCTCAGCTAAGAGAATGTGCAATTGACCAGGTTGGCTGAAAAACTTGCAGACGAGTGCAAAGGCTCAGAAACATCTATAATAATAACAATATTAATATTAATAATCAAAAACAAAATCCTCCCTGTGCCTCTTACGGTATTCTTAGCATTGCTGATGAGCTCTTCGTCTCTGGCACGAGTGATGTGCAACATTTGTGAATTGTGATAAGAGATACGATTTTATTTTTGCCTCTGTTGTTTGCTGATGTGGTGCCTGTAATAGTTGAATTCATCTTATCGTTAAGGTGTACAACTATCGAATAACCCACTTCTCTTATGGGCCTGACATATGTGAAAGCAATTTATAAAATAGTAACAACCTTCTTTTATTTGACATCTACATTTTCTTTAGTACAAAATATCTGAGCAACCCAGCAGTGGCACTGGATTTAGAGTTGCTTCAGATTCGGAAGTTGGCATGTAAGAATATTTGTTACAGGCACACTGGACCATGTAATAAACATTTACATTATTGGTAAGAGCTACAATAACAAAATATATAGCAGATTAATGGTATGTACAGCCTGCATACTTGCAGATAATTCACAAATAAGGAGTTTTTAAAACAGCCAAATCCAGAACCTGAAACTATGCCAATTTTGGCTGAAATTCAGGGTCCACCATTTCCAAAAGGTAGGTACTACCATAACATTCCGAGAGATGACCCACCCCCGAAACATAACCCACCCATATTTTTTTGCATGATTTACTATTTAATAAAAAAACATAGAAAGATAGTCCACTTCTCGTAATTGCAGGGCACTGGCCAATCAATGGTGACCTCGGCAGAAATGTTGTTACTTAATTACGACGGGAGATAAGCGAACATTGCTAACTGGGATTGACAGTCAAATTAGGTTCACTGCCCCTCCCTGCAATCAGAAGTTTCGCAGGTCACAAAATCTAAGACTAGCATTTTTCAACTTTTGATGCAAAAGCCTTAACTATCTCATGGAGCAAACTGGCGTTATCCGAGTGTGGCAGGCATTATCGTTGTCTGCAGCAGCGATAAGCGCCACCTAAATTCCCACTGGCTGAGCGAAATGGCACCTAAATTCCGTCTGTAGCAGCTAAAAACGGCGTCTAAATTCCCCCGAGCGAAGCGGGACCTAAATTCCCATTGGCCGCGACGTGTCATGTGGCCCCATAGCAACAGCATCATCGTTGCTACCGTGCCAGCCAAACTGCTGGCGGTACAGCGGGAGGGGAAGACA